CAATGACTTAAAAATTAATCAGCATATATTTAGTGACAGGAATAAATTTTTCAATTTTGTTAAGGCTCCCAGCCTTAAATCAAAGCCCCAAAACATTCAGTAAACACTCAACATGGTGAATTTTCACCTTTATCTTATTTCAGACCTTTTACTGCAGATCACAATTAAACTGAAAAGTGAATGAATTTCTTTACATCTCATAAAATAATATTTTTATTAATTTGAATGAATGGGTTTAAAATGTGCACAGTTTTCTACATACTTTTGGAGTATTGGACACTCCTTCCTTTCCAATCCTCTGAAAAGTACCTAAAAAATTGATTTCGTTTGTAGTGAAAAGCTTTTAAAATTTGTATGAGATATAGTGATGGTAGGCTTTTGTTTGAATTGCTTTATAATTACCTGTTTAGTTGACTTCAATGCAAATATACTTCTTATTGTGATGTGTAATTTGTTTTATGTTAGAATGGGCCATATACAATGCTACTTGTCCTTATAGCTCTACCAAAGCTCTTGCGTCTCGAAATTGGTGACCCCCCCCCACCAAGCCCCCCCCCCCCCTCCTCACTCCCCTCCCCACCCAGCTAAAAGAGCCACTTTATGAGAAGTGGCCACTTCTGGAAGTATCACTGACGTAAAAGGCTTTGTGAAGGTCGATTGAAGTCCTTACCCTCATTAACGAGTTTTCCACACCCTTCGAAAAAGAGGACTCCCTGGGGCCGAGTCATTAGTTACTCCCTGAAGGGGAGGGTGGTGCGGGGCGGAGTATTTTGGTTTTAGAACAATAAAATTTACCTAATCTCCCCATAAAGCTCCGTGGTATTATATCGATCTTCGCTAATCAGCAGTCAATCTTCTACAGTTGTTCTTTCAAGTCCATGTGATCCCACCCTCTCCCCTAAAAAAAAAAAAAAAAAAAAAAAAAAATTCCCACAATCTCTCGGACTATAAAAAATGACTCTTCCTTAAATTTCGTTGATTATCGATGACCCTCCTCCTCCTCCAAACCCTACCCCAGCCTTCAATTTAGTCATCTGCAGTTTGAATGCCTATAAGATCCGGCGAAAATCTGTCTGCTGGTGACGTAAAAGTCAACAATTTCATCAGATATGCTGCGCTATGCAAATTGGTTTTAGTTTTGATCGTGGTTGTTCTCAAGCAATACTTTGTCATTTTGCTGGCTGAAAACGACGACGTGTTCCCTCAATCGTTCCTGAAATCCTTAAAGAAGTAAGTATAGATCACTTGTAAGCTAAATTTGAGACGCAAATTCCAACTAGTGTTTGATTACAACGAGACATAGCTTGGCGTGAGATCCATGAAGGGTGTTGTAACAAATTGTTGCTCGTAAGCTCAAACTACAAAGCTTAACGGCTTTACGAACTAGTTCAACCCTGCTTCATTTTTATCATTTACAAAATGCTAAATCGATTCCGTTTTGCATACAACAATTTGGAAATTTGTCTTTTATTCCGTGGAGAACTTGACAGAATTACTACGATTCTTGATTTGCTGAATTTCAAATCGTTTGAAAAGACTGTGGTAATTCATCGTCGTCAAGTACAATATTAGATAAAGTATTATCGTTAAATGCGCTTTGTTTGATGTACAGATCGGGACATTTTGGATGTTATTGATAAAGGATCATGAACTTTCTTGTCGATTTAGTCATTGTGTATGTTTTGATGTTGGGGAAGTTTTGCGAATGTATGTACGAGGACACCGTGGAAATAAACTGACAAAAACAACTCCGCAGTCGATCAGAGATCTTTTCGAATTCACAATTACTTTCCCCTAATTTTGTAACCTTATATGCTCCTAGCTGGCGGTGTATTTTGATGAAGAAATTATAAGTTGTGTTATTGCTGAAGATTGTGAACTTTATACTGAACTGTTCGTTCGAAAGTTTTTTCTCCGGTGAAAGACTCTCAATTTAAAACTATCTTCTTGTTTGCTCCAAGAATTGTTTCAATGCGGTTCAAAAATAGAATATGAGCAGAACATTCTAGAAGAAGACATGCGAATATGTTTGACCTCTGTTCAAGAGCTTACTCCAATTACTTGAAATATCACACCAGACACGACTACACTTAGAAAATCGCCAATTTGAGTATTTTCTTGTTGTTGTCTTTTGTCTGCCTTGATTTCAAAGAGGGAATGTGGAATTGTGTGCAAGTAAACCCCCCTTCCCTTCTCCTCAGAACGCACTCCTGCCGATTCGAGAATTTCTTAAAATGCTGCCTTAAGGATCGGGGGCGAGCTGATGTGCTTTGCTTTTTATAATTTTTTTACCTACATAGGACTAAACAGCTCAGTTTACACTTAACGGTTCAACGCACAAATGTGACGTTTGTGGTTATCGACGCAAATAAAAAAGACTCAGTGTCATTGGCTTATTATTTGTTGGGGTCACAATACGTAACACACTGATTTCACTTTGAATTCGTGTTCCTGTTTACGAGTTGAAGGCTGGTTGCGCGTGATTAATTTTTTGTTTCTTGCCTTGTCTGGTTGAAATTTTGACGCTTACACGGAAATCAAAACGAACTGTTATACCTACTGCATAGATTCTTTTAAGAAGATTTTTACAGTCTGTTAAAAAAGCTTTTTAAAATATGTTTTATCCTTGTTTCTACTCTGAAAAGGACTTTAATAAAAAGATTCTTGAACATAATTTAAACTTGATTGTTGTAGTAATCACACAAGGCACACGTGCCTGAAGGTTGCCCCTTTTTCCGCCTTTTTCTTTAGTCGATGTTGTTACAATGATGGTTATATTAATGCCCCCCCCCCCCCCCCCTCCCATCCAATTTCGCTGCTAAGTGAGTTTTCTAGAAAAATACCAATAGGACCGGGGAAGGGGTCATATCTCATACCCTAAGGTGAGCAACTCCTTTGTTATCCTAATTTCAGTTATTTAGTCTTTAGTCACTTTATGGATTCGTAAATCGCCATTCTGACAAAGGACTTAGCACAAAGTATTCTATAACAGGAGAAAGAAACATTGTTGACCTCTGTTCAAAATTTCACATTTTCTTGCTTGAAAAATGTCACGCCAGAAACGCGTGCAGTCAGCAAATCACCAAAATTTAGTATTTCCGTGTTCTATTATCTACTTTCCATTTATGTGAGCAATGTGAAATGGTGTCTATGCGAGGAATTTTTACCGACTTTTGTAGAGCGAAGTAAGTTTCAAAAAGAATTAAGATGAACGGGTTAAGGCACATTGTTAGGTTATTTTTCTGGGGGCAAAAATGGACCAATGATGAAACAAAAGCGAATTCAATGATAGTCGGTAAAACAAATGATATACTTCGTAGAAGGTCGCTTATTATTTCAAAGGGATCTCTTGGCTTAATCTGGGGAAAGTCTTTTACTGAGGCTAAATTCATTGGTCTACCCGTCATTTTGACTTATCCTCAACGATCAATTATTTCGGGTGAGTGCAACCAAACGTACCCAAGAGGAAATAGATTATCTTGTCTCAATTGACGCAACCCAGTAACCTACTCAGTTAAGTAATTACTTTAGCGAATAAAGAGATATGGCCTGTTGGTATGACATCATATTCATTTGATAAACGCCTTAGAAGTATTATCTTTTCCATTTAAAGTTTCTCGAAGTGTTTTGTTTGTAAATTATGATCTTTCGGATTAGCCCCCTCTCAAGTGAGCCACGAATTTTGTAGGGCGAAAGAAGTTTGAAAAATAATCTTGACAAATGCATAGCACCTGGAGGGTGCAGACTAAAGCTTGTGAGATCTCTGGTGTGGGAGATTAAGAAGGAAAAAAAATAGCAGCAAAGAAAACTACTTCTTTTCGCTAAGTATCTTTTTACATCATGTTCCAAACGTCAGTATTCCTTCGAAGGACGCCTGTTATTTCCAATAGTAATCCTTCTTCCCGCCAGTTTTCATCAAAAATTTTGTTTCGTTTTTCAGTATTCCTTCATTACGCAGGATCAGCTGCGAATGTAATCCTTGACTGATTACGGTCACATAAACCGTGGACAGAAAGTAAACATTTTTCGGAATACTTGCAAAACAAACCTTAAGGAATAGAAACTCAGTAACTGTGGCAGTGCTCGATACAGAAGGCGCAGCCTAGCTGCTTCCGCCGGTAGGAGTCCAGAATGTCTAACAGCTTATAGAAGGAGTTTTGATATTCATTAAATAATTGGGTCAAAGCGTTTCAAATGTCTGTGTCATTATGTGATAGGAAGCGATGGACCGAAAATGACAACAAACTACTCTCAATACATGTAAATTTTAAAAATACCTTCCATGTCGCCCTGCGTTTGTTCAGCAAGAAATCATATGTGGCCAGAACAAAAGAGTCGCACACGAAGTGCAGCTGAGTGTGTCACTGATGTTCTTACCACAGTTGTGATGTCATCTGTGATCTGTTACTGTAAAGAGCCTCGGCAACATGGATTCTATTTGTTTTATATAATAAAGGCATTTGTCCTCCAAACGATCATATACCTTTGCTGCTGGTGCACCTTTAAAAGCACGTGATTCTAAATTGTTCGACCTTTGATTGCAGACAGTTCAAGTATTCCCAAGGTTTGTCAAACTTCTAGAACGGTATGTATTATCTAACTCACTGATTACAAAGTGAGTTCCAAGTAACCTTTTAAACGGAAATTGCGTGACATGACATCTACGCATTCACGGTTTGGTTAAGATTGAAATAGGAGACGTGATAATTAGAGTGATAGGTTTGAGGAGAGAGCGTTGGAAGTTTGAGACGTGGTGAACGTTGATGATAACCAATTGAGAGTAGAGTGTACCCCAAAAGTGCGTTACACTTTTTCTCTGAATTTATTTCTGTTTCCGCTCTTTAGCTTCAGAGTAATTATTTATTTCCTTTCACCAAGAAACCACGTGTTACAATTTTACTTAAATTAAAGTTAACTGTCACTTGCGGTGTGTATCATCATCATCATCGCTCGTTGGGCCAGTAGGGCATAAGGCCGTCACATGGTCCGCCCAACCCCCCTGTCGCGTGCCGCTGCCCAGGCCACATTCCATCTCTTCCACTTCGCCTTGCCTCTTCCTCTTTCGACAGTCCTTCTCCAAGTGGTCTTTGGTCTCCTCTTGCCCTTCGACCTTCTGGTGTCCACCCTAATGCCGTAAAACAGTTGTTCACACCCTCTCTCCTGAGTACGTGTCCTAACCAGTTCCACCTTCTTCTTCGCACCTTGCAACTAATTTCATTGATCTCTGCCTTTTCAACTACTCTCTTATTTGTCATTCTATGCTGCCATCTGATCATCAGTTTCCGTGTTAGGCATTGGCATTAGAAACTGTTCAGTTTTCCTCCACCGGTCTTTGTGATCTTCCATGTTTCACGACTATATAACAGGACCGGTTCGACTAAGTCTTGAATAGGCGTATCTTGGTTCTCCCTCTTATTCCTCTGGTTGCCCACACCTTCCATGGCCTCTGGAATGCACCGCGTGCTTTCTGCGGTCTGTTTCTTATATCTTCACCGTCTCTACCTTCCCTGTCTACAATGGCTGCTTCCTCCGTCAATCTCCTTGTCTTTACACCCAAGTCTTTAAACTTGGATGAAAGTAGAGCGATGTCATCCGCAAAATCAAGATCCTCTAACACTGTTGTTAAATTCCACCGTATCCCTCTTCTCTCGTCTGTTGTTGTCTTCCTCATGATCCAACCCATAGACATTAAGAATAAGAATTCTGACATTACACATCCCTGCTTTACTCCTGACTTAATCTTGAACCAGTCTGATATCTTCCATCCGTCGATTACGGTGCATTCCAACACTTCGTATATGCCTGCTAGAACGCTCACCATCTTTCGCGGAATTCCATAGCTCCCCATGATGTTCCACAAGCTTTCTCTGTGAACCGAATCGAAGGCTATTTTCAAAGTCCACAAAGTGCGTTTACAGACTCGTACTCCACTCGTTTGCCTGCTCTAAGATGTTATTTTTTAATTATAAGGATCTGTTCAGTTGTACTGTCATTGGTCTAAAGCCAGCTTGCTCTTTTTGAAGCGTCTTGTCTACAAGTTCAAGTTTCAAGCTCAAGTTCAAGTTTATTATTTCACACTGTTTACAGAAAAAAATAACTTAACATATAGAAAAAGATATAAGGTAATCATACGCAGCATAGAATGACAAATAAGAGAGTAGTTGAAAAGGCAGAGATCAATGAAATTAGTTGCAAGGTGCGAAGAAGAAGGTGGAAGATATAGAAAATGACAAACAGAAATTAACTAGAAGAAAGAATATTTAATCGTGTACAGTGACCAAAGTGGCCAATGAGCTTTCGAGTTCGTCACTGTCATGTGTAGATATGAGTTGGGGTTGGCCGCATATTAAATATAATTTAAATAAATAGTTACATTAAAGACGATACTGTTATCGTAAGAGAAGAAAGGCATACACAAATGCAAGGTAGAATAAAAGGACAACTTTATATTGTGAAGCATTATGTTATATAGCTAACAGTTAAACTATGGTCAATTTTGAGTACTCAATAACAATCTTTTATACCGCTTTTTGAATAGCATGTATGGAAAACGTTTAAATTCAGGTGGTAAAGGTTCCCAAATTTTTATTGCAGAGAATTTAAATGTAGACATAGCATAATTAGTGCGTACTGATGGCTAGAGCACCACCTCTACACCTTTCTTGATCCGCCCTAGCAGCATCATTTGGAGTATTTTACTCATGATAGGTAGCAAAGTCACTCCTCTCCAGTTGTTGCAATCACGCAAATCACCTTTCTTGAATATCTTGACAACAAGTCCATTCTTCCACACTTACGGCCACGTTTCAGTTTCCCAAAGCCTGTTATAACATCTAATCAGCCTACCTGCGGTGTATTACATGTCAGCTCTCGGTAGGTCTGGGCCCACTTCATCTTTTCCAGCCACTTTCCGTGGCTTTGTCTTACTTAGCGCGTCCTTAACCTCTTGTACTCGCTATCTTCCCACATCTATTTCCTCAACTACTCCAGTTCTCCTGTTTCTTCTTTCTCTCCCACTGGATTTGTTGGGTCATCTCTGTTTAAAATTTCACTCAAGTGCTCTACCCATCTCTGCAATCTTTCTTGTGATTCTGTCTTAAGCATCCCTTTTAATGCATCCGGCTTCTGTAGCATGCGTTTCTTTTTACAGGGCAGGGTCGTTAACCCTGCGCCTAAACTCCAACTTGAGGACCAGGGGGTCACTCTTAGACTAGTTTTTTACCCATCGATCTGTTCGGCATGGGTGACCTTACCAGGAGTGTAGGTCTGCAGCCAGCATAGTTCTAGGTGTCATTGAGATCAGATTGGCGAATTTCTCTTGTGTTTATGTAAGAGTGATGGTTGGTTTCAAAGAAAGATGGTTTTCGTCTTGCCACGAGCGTGGGACAAAGAAAAAATGAGTTACGGGTGGATAAACTCAGTGCGGTTATCAAAAAAGTTTTGAATAATTCTTTATGAAAGTTTCAATTTGCTGTTTTTTTTCTCTTTAGTTAAATGCAAGATGTTCAAACGCGATTCTCTGAAAAAAAAATACTCCTAAAGAGAGCGATACATATCATAGCGCGAACAATTTTCACGCTGATACAGTTTAAAAAGGAAAACGCTAATTTTCCATCTGTGATTTTCTGATAGCACAGCTAAGAATTCAAGCTAAGAGCTCAGGGGCAGCAATGCTCATTTCTCTTGTTTTCATGCGAAAAGGATAAAATAAAGCTTCAAAGGAATTTACCGGCGTTATTTAACAATTGGTTCATACGTCAGCGTGCGTTCATCGAGATATGAAGCACGCGGGAAGTTTGGGGAGCACGAAAGATGCGTAAAAGTTGCTCGAGGCGTAGCCGAGAGCAACTCTAGCTTCTTGAGTGCTCTCCAAACTTCCTAAGTGCTTCATATCTCGATGAACACACAGCTGACGTATGAACCAATTGTTTTATAACATTTTCAACCCGATGAAAAAATTTTTTTTGGAGGGATTTGTTTGCTGACGTCATGAGCATGCACAATAGGAATATGAAGCACGCTCGCGCAATTGAATTTGATTACACAAATTTACTTGCTATGTTATAAAATAAACTGCATTGTTCCAAAATAATTTTCCGCTGACTTCGGTCGCGCATACCCCGGAGCAGTAGTTCTTCAGTAAAATGAAGTGCGGTCGGTTATTTCATTTCCGGTTTGTAACGCCGGATCAAATTAATAATCTCATACTTATTGTTTGCGGATATTGTGATTGAAGATCGGTTACAGGCTTGACACGAATTTTTCAAAGATATTTCTTTTAGTACGTAGACAAAATAGATATGGCAGCAGCACTAAATCGCAAGAATTCAATGTGGTCTAGGATTGACATTTCAAACTAAGTTAGAGTCTGTTTTTCATCCTCCCCCCTCTCCCGGGGTCTTTCGAAGAAGAAAAGGCTACTCTGTCTCCGTCACTCCTATCTACTAACCTTGTGAAGAAGGCGTCAATCTATTTTTTTTTTGTTTGTTTGTTTTGTTTTTTGGGGGGGGGGGGGGAGGGGGGCGAAGGAGAAAAGGGGGGTCGATGTCATTTGACTTGCTTTATTTTTTCCCTAAAGTTATCTTTTACGTTATTCCATATGTTGGAGCCTTTCTACTAATCCAGTGTTTCTTCAAATGAGTGTTTTTCTATCTTTGCAAGATGTTCCGTAAACCATGAAAAAATCGACATGCATCACTCGGTGGGCGTTTAGATTAAATTTATTGCCAAGAGATATTGTTTCTCTTCTCTTTTCATTATTATTACTTCTTTTAAAAATTGTTATCAGGGGAAGTGGGATTGGTTAGCCTTTCACTCCCAGTGGTGATCACTATGAATCTTCTTCCTATGATATCCATACATTATTCAGCAGACAGATAATGAGAATATTCAAACTTATCAGGTAGAGGTTGTTATCTTGATCTAACATCAAATTCTTGTATCCAATGAAAAAGGAAATGTGTAGCACAAAGAGGGGAGAATTGACAATCAGATCTTGAAAGTTAAAGGTTTAACCTCTCCCCAGTCCACCCCTGTTTGCCTATTATCCACGTTTTTATAGAGGGTTTCTCCTCAGAATTATTTAGCGTCAAAGGTGTTAGTTCGTTTGAAACGCCTTGAATGTTTCATGCCTAACAGTCCTATAACAAATTTCAGAACGACCATAACATGCCTCAGTTACTCTCGATCTGAATTTTGTCATAAAATAGTAAATTTTATAGGAAGAAAACAAAAAAAAATTGAAGTGAGGGAGAGATCATGCAATTCTGATAACTTATCGTTATCAATGGACGGGAAACACACCGTGTGCTAGAATATAAAAAAACAAACAAACAAACAAACATTTGTCGGACAATTCTCTTCACATCACCTGTCGGCTAGATAAACTATTATGTATTTTGGTTAAGTTGCATTATTTGTTCTTGGCCGCTCGATCTCAAGTAAACGATTACTACTAATAACTTAAAAAAAAATGAAAGATAAAATGATGGTGATAAGAGAAAATAATATAATAAATAATAAATGATAAATAAATAAATAATAATAATAATAATAATAATAATAAATAATAATAATAATAAATAATATAAAATGATGGTGATAAGAGAAAATAATTATTAGACATGAAAAGAGAACGAAACAAACCAAACCGAAACAACAAAATTGAAAAGCAAAACGAGACAAATGATAATAATTAAAACAATAATAATAATGATAATAATAATAATAATGATAATAATAATAAACATTAAGAGAAACTTGTGGAAAAGCTTAAATTTCAAAATTTCGTAAAACGACTGTATCCAAACAGCTAGCGGTTAATATTAAAGAAAAAGTTTTTCCAGATTCCCACAAGGAGTTGAGACTCGAACCTCCTGGTTCCGCGGAATTCGACAACTATGGGCTCAAATAGTCTAATGACGCCATTAAACCTAATGTTATTTGTCTCCAGATGGCGGATCAATATCAGTATCTGGGCAACTGCCCACCTACCCCTCCCCTAACCCAACAACAGTCAATTGATGACAAGTTAGGGTTAATGCTGGGTTAGGGGGAGGGGTAGGTGGGCAGTTGCCCAGATACTGATATTGATCCCAGATGGCTGCAAACTGGAAGGGTCTGTCTCTTGATTGGCTGGTTTAAAAGATTGATGTTGTCAAAGCTTTAATTTGTGATCATCTGAAAGAATAATAAGCTAATTTGCCGATCAGATCTTTGTTAAATGACAATTTATCCATCTCTAGATTATCGTTATTCATATCTTTATTATGACTGGTATTTGTTTTTTTTACAGTTACAAGTATCATTGTCATTATTATTGTAAATACTATTATTATTTTCTCTCCTATCCTAAGAGAACAGTCTTTTTCCCGCGAGTAAATACCTGTTTCCTCGGAGGGTTTCTCTCTAAAACACCTCGAAGACAACATCGAAGGTAATTGCTCATTTGAAACGCGTTGAACTTTTAAAGCTTAAAAGTGCTCAATCAAATTTGATATCAAGAAGTTTCGATTTTTGTCAAATTCAGTTTCTTTTACCGTGCTGGAATGAGTATCTGTAAGGAGCAGATTGGTGATAAAATTCTAATTAAGCTTGCCTATTCAGAAGTCACTTCAAGTGGCTTCAGGAATGCTGTGACGAACAAGTAACACAGTTAATCAAAATGTATTTATGAATAATTAAATTTCTATTCTTTAGTTTTCTCAGTTTGATACGAACTCCAATTTCTTAATTGATTATGTTTTACTTTTTCAGATTGTACAAGCGTTTTGAATCAGGTCACTGCCAAGTGCAAGAAAGGTAAAGTGTTCCTTTTTTTCCACCCTTACAAGTTTACTAAAAAGGCCATATTATTACTTTACAGGTGTAAGTGACCAGAAATTACAATACAACAAAAAAAAAAAAAAAAAAAAAAAAAAAAAAAAAAAGAACGGTCATATTTTTATCATAAGACAGACATATTCTACTCGATAACTTTCATGGACGTCTTCATAATTACTTTACCCACCTCATCTAGCAGCCAGCGCTTTAACAGTACCATCTCTTTTTTTTTACAACTCAATGCCACTCAAAGCACAGGTAGAGAAATGAATAACAAAGGCCCATACAAGAAGGACATACGGGTGTTTATGCGAGTATGTCGACGTATGTCGCTTGATGCGTGCACATGGTACTTCTTTACAGTGTCCCCTTATCTTTGATCTGCACCGACCGTCTATATCAGTACACTTCATTGTTGCTAATGTCAACAAAAAATCTTCATTTTAAGCCGTAATGGTGAAATATCAAATTGCACAACAAGTTTTCAAATGCAATTTTGATCGTTTCTCAATAGCTTGTGATCATAGTAGCATTATTATCATCATTATCATTGTTATAATTACTACAACAACAACAACAACAAGTCTTTATTTCTCACAAAAATGGAATTACAATGAAATAAGAAAAATGATTATAATGAAAAGGAAAAATAAACATAGTTGTATCATTTTGGAGCCTAGAGGCTGGAGGAACCGTTGGGTTTTCGAGTGAGCCCTCTATGAATTTTTATCTTTTAACCCTTGAACTATTGGTTGAAAGTCAATTGGTCACTTTATTTTTTAATTATCTTTCTCTATTGGAACAGGTTATTCATAAATATGTGTGATGTGGCAGGTTATGAAAAGTAATCGCAATTTCTTTTAATGCTATTGAAATTGTGCTGTATCAATAGCAATATCAGTAGCTACAATCAATCTCAGACTGCCTATCGTTCCTTTATCGGTGGGAGAACTTACCTAAAAGCAAAAAAAAATCAGCGGATTGCTTACTTTCCTACCAAAAAGGAACAATTTGACTCATTACATTCGATTTTGATTATTTTTACCTTTTTTGTTTCCACAAAGATTGCCATGAATCCCCAGATTGTTCTACTGCTCATTCTGGTAGCCGTCCCCTGCTCATCTGCTAGTATGTTACTATTACTACTTCGTAATGTTTAACTACTGGTCAACAGAGTGATTCCGTATGAATCCTTACAACCAAAAAAAAAGCTTAGCATGATAAATGCATTACACATTCCAACCCTATTCTGAACAGGCTTTTCTGTATCTGAAGGAGACCTTGGAGGACTTAACCCGTCACTCCGAATTTTGACAGAACTGATACACTAAGTACTTGTAACAACCGGTCTAAACCATTCATAATCTCATGTTGGCGTTAATTTAAAAAATAATGAGAAAGATTTAAATCCCAGGTAAGAAGCTCGCCGTGATTGAGGCGTGTCTTACTGGTAATTGCGACATTTCATCGAAAACTCGCCATCTTGAAACGTTCCCATGAAAATTTTATTGGACAATAAATGTCTATTTTTAATCATGGTAATAATAACAATGATGGTTAAAGTAAATCTCATCACATACTGGCGAATCAGTGAACTTCTGAATTGTGTATGATGTAGGCGATTTGTACTCCAATCGTTTCATGAGAGTTTCAGTAGATTGGAAGACTTTATCTCTCATCGAGAACAAAGGGAAACTAATCTCAGGAGTTTGTTGCCATCAAGAAATTTTTCTTCTCGGGACAGAGTCAGACCTTCCTGGGCGCCTTCTGGAGAAAAAAATTCGCACGGGCTGTTTTTTAAGTAAACTTTCAGAAACTATGAATCGACGAAAAGGTTATTAAATACAGAATTCGATAAAATCATACCGATAAACTGAAAAGATGTGAAGTGGAAGTTGATGGTTATCAAACTTTGTCTTTAATGAAAAGTCAAAGCAAAATTTCAATCACAAAAGATCAATCACTAAAAGTAAGCTGCTCAAGTCGTGAAGCATCCCTTAATATTCATTATATATTTTTGGTAAGAAATGTAGAAGAAGCGCCAACGTTTTGTCACGGTTCATGTGTTTCTTTTAATCATCTGCTAGTAACTTGTCGAAGCCATCAGTTTGCTTGTGCAAATCAACAAAAGTGTATCCCAGCGTCTTACCGCTGCGATGGGGACACTGACTGCAGTGATGGATCAGACGAACAATGCAGTAAGTACTGAGGTTGATAGGTAACTTCTACTTCTGTACATCTTCTTATTCTTTATATGGGCTTAGCGTAAAAATGCTATTCTCAAAAAGTAATATCAAATTGGAAGGCTCACTCTCTTTTCAAAAATATAGAAAAAAAAAGCTATATTTTCCAAGAACCCCTCGTTTGTAAGAATACCTCCAAGACAGCGAAATGAAGCTTTGACGTAAATCATATGCAGAGGTATTTTTACAAAACTGAACTGGCTATTGGTTGAATGCCTTCACATTGGGTCATCTTTAGATTAAGAAGTCTAATGGCATGAAGACGGTTCTTGTGATGGCCAAAGTCACTTTAAAATCGAATGAAATAAACTGCAACTACTTGAATGAGATAGCGGCGATTTCATATACGAGATGAACTCCTTTTGTATCTTACCGTTGGAAAAAATCAAATGCATTAATTAGGAGACCAGAAATGATGATTTGTACTTTGCAACGTAAAATTCTCTATATGATAAATTTTTAAAGCAACCATTATTACGCATGCATGCAGTGAATGAACACTTCGAGATTTCTCGAGTATATTGAGTTCCCCAAGCGTTAGCATATTAATTCGAAAAAGGTTTTCTGGAAATGTAGTCATGCACCCATCGGCATTGCCTTAATTGACTGTATTAATTGACTGCGAAAAGGCGAAAAGGCGAAAAGGCGAAAAGGCGAAAAGGCGAAAAGGCGAACGGTCGCAACACAGGGGATATTAAATTGCTAATGTAGAGCTTACGAATAAATTTTTCTTTTACACCAGTGCCAGTGCGCCATACACAAAATTTCATAGAGCTTATTGTAATGATACTAATAGACCAATTGAGTAACTTTTCCTTTTCTTTCATGTTTTACCTGCGCCAATTAGCTGGCCGTAAGTATCATAAATCTAAATATATCTTTGTGTCGTCTCCTTGTAATATTGCTCGGATAACCGCATTAAAGGAATGGCATATTTTGAACACGTCGCTTGTATTTATTTGATTTACATGTAACTATCAATAGAAAATCTAAGGTTGCGGGTGTTTGAAATATTAAAAAATGATTTCAAGAGATGGATTGAAACAACAAAAACGGAACAAAAACCAAAGCTAGCTGGTCACTTCCTGCTTGATAGGGAGGCTGTATAAGATATAGAGGAAAGAAACTGATCAAACATGTTCACTGATTTCAGTTTTTCTTTTTTCCATATATATTTACAAAGCCTTTCTGTCAAGACAACTGAAATTCACGGATATTCATGATATAAAAAACAGTTTGATGCCGAGTCCTCATCCCTTCATTTTTATAAAATCAATCTAAAAGTTAAAAGAAAAAAACATGACACAGAGAGACCAAGGGTCAGCGGCAACTTTCTCCTTTCTGAGGACGACGTGAATTAAAATTTATCAAGGGAAATTGTGGTAGCAACAGCTTGCGAGTTGCTTGTTTGTCTGCGTATCGGTTCAAACATATTTAGCAGAGGAGAATTTCGAGACAAAGGCATAACCTCGGAGATGAAAATAACTGTCCTACAGTTTTTGACTTCAGAGCTAAGAAGTGTGTCTAAATTGTTTGGATTATTTCAGGTTTTGTTTGTTCTTTTCGTTTTCTTAAATACACAGGCTCAATATTTTGTCTTTGAATTGAAGTTATTTGTATTATCATACAGGAAAGTGTGCAAACCACGAGTTCACTTGTGCTAATGGAAAGTGTCTTAGTAAATGGAGACGTTGCCATCACGGAGATGACTGTGGTGATGGTTCAGATGAACAGCAGTGTAGTAAGTTTGTTATCAAATAGTGCAGTCGCCTTTCCTATGGGCTGATGGCTAACTATTCGAGTTGTGTTGTAGTAATCAGGTCGAGATACAAACAAATATTGGGAGCTGTCTCTCCGCCTTCTCTCTTTTTTTAATGAATCGAATAATTAATAACTATAACTATAATATGGACCGAGTAAGCAAAATTAAGGCTTGTTCTTATTGTTGTTACTGCTGACAACGTAGTATGTTTCTCTTCAGTTTCCACTTCATTTTTATTGTTTACTTAGTTGTTTGTTGTTGCTATTTATTTTCTTTCAACTACAAATGCAATAAACAAATCCTGGTTACTAAGTAATTTGAGATTGTTTTCTTTTCTCTCAATGTACGAAACATTCTCACGGAAATATCAGCTCAACGTAAGTAATCTTTTGGATATTTTAGTAATTTCTTAACTTTTAAGTGCAAAACAATATGTTCAGTTATTTATCACTTACTTATTCTATGTCATCTTTACTTTTCTGTAATTATTTCAGTGCATTGGTAATCACACTTTTGTCAAAGAGAAGCGTAGCAGCCACCTGTTTGAAGCATTTATGCTTGTGGGAGTGGAATTTTTTTTAGAAAGTTTTTTTTTTAATCGAAACTTACTGTTGACAGTCACTAGTATACAAAACATTTACTAAAATTGATTCAATGTGTTTTATGTTTTCCCATTAAGTTGACGTCTTTCACGTTTCCATGGCGAGGCCCCCTTTGTTTTTGTATATAATGTTTTGTTTTATTTGCCCTGGCGAGCAGGATAACAATATGCTCACAGGTCACCAAGTTTTTGCAGCACGACTTACAATAGCTCTTCCTTTTTTCTATGTTTTTCATGGACTGCACTTCGGAAACATCAGGAAGTAAGTGCTACTTCAATTTCTTAATGTAGATGTGACTCCTAACATGTCACATGACCAAAAAGCTGCTAAACACTCCCATTCAGTACCCTTTCTACCAGCTGAAAACTGATAACGACAAAAGAAAAGATCAGGAGGCGTTGTACTTCATTCAGAAATCGAGATTTGCGTTTCGGCGTGGAAAATAACTCATGTTTCAAGGTCACACACTGAATCCTAAACCTTAATGAATAATTTTACTTTAGCCTCTCTTCAGGACTCACTTAATTTTTCTTTTGCAATGTTTTGAACAACAGATGATTGTTAAAATTAGATAAATAACTTTATCTTGTGGCATCATATTTAACTTTGAATGCAAGTTAGCGTGGATTTGAGTCCATTCAATGTTAAGGATTTTTTTTTTTTCCTCCTTATTCTCTGCAAAGGAGATATCAAAGCGTCACCATCTTAAACTTGACGAAAAACTTTTTCGGTAAAAGTCTTGAAGAAAGACTTCTCCATACTTCTGTTCCACCGAAAGAAAATCAAAATTTTTTAAAAACAATATACTTCTTTTTTTTGTTTCAATTGCACCACATTGCATTAAAAACGTTTCAAGACCAAATGGCTTCGCTTTTCTTTCAGTTATTGATTAATGTGCTGATCAATTTAAAGCTTTAACATTCCCCCGTGGGGGAACTGTCGTTCGTGCCTAGGGTTGAGGACTGTGAGCCTCGCCTGGCTGGGGTTGGAATTTGAGCCGGAAGTGTCAATGCAAGTGTTTTAACTTATAATGTGGAGGTGTTTTAAGAAAAAGAGTTCACTTTTGGGTACGAATGGCTCCTGAGAAAAGGTCTACAAGGTCTAGCTTATAAGGCTTGGCAAATTTATAGAATGTCAGGATCGCTCATTTTGCCTTTTAAAAAAATTGACCATCAAGTCCAGCACTTGGGTAGGGTATTGAAACACAATTTTGGCCCCGGGAGCTGAAATTTGAACGGATCAATTTTCAAAAGTTCAAACGCCTGGAGCTCCCTTCAAATTAATCGATGCATAATTCATTTATTGGTTTACTTATTTTTCATCTAATCTTCCTAACTTAATTATCATTCTGTGCTTTCTCTACTCATGTGCGGCCTTTGTGAAATACACCAGCGTGTAAGTGATTTTTGATTAGATTACTGAAGTTAATAATTTAGTTATAACATCAGTTTCTGCTCCCCTTTCCATAACATTCCTAAATACCGCAAACGTGCATGAGTAACAAAACACAGGATGAGAGGATGAGGATGAGAATTTGATGTTCTAATACCAGTTGCTGTAATAGCAAAATAAATGACATATCTCGAAAACAGTTGATGAAGAATAATCGAGGCCAGCTTTCAGTCCCATATGATGATTGATAGGAAGTGTGTTAGTATTGCCTACTTGAACTATAAATGTTAGTTGAACTAAACAATGTTTTATAATTCTTGAATTCTGCTTATCCCTATTGTTTTCTTTGCTCTCGATATCGCCTTCGGTGGATCAAATACATGTAAATACATCAGGCGGTAAGTGAAAGCTTAGAACTAATTACTTTAAGGATAATGATGTGTTGTCATCTCCTTTTGTTTGTTTGTTTGTTCAAGAATATCTTATGATTAAAGCTGCCTTTCTTGCGTTTGGTGGACAACTAAGAACAACGAGTGCGGAAGATAATGCATTAAATACAACTTTCAGGGAACTGGGTCTAAGTAAACAGAGACGGAAAACTGAGAAAATTGAAATGTCGATGTAGAAAGGGATGGTCAAAATACAACGTCGACAGTACACCAGAATATTTTTTTAAACTGGCATCTTCCTCCGCTCATGCTAACATTAACAAAAATCTGGCAATTACTGCAAGCTTCCTTCCAATCAGCAAAAATGCCATTGTTGACAAGTCCGCTTATAAGGTCGGAAACTTATTTCTGGTCAACAACTTTGACCCGCAATGAACAAGCGGAATGACACTTATCAACCAGTTGCCTAAAAATATTATCAAAAGTGTGATACGAGTTCTTATCCCTTGTGTTTAACCTAGTTTCATTGATTAGTTTTTGAAATTACTGCATTCTTTTTTTCTTAAATTACTCTTTCCTCACTTAAACTAACATTTTTTGTTACTTTTCTGCCCCTGGATACCGCTCAATATAGTATGTGAGTATGATTTTAATCATCTATTCGAATTGTGAACTGTTGAACTAAAACAATTGTTAATTTAGACACAATTTGCTGATTTATGATTTTACTGTCTTTTCTATTCTCTTTTATTGTCTTACCTGACCTTGTGACAATAAGGCGGTAAGTAACCATTATCTTTTATTAACTTTTTTTGGCACTTTTGGTTTGACCGCTTACATAAGTTAACTAAAGTTTTTATGACTTTTTTTATGAATTTGATTTGATTGAATCGAATGCATATATCTTCGTTCATCGTCACCATTTAAAAACAGAATAAAATGTAGGCGATTTTCTGTTGAAAGGTAAACCTAATGTAACTAAAGAGCGGATTAATTTTTGGAGCGTGGGCATCCCGTTTTTGGTTGTGAGCTTTATTGGTATATGGGCAAACACCATAACTTCGAAAGGGGAAAACATTACGTAAAATATACTTATCGACTGGATAGGAGGGCCGGACAGATAAAGTTTTGGCTCGAGGTCATGCTAGTGCTTATAATCCGGTCCGGCCCGACCAAACTTAGTCAATAAACATTTTACCACCAAGCATTGAAGATTGCGAAATTTTTGTCTCAACCTAGATAGGATGTACTTGCATATAAAAGAAGGGCGCGCGAGTCCGTACGGGTCACACGATGATTAAAATTATATTACATGCCTTAAGATGAGTTTCGGGTCTAATTCAGGTAACGCGTCTGCTTTAAAGAGTCTCAATGGGTTTAACTGTCAGTCATCAAACAGCCCAAAGTTTAATCATCAACCGTAAAAAAATCGTTCAGTTTTAACCTTCAAACGTTCAAAGGTCTTTTAGATCTTTCCGCCTCCTCCGCTTGCCACGAACAGTTCTAAGTGTCGAAGAACCGGCGTAATTTTTTTGCGTCTCATTGGCGAACGGAGACAAGCGTTTGGTGAGTGCGAGGGAGGAGCGCAAAAAAAAAATACTTCCCACATTTCCACCGTTTCCATCAAATTGATTAGTGAATATGATGTGACAATCGAATATCTTTCAATAAAAGCGTAGCATATCATGTTCTATGTTCGTTTAATTCCGAACAAGCCAACTGTAAAGGACAGGCAAAGAAAATGCATCGCTGATGTATTTACAAGCACATAGAGAAGTAAATTGAGAATACGAATAGAACTGACCTTAAAAAAAAACAACAACAACAACTGTAAACAATGGGATGGGATAAATGTCATTTATGAGATTTATCCTCCGAAGGTAGCGGACGCACTAGGTTTACAAAACTTGCCCGCATACGCATTTGAAAACACCAAAATAACTGTGAAGATTTATTTACGTTCAAATATATCACCTTCTCATAGGTTTCGCTCGCATAGAAGCATACATTTCTTTGGAGAAAATGTAGTCTCGACATAAAACCATGTTTGCTGCAGTCTACGCCGGTATCTGGGGAAAAATAGCTTGAACAATTGGTGTGGGTACAGTGTACAGGGTACAGGGTACAGGGCACAGGGCACAGGGCACAGGGCACAGGGCACAGGGCACAGGGCACAGGGCACAGGGCACAGGGCACAGGGCACAGGGCACAGGGCACAGGGCACAGGGCACAGGGCACAGGGCACAGGGCACAGGGCACAGGGCACAGGGCACAGGGCACAGGGCACAGGGCACAGGGCACAGGGCACAGGGCACAGGGCACAGGGCACAGGGCACAGGGCACAGGGCACAGGGCACAGGGCACAGGGCACAGGGCACAGGGCACAGGGCACAGGGCACAGGGCACAGGGCACAGGGCACAGGGCACAGGGCACAGGGCACAGGGCACAGGGCACAGGGCACAGGGCACAGGGCACAGGGCACAGGGCACAGGGCACAGGGCACAGGGCACAGGGCACAGGGCACAGGGCACAGGGCACAGGGCACAGGGCACAGGGCACAGGGCACAGGGCACAGGGCACAGGGCACAGGGGGCACAGGGTACAGGGTACAGTGTACAGCTGGTTTTGCCTTTCTTTTTTCTTTACTCCTCCTTCCGTGCGTGACTCACACCACGTGCTCGCTTCGTGCTTGCCTCCGTTGTCTGAAAAACACAGAAAAATTGCACCTGTTCTGCGGAACCTGGCCTCCTCAGTGAAACTAAGGACTAATGATTTCCTTTTTCTTGTCTTTCTTCACATCACAACGGATGGTAACATGCAGACTCATCAGGCGGTAAGTACCTATTTAAAGTACTGTGTACATTTTGGTCTTCCTGTTTAATCTTTAATTAACTAAATTGATTAAGACCTCTAGATCGCATTTTCATAAAGTTTGACTTGGATATATCTGGTCTAACTACAGGTGGCCCAAGCTCCAGCTGTGAGATGATGATCTAGCGAAATAAGAGTCATGGCGAAATTATAAGAGTTTGTATTGGAATATTTAAGACCACTCTTAGGAATTGTGGAGGCGCGGTGGCCTCGTGGCCTCGGGTGGTCTGGGTTCGAGGCCGGGGTCATTGTGTTGTGTTCTTAGGCAAGACACAGCGCTTCTCTTCACCCAGGTGTACAAATGGGTACCAGCAAATGTGCTGGGGGTAACCCTGCGATGGACAAGCATCCCATCCAGGGGGGGAGTAGCAATACTCCTAGCCGCTTCATGCTAAGAAAACCGGAGTTAAGCACCGGCCCCATGGGCCCGTATAAAGGCTTTACTACTCTTAAGAATAAAAAAAATGCAGTCTAATTCTCAATAAAAATACCTCACCTTACTTGCACAGCGCATCACTTGTTATCTGACCGCTTACTACGTTAAGAAGAACCTATTTTAGCGAGCTATCCATTTCTAGGTTTATTAACGTAGTAAGCGGTCAGATAACAAGCGATGCACTGTGGAAGTAAGGTGAGGTATTTTTATTGAGAATTTGACTGTATTTACTTTTTTTTATTCCTAAGAGGTCTGAGAGCGATCGTAAATATTCCCATTCAAACTCTTATAATTTCGTTATAACTCTTATTTCGCATGATGATCATCTCACAGCTGGAGCTTGGACCGCCTGTGGTCCTGTGGTCCCTTCCGTTCTGTTCCTCACTGTAGCATTACCTCAGGTCAGTTTGCACGTATTACAAAATATTCTTTTTCATGAAAGGGAGGATTTGTCTAAAGGTCTGTTCTTCGGTGTAATGATATTAAGTTCGTAATATGCCGTTGATCTATGTTTAAAAATTAAATAACAACAAAATGAAAGGCCTCCTATCAATCTTGTTATCAAACGTCCAGTTCTTGCAAAAAATACCGCAGCATTATTTACATCGTTTTCCGCTTCATTTAATCATAGCTTGAATGGAAGTAACAAGCGTCTTTAAATAGTCACATGAACCTTCATTCGACCAGGTTGTGAATTGTGCACCATACCTCAGTTCCCTTTTTGTAACGACAGCGACATTCAGATATGGAGGTTTTCACGGAGTCAATCGAGAGTAAAAGCTGTTTAAATTCTACTTAAATTCTAATCATAATACCCTTAGCTATTTACTATTCTCAAAATGTCTTTTGTGGTTTCTCTATCTTGGTGTGCATAGGGCTACAGCTGTTTTTTGGTGTCTTTTTTTTCACTCCTCTTCTCGAGCGTGACTCGCACTTTGCGGTCGCTTCGCGCTTGCCTCCGTTTGACTGAAAAACGCTGAAAAGTTGCCTGTTCTGCAGATCCAGGCCTCCTCAATGAAACTAAGGGTTTATGGTTTCCTCTTTCTTGTCTTTCTTTATATCAAAACGGAAGGTAAAAACAACTTTTTTTATGACGACGTCAACATTCAGGTAAGGAGGTTTTTCACGGAGTTAGTCGAGAGTAAAAGCTGTGGAAAATATTGCCTGATAATAACCCAAATTGGAACGAACACAGCTTTCCTGGCCTTTTTCCCGGGGGTGTAAGTTAATGATTATTAAGCTACAATTATTAACAACACTTCACTAAACAATTGTTGTTTTCTTTCTTTCATGTCAACTGATACTCAACAGGGGGTAAGTATCTACTTATTGTGCTACGTATGTCTATCCATTCCCTGCTCTTGTTGTTTAAGATCAATCCTATTTCATTTAAAATAGGCTTTTGACTAGTATTTACATAAAATCCAATTTGAATACTTATCATTTTTTTTAAAACTGATATCTAATTAAAATTAGATTAATCTTACTTTGTGTTTGTCACTTGTCACATAACTTTCGGGCAGCTGAGTAATTTTGTTCGAGCTAGCTTGGAAGTAACAAGAACAATAAGAAACAATAAGCTACATTTTACACGAGGGTGTTCCATTTTGTTATTAAAAAAAGGAAAAGGGCCCTAAAACCCGATTCCTTTTTTTTTTCCAATGACTCTGACATTTTTTAAAGTATTTAAATGCTAATGACAAAACCCTTAGCTACTCAATATCCTCAAAATGTTTTTCGTGATTTCTCTATCTTGGTGTGCATAGGGGTGCAGGTGTTGTTTCTTCTTTTGCACTCCTCCTCTTTCGCGTTACTCGCACTTCACGATCACTTCGCGCTTGCCTCCGTTTGAACGAAAAACGCTGAAAAATTGCCTTTTCTGCAGATCCAGGCCTCCTCAATGAAACTAAGGGTTCATGGTTTCCTCTTTCTTGTCTTTCTTCCTATCAAAACGGATGGTTAAAGCAAACTCCTCAGTCTTTCAGTACCTATTTATCGTAATGTGTATGTTTTTATCTTGCTGCCTAAGCTTCACTGAACTTAATTGACGAAGGCCTGAACCCAAAACACTAAGAACAGTTGAAAAGAGAAATAGGGGGTAATCTTTACTTTTTGTGTAGCGTTATAGAGACATATGAAAAAAATTAGAACAGAACTGTGAATTTAAGTCGTGAAATAAAAAGTAAAATCATCAAAATGAAAAGAGATATCATGAAGTTGAACGTGGCCTCCTCAAAGAAACTAAGGATTAATGATTTCCTCCTTCTCATTTTCTTTATATCACAACGGATTGTATAAAACTAACTCATACCGCAGTAACATTTATACTTATTCTAAGGAGAAATTTCTTCAATTAATTATAACTTAAATGGCGCTGTAAATAGTCAATGAACCTTCATTCGACCAGGTTGTGACTTGTGTACCGTACGTTAGTTCCTTTTTTTCCAACCACATCAACATTAAGACATGGAGGTTTTTCACGGAGTCAATCGAGAGTAAAGGCTGTGAAAAAATATATCTTATAATAATAAATAAATAAATAAATAAATAATATAATAATAAAATTTGGAAAGAGCGCAGCTTTGCTGGTGTTTCTCTGAGGGTATAAGTTAATGATTACTAAGCTAAAATTATTCTTTCTTTCATGTCAACTGATTCTCAACAGCGGATGAGTATCTACTTATTGATTGTGCTACGTATGTTTATCCATTCCCTGATCTTGTTGTTTAATAAACATATTTTTAATAAACTAAGTTTGAAGCATTGTTTCTCAGTGTAAAGTGTACTACACCCTAGTATTTGCATAAAAGGAAGAAGATATTCAACGAGTTGGTTCCACAGAGTAAAATCCAAAAATAAACAAAAACAAAAATAAATCCAGCCAAGTGTAATCCAACTAGACAGTAACGCAGCTTTCCTAGTTCCCTCACGAAAAGTGATCTGTTAACTCATTCAGATATGGTGATTATTTAGACAACTCATTTGAGGATCAAAATTGTGCAAAAAAATTCTCCATTTGTCGATCTTGCTGTTCAGTTCAATTCAAGGTTTTAATGGGCAAAGTTTGAGGCAAAACTTTTTTTCCGTTGTGAAATGCTTTAGATCGCTCCTACAGAGATCGCCACTGAAATGTTTCCCCTCTTTTCCCCTCCCCCTTCCCCCCCTTAATACAAACATATAGGTCCTTTATCACTTTAGAACTAAGAAAATAGCCAACGGTTTATTTCATAATTTTGATCTTTTAAGGAGCAGGTGTATTGCACCTTAGTACCAAATGAAGGGGATAATTAATTGAGAGTAAACACTGTAAAATCATCAAAAAAAAACCAAAATAAACAAAAAAAGAACTGAAACGAAATAATCGAATAAATTAATAAATGGCATTAAAACGATCCAATTAAACCAGGTTAGCTCAGGACATCCTCAGTGACAATCATGTTCAATGATTTCCTCGCTCGTATCTTGAGTAATGTTGTAGTAAGAAAGGGGAAAAAATCACCTGATAATAATTCAATTAGAGCAGATCGTAGCGTACCACGCTAAAATCATAACGCAAGAGAGCATTAATTTACTTTTGTATCTTTTTTTTTCATTTCCGGTCATGTGATGCTCAACAGCTTGTAAGTATCTATTTATTGTGTTACGTACGTTTATCCACACGTTGATCTTGCTGTTCAGCTCGAATTCAATCTTATCTAAAATAGGCATTTGGTTAGTATTTGCGTAGAGTTCAACTTGGATACATACATTTTAATTACTTGAATTGAAGAACCTTACGCTGGACAACAAACTTATCAGTGTGAAAGAACCTCTTTATTGAACTTGAATTTCATTGACTTTCTGTACCGTTTTTCACTCGTGATGTTATATTTAGTTAAGAAAAAGAAATTAAAGTTGCGGAACATATCAAGGAATTCTTTGCAATGAAGTCTTTAAATAAAGGTTTTAGTACATCACTATGCAATGTTTCACTGATAAGTCACTGAGCTATGTTATGATTAATAATAGAGAAGTAATACCTACAAATAGTTCTTATCACTCAAATTTGCATCATTAATGAATTATTATAGCATTTTCCCAATCGATGAAACTATTGGCAGCTTTATTAAAGCAACATAGCGAACTTCTGAAATGCGGGAAATGTGGTAACTCTAAGAATAGACCGTATCGTTCTAAATGGTGCACAAGGACCTTTCATACGTTGAAATTTAGATAAAGCTGTAGTTAGAAAAAGTATATTAGCTTATAAGCTTTTGCATTCAATACTAACAATATTTTCTTTTATCATTATTTCTCTCTATTTTCCAAAATGAAATTAATCTCCAGGCTGTAAGTACCCAACATTTTATTTATTTACGCGTATCACAGACATTCTAACGTACGCACATGCCGAAAATGCTTTGAAGTAAGCTGTAATCTTAAAACACTAATTCTGCTTCTTTTATTTCCTTTTTCTCCCTCAATCTTACTGGACATATCAAGTTGGTAAGTGGTTTAACGTTCATTATCAAAACGAACTTTTATCGATAACACTTTTTACTCAGGCGCTCCGTAGTGGGGTCGGTTCATTTACAAATCTCTGTCAAGAATGTAAGGAACAAGTGTGAGTGCAGGTATTTCACATCAAGGGTTCAAGAACTACTTGAAAAACATGTGAAGTTACTCTGCTGTGTGGAAGTGATAACTCTTCCACATACCTTCCACACATTTTTAACTTGCCTTATGCAATTTATACATGTGCAATAAATAATGGTAATAGGACTGAGTAGGGTCCAATTTGGTCTGTAACCATACGAGTGATGATCGAAATCGGAAGACCGCACAGCGGGAGTCAGATTTGTTAATGACGAGTTTGATTACAGATAAAATTGGACGACTTGAATTACTGTTTTCAGTTGGTCAGAACTATGAAAAAATTTGAGAAGGAAAATAGACATCAGTTGTACGTTTTCATTGAAAAAACAACAATTAACTCGGCGAAGTGCGCGACAACATCGCTGACTGTCCACTTACACAGGCACGACGTATCCACTGTCCTATTAGACCATCCAATTACAGGCATGGCGCGTACTATGATATGATGAATGATTATTCTAGATACACTTTGGACCCTCTGGACATCAGGGAATAAAACAATTTTTAATGCGAGCACTGTAATTCCTTAAAACTTCGTAGACACTTAATGGGACGCTAAGAGTATTTAGATTATCCTTAAAGTGCCTATGACACAAAATTGTTTTGGGAAAATATTAAGCTCATCATCTGTACAAACCAATTCCGATTAGAAGAGAAGTTTCGGAAAACTTAAAACTCCCGTGGGCTGGTAACGAATTCGCGAATGATGACGTAGAAAACCGTGAAAACTCTCAGTTGACACGTACAAATCTCTCACATCTCTGGTAATTTTGTATCGGTCAGCGTTGAAATGCTCTTGCAATAATGTCTGATAGCGATGTCTACCTACCTTCAGCGAGCTCTACCGAGAGTTGTGATACATCGCACTCAAGTAATAAAGAAGAAATGGAAGTTGCGACTACGGTTCAGCCCTACGAAGGAGAACCGCGTGCATCAAACGAGGATTTCGACGAAGACTGACAAAGACAGTTTCTCGCCTGCGATGTTTAAGTCAAAATTAGAACAAAAAAATCTCATTATTGAATGTTTAGTTTGTTGCTTTTGTGTTCTGTTTCTTACGGTGAAATCTATGGAAAGAATGGCTAGCATTGTTCGTTCCTGTTACCCTAAATTTTATTTCTTCGCACTAAGTGCGGCGAAGGTTCCCCTTGGTCGGTGCTATAGAGTTTCGTTCCCGTAGAATGATTCCCTTAGCTAACCAAAAGCTAACTTTTGACGGAAGAATCAGCTGTATCGCGAAGCACGATCATTTTTCGCCGTGAGGTCACCGGGCAGTTTCACAGCAAGTTACTCCTTTCCTCAGACACTGCAAAGGCAGAGGCGATCGTTGTCGGGCCGGTCAAATGAAAAAAAAAAATGCGTTTAGAGTCATCTGATTCAAGTTCATCTCAAAAAGGGATTTCAATGAAGAAATCTTCTATAGTTTAACTGCAGCATTGCCATATGACCCATTTCTCTCAATGGCAAATAATTGACATCAGTATAAGTTGTAAATTTCGTATGCATCGACTTTCACACAGCACTGGGATTCGCTACCATTTAATTCAATAATATTTGTGTTTCTTAATTTATCTTGTTCCAGTGCTTTTGTCCCAATGAAATCGCTACTGTTGCGAATTTTCTTTTTTGAGGGCAGGGGGGAATTGATGGCTCGTGGAATAGATTTTTGGGAACCTAGGTTAGAAGAACACACGGCCCCTTCGAGCTTGTGTTTATGTCAGTATTTGCCAGAGCTTTCGCACCGTTCAGGCAACAGAATATCGGTTAGCTCAGGAAAGAGCTTGACCTTTATTACAAATGTTGTATTTCTGTTATTAAAATACGATGGAAACTACAATTGGTAGGGTTTTCATATGATAATGAAAGCGCAAATGTAGTCATGAGGAAAGACAAGGAGTATAGGTACATCTTAAGCGCGTGAAGTAAAAAAAAACATTAAGGAGCTCACCGTTCTTCGCTTGCGAAATGTCAGCCGAAAAGAATGTTGAAGAATCGTTTACGGTGTGGGAACAGGCCCCTTAATCAGCATTCTCTTTAGCTGAATTCACTTGTTATCTTCCTGTGATTTGATCAGTGATATGTGTCGTAACAGCTGTCTTCGAAGCCGGTACGAAGGATAAGGCCGATCGGCGATCGAAGATCGAAACGCGTCTATTTTGGTCATACAGCTACATCCTTTGGAAAGTAGTGTATAGTATGTGTATTGTTCTTGCCGCGCAGTACGTTTGCCCTTTCTTCTTGATTTCTCCTTTCTCCACCATAGTTGCCGACGTGTTTCCACAGTTTTCTACGTCACGGCTATGATATGTAACATAAACGTTTTGGCCACGCGCTTAATGGAGACACTTTTGAGCCGCCAAATAGTACTCGCTAGGCGCTAATTATTTTAAATAGCTTTTAACCAGAAAATACAAAAAAAAATCGTGTCACGGGCACTTTAAGGTCAATTTTATCAAAGTTATTTGCCTAGTGGAGTCCTTCACCTAGTTTATCTCGTTCATTTGGTATTTTTTAGTACCTCCTTCACATTGATTAGTCTCCTTGGAAAATACTTCTTCCTACAGCTCGTCTGAATGCTTACCATGTTGATAAACACGTTTTAGATTATCTTTAAGGACTACTCGATAATGATAACTTTCTCTTGATGGTTGTAAGTGTATTCAACATGTCATAAAATATTGAAATTGTTTCAATTTACACAATGATCAGACCAAAAAGTGCCCCTTGGCAGCAGAAAATTTTTTGGCGGGCAAAAATTAATCAAATGACCACATTTTTTTTTTATTTTGGCTTTTTGGTAACGGTTGAGTTATGGATTCGTTTTCTCTAGCGACAGTAACAATTTACGATCTGCTTGTGCACCTCATTGCATATATTTATTAGTGTCTTTCTTAGTGTTGTGGTTCCGAATCAGGCGAAAATATTAAGCAAGCAATAAAATAAAGAGTATTTTTAGGCAGAAACTAACTTCGCCAAAATATTTCTTTTCATCTTTTTTCTCCTATGGAATCTGCGTTGGACTATAGAACGTAAGTAGATAAGGTATTTCTCTTTTTCCATTACTTTTGAGTCTCTCCATCTAATACGTCTTGCTCACTACTTGACCACGAGCGTTCTCTTGTAAGCAGCACAATTTGACTCCACGCATGGTCTGGGAGTAGGACGGGTTTGGGATATAGAATTGATTCAGTTTATCTTTTTAATAATAAATAATTCCTTATTCTAGTCAATGCTCAACATCAGTTTGACTGATTCCGATGCATTTTAGCCTTTTCAGCAATAAAATTACGTTGAGCCCTTCGTGATGAATCCAATGGGTTGGGTTAAATGCCAAAGTGTTGTTTTTCATTTTTGTGTATGCGAAGTTGGCAAAACTTGATATTCGTCATTTTTCTATATTTTTTTCTCGAAGTGGGTGGCACAGTCTAAGCATCCAAGGCGATTTTATTCTCCCTTTTCCTCGTAATTTGAATACATATTAGAAGGAATTATTTCTGCCTTAGTTTTTTTGCTGTTGTTGTTTTGTTTATTTATTCATTCTTTTTTGTTTTCTTTCTTGTACTTCTTTCTTTTCTCATTCCTGTACAACCATGAATATGATGGACACATCAGGAAGTAAGTTCCAATGTTCTTTTCTTCACTTTTGACATAGTGTCGCCATAAATTAAAAGTCGAATTTACTGAGGTCCGGTCTTTAGCTAGTCAGTCCGGGGGTTATGTTTTAAGAATACCGCTCTTAACACGTAATACGTAGTTGTCGATTTAATCCGTCCATTAACGCTATGCCGACGAGTTTTTGTGTTCCTGTATTCCAACAATAAGCAGGAAATTAAAATGCAGGTGATTCTCGTGAGATAAAAGCTCTTTCTGAGGAACCATTTCATATCTTTCTATTAGAGCACAATGACTCGCAAACGATTTAGCACCCCCTACCTTTTCTTCTTTTTTTTTTTTTGATCCAAATATTCGAGGAAAATCCAAAAAAGTTTCATGTTTATCAACCACGGCTTGTTATAGCCTTGTTACTTCCTAAGGAAAAAGTCGAGAGTTTCCGATACTTTTCGCTTTTGTGTTTCTTGTCGATCAGATCGTGTTCTATCATTGTAACGCAACCCCAGTCTTGATGCATTGGCCCACTCTATCACTGAGATGATCGGTTTGCCTTCTCTAAGTAGCAAGGTTCTTAAAATTTGGTAAACTGCTGTTGTCATTTTGTAATGAAAAAGCCAGAACTTGATTTGGGTCATATGGATTTCCTCCCTACCCCTAATCCTCCATGTATTTTCAAGGGAGCGGCATCTTAAGACGAAAGAAAGGTCACGGTTTGTCATCGGAGTGAAAGCACCGTTTAGACGAAAAACTATTCTTTTTTTTGTCCTCTCGATGTTGTCACTGCGACTGTCTGTTTGTGAAATGATCTGCTATAGTGAAAGTATTTAGATCTCCAGGCTCAAGAGGTCCGCGATCTGACCTGGTACTAGTGCCATGAAGTTGGGTGGGCTAGGGTCGTTCTCCAGTTTCTGTAAAGCTGTTTGTACAGCTACCTCAATTGAAGAGTTTGTCAACAGTTCCATAGATCTCGAAACGCATACTTGTGCTTAGTTTGGAGCCATTTTATAACTGCATTAACAGTCACCGCAGGATCGGTGCAGGATGGTCTCTTGCAAGATATGTATTTTGGAAGGAAAATGGCAGAGTTCAGTGAGCCCTGGGCAGTACAATGATATAAGAAAGAATACTTCCCTTGTGGTACTATTACAAGCTAATACACCTCGCTTCAAAGGAACGAAATTAAATTGCCTGTTTTTGATGGATATCTGGGTTTTATTAATTAAATTTAGTCGTGGTTTTGCTTTTTTTTTGGTTTCCATCTTTTGTTTCTTTTTCCTTTCTATTTGATTGAGGCTTCCCAATTATTTTCGTGCACGTTGTGATACAAAACACATTAATAGTGAGATATATCTTCTTCGTGTTACATTTGATAATTCTATGTTATAAACTAATTGTAGTTTTTGCTTTAGAGTGTTAACTTTCTTAATTGGTTTTCTTCATTTTCTTTTTAATCTGGTGCATTGACCCTCACTTGTCAAATCAGCGCGTAGGTAACGTTTTCGTTGTGTAATAATTTTCTCTTTTCATTAGTAAAGATAATGGTTAATGTCTAAGTAAATCGGTGTTCATGGTTTCTATTACATTTAACTTGCTCGAAACAATTGGAATATCTAGATTGACATCGCTCAACAAGTGAAATGAGGCACGAGATTTGCCTTCCTGTTCGTAACTGATAACTGAGTTTCATTGATTACTAGTAGTTTGTAGTTGATTAAAATCCATCGCATTCTGTTACTGTGATAAAGACTCTTTGGGAGTGCATTTTTCGAGCTGATTTTAGCCTTTTTCCTTTTTATTTGATTGAGGCTACCACGTCTCCATAATTATTGAGCACTTTGCGATACAAAACACATAAATAGTGAGATATATCTTCTTCGTGTTGCATTTGAGAATTCTTTGTTATAAACTAATTGTAGTTTTTGCTTTAGAGTGTTAACTTTCTTAATTAGTTTTCTTCTTTTTCCTTTTAATCCGGAGTAACGTTTTCCTTGTCTGATAATTTTCTCTTGTCATCGGTAAAGATAACGGTTTCAAGTGGAATATCTAGATTGACACTGCTCAACATGTGAATGAGGCACGAGATTTGCCTGCTTGTTCGTGATTGATAATTGAGTTTCTTTGACTACTTGTAGTTTGTGGTTGATACATACTTAAGTCCTTTTACTTTCTTTAATATTTTTTTTTAATTCATTTTCGTTTTAATCTGGTGCACCATCCCTCATTTGACAAAACAAAAAGAAAGTGATGTTTTCGTTGCTTAATAGTTATCAGTTTAAATAAATGTTACTGACTACACAACATTGCTACAAACAAGTCGAGTCGAGTAATTGTATTTAGAAAAGAGTAAATATTTCAAGGTTTTTACAATTCATTACATTCAGAAAAAATTCAAGTTGTGTTTACTTTGTTGCTCTCAGAATAGCACAGACTCAGTTTAAAAATTATGCTAAAAAGCATACGTTTTGATTGCTATCATGCAATCTGAAGATTAAAATTTCCTTTTTTGGGGGTTGTATTTAATGATTATAGGTATTTATCAAATTGCATTTGTACTCTAGTGTACTTACTTCCTTTTCTTTCTTCCTTCATTTTCCTTTAAATCTTGCACATTGACCCCAATTTGGGAAATTAGACAGAAAGTAACATTTTCATTCCTTCTAAATAGCTATTAGTTAAGGTAATGTTTTCTATAGGATTGTAATTGCTTGAGGCAAGTTGAACATCTATATTGATATTCGATGTAATTAAAAAGTAAAATGTAGTGCCGAATTTGCTCTCTGCCTTTTCGTAACTGCTAATTGAGTTTCATTGACGAATTGTAATTCGTGTTCTGGTTAGTTTACTGTCTCTCTAATTTTCGCGAAAAAATTTGTGCGACATTTTCTGACCAGTTCAGATCTTCCTCTTTTTAGTGAGTTTAAATTTCGGGTGCTTAAGACGCATAGTTTCTTCTCGTGATCAGTAAAAGAAAGCGCAGTTCGAACCGTTACTGAATTTTTTAATTTGAAACTTGAGTGTTAGATTCTGCTCGCGCAGAAAATTTCACAGTCTGATGATCGCTTAGTATGTGAAAATCCAATAACAGTTCACCTTATCTAGAATTTATATTTTGCTTAGTATATCTTTGCTTAGAGCACTTCAGGGTGAGTTAAACAACCTATGCACAGCATGTTCAATCTTTTAGTTAGAAAAGTAGAAAATCACTCACGTAGGAAAGTTTCATTTTGTAGTGGTATTTGCCTTTTTCCTTTGCGATCATTGGCCTTTCAGTACGTTGAATCTCTAAGCAACTCATAAACTAGGTCATACATTACGGTGAAAGAAAACAAAATTCTATAATTTAAAGAATTTTGTTTTCTTTCACCATATCAAGTATCTAAAAGTATCAATTTGTTGCCTAAGTATTACTATTTTGTATGAAACACTTAAATTCAGCTAACGATTTATTTCTGTTGCTTTTTCCTCTGTAAAATCCTGATTTCTGGACAATTCACCTTTGGGCTTTAGATTTCACGTGTAGTATCACGTGACTTTTGATGTAAACAAACCCCGAAAGTTCGGACATTGAGTCGAGCTCGCAGCACATGTGTCCAAACTTCGGCTTTGGAAATTTTTCTTAAATAACTTCCCACTTTCAAGAAGCGTCTCTTCGCTCAAAATTGACATCTTTCTTTTGTTATTTATTTTATCGTTTATTGTAGAATTTTTAAGCTTTTGAAACCATCTTGAAGGAAAGCAGAACAGCTTTACGGGCCCGTTAAGTTACCACAACCCCGAGAAACGGGCTCCCGGTCCGGAAAAAGCTGCCCGGCCCTAGTGCACTTGGGCAGAAAATATTAAAATGAAAAACATTGTTCGCTTTTGTGGCCAAAAATGAGTGACAGCAGAGAGTACAATTGGAAACAAATGACACGTTTTTCGATGAAATGTGAGTTTCCTGTTCTAACTCGAAAACAGGAAAGAAAAGTATTAATTGTAGAATCGTTTTTGTGGTTATTCCGTGCGCGCCGGTCTATAGCGTAGTATTTAAGAAAAAAAATCGAAATGTCCAACACCAAAAAGTCATACGGTAAAATGCGTAATGGCTGAGTTAGGTCGGGCTAGATGGGAAATATTTGGCTTTCGGTCATGGCACTCGGACCTCTGTGTTGTGCTCGGTCCGTACGTCTTGACCTCGAGCCAAATACCTTCCCATCCGGCCCTCCCACACAGTCAATTAGTACACAGTATCTCACAACGGCTTTAAACTGATCGTGAATTTCAGTTGATTCATTTTCTCTTCTTTTCCATCGGGTTCACCAAGGTCAAATTCGCAGAACAAGTCGTAAGTAGCTTTTTCTTTACTTTTCCTCATTCATTTTCACATTTCTTGCAAACCAGGTATTTTTCGACAGTCATCATGTGTTAGACTCTCTTAAGAATTATCATCATTTTTGCGAAAGAGTAAATTTGTGAAAGAAAAAGCTTTACTTACAATGAACCGGTATAGTTTTCGCCCCAACCAATATTTTTGATTGCGGCCAAGAGTTATACTTTGGCAAAATGTCCTTTTTACTATTGGTGGCTGAGAGCATGTTAAAGACTTTTAACCGGTCAGACTTCCCCATTGACTGCCAATATGGTAACCATTTGAAATACCCAACAGTTGTGGCAAGTGTAATAGGATGCTTAGTCATACTACTGACTGTTCCATCAACAAGACACTTTTACTTAACGATACCGAACTTAAGAACAATGTAGGCAATAACAAATGTGCATCACCAACTAACATATCTCTTTTTCTTATTTCCTACCTTAACGGGCAAACAGATCGTAAGTACGTTTTCTTTTTATAGTTATTTGGCGGATTTCACATGTCTTTTGACTACTGCAGTAACAGTGATGTAACATATTTGTGTCACTGCCGCTTACTTTTGTAATAATGAAAGCTACAAGTTTCGTTTTATTAATATGATTATGGATGAGAAATTATGATCATCAATAAACATAGCATTCTGATATTCGCCTTGCTTCCTAAGTTATGGTTGGAAACTTGTTCAGGTCGTTTTGAATTAGGCTCTTGTGGGAATATTTATTCAATGTGAACCATAAGTAGATAAGGATCCAATTTTGATTCAATGGCTCAGTTTACGAAAAGATTTAATGTTATCTGTGGTAGACTGTGAAATTGAGGTGTTAGTTACTTAAAACTAATTATGAGAATTAAAGTCATAGTCATGAAAATACTTTCTTATCAGAACTATTTGTTGAGCAGAGGTCTTAGCCGACTGATTAATGAATATCAACGCTCTTGGTAGTTAAATGATTTCATTTTATTTATTTTTCTGTTCTCGATGTATTTTTTTCCATCATTCCTTGGCCTTGGAAATTGTGAAAAACGATCAGGACGTAAGTACATGTTCCGTTGTGATTTAAAGCATATCTATTTGCATGGCACCTTTACAGTACGTTTACGTTAACATATTTAACTAAAGTACAGGTGATAAACGAAAGAAAAAGTGCATAGCATTTCTCAATAATCAACTGAATGTTTTGAGCAACAGATGCACGTTTTAATTATATTTTTTTTATAACTTTTATTTACATGCCACTTCTGCGATCACTTAGCTGGTAAGTTGAATTTAGTTTATCTCGCGCAATGCTTATTCTTAATAATCATTCTCAAGACAATTAAACTTTCCTTTAGTACTTAAGATCTCATTTACAACCGGACCGCGTATGAATTGCTTACTCTTTTCGGAGTGCATGTCGATTAAGTGTTGTAAAAACAAAGCCACAGCGAATCAGAACAACGAAAAATCATTGGAGTTTCAAGAATCTAATATTCAAAGCAAACATTTGGCATCCAGGATCATGTAAAATCAAATTTGCTGAGAAGCTGTAGTGCAGGACGAGGCGTAGTAAAACTCCGATGTTACCAAGGATTACTTCTGAAAACTCCATTGAAAATCGCTTTCGCTTACAATAATAAAGTTTCAACTGATGAAATTTACGCTGACATCCATCAATGTGTTTTAAGTTTACTTTTATGCTTTATTTAGAATTTTGAGCTCAACTCGTGCTTACCGTAAATTATATTATAGTTATTAGTAAAGACTTCCATAACTGGCCCCTCATCCTGTGATCTGCTAGTGGCAGCTGATGAGGAACATTCGGTTCAGCAATGCTAACTTTCTCTACCTCCTAATAGCGACTGAATCTCGTCCAAGACCGCAAACAAAAAAGTTCACGGTGTCTACCATAGGATCATTATAAGGCCTGACAAACGCAGAACAGAAATAAAACAAAGTTTAACACAAGTAATTCAAGGGCTGGTCATACCACGCATAAAATCAGTCAAACCCTTAACGCGAAACCGGCGTGAACGAGGTTAAACAGAAATTTAGAAATGCAACCCATCCTTGATAATTTTCTCTTAAGTTTCTGAAGAATCTTTTTCCAACGTCACATCCTTTCCTGGGAAATATAAATTTAGGCGCTAATGTTCGCTGTCCATGTGTTGAGAAAGTACTGGAACCTAATTCCTTTCCTAAAAAAAAAAAAGGGGGGGGGTAGAGTTTTACGATGAATTGTTATTTCATAACCTAAGCTATGTTATTTAGATCATTAACTGCTCCTCCTTTCTTATCTCATCTTTTCTGTCTAGCCAAAAGGGAAGGTAACTATCAATATCATTTGTTCCTATAAATAAAGAACTCTCCTGTGGCTTAATATACACTATTGACTCTCTGCACCGGCTGATTACTGATCGGCAAATTGCAATCGTAAATAGTAAAGAATTATCTGCGTGTTTATCAATGACAGTTAGTGATAACTGTTAATGTTACAATGTTACTATCCAAACGATTTTACTGATGTGAAAAATATTAGTATAAAATCAGTACCCAAGTTCTGTAATAAACGATATTTGTATAATTATCATCAGATATCAGTCATATTTGGCTGATTGTTTGTTTGATTTAACAAATTCTAAAATATTGGCATACCAAATTAAACAAACTGGTTGGTTCAAATAAACAAATGAATAGATAATGGATTAACATCTTTTCAAAATTGTTTTTCTCTTTCACGACGTTCTTCCCGGATTCATAAGCGGGTGAGTGCGACGAGTTCAGTTTGTTTGTTAAGCTAATGATGTGTGTAGTCAAGTATCCCAGGGCTATATTAAGCCACTTATTAACTCACCGAATGTGAATCTTTCTTTTCATGTTCACCTAACATCCTCATCCGAACTGATATAACAGATTGTAAGTAGCCATGCTTGAACTATCATTTATCAGTAGGCAGGATAAAGGGTCGATAAAGATGGTTGAACAAACGAATGGATCTTAATAGAGGGATTCGGACAGGGTACTCTTCTCTGAGTATCATTCGATTTATGGACAAAGATGTTGCATAGAGATGAAGTGAATTTGAAGTTGCATAGAAATGAAGTGAATTTCAACGTTTCAGGCCTCGGTCTTCGACTGGTAAAACTTTTACAGTGAAGTTGAAAATCAAAAATTGACAACGTTAAAATCCTAGTTTATTTCTTTTAAAATTTTTGCACAGTCATCCATTTGAGCAATACAAAACAGTGTCATTTTCCTTGTCTTTATAAATAATAAATCCGTGACAGATGTTGAGAGAACACGAATGAGGCTTATAAATAGGGAGCTGTAATTTGGGTGATTAAAAGCTTCAAGCCATCAATCTTTTTTAACATGAAGATGTTGGAAGTCTCCTTGGAAATTAGAAACTGGGAATATCGACTCTAATAGTTATGTATTTTGGTATCCTTTGTGACAAGCAGCAGATTAATGCAGCAAAGGAAGTAAATAGCATAGGTAGAGTGATAATATAACATATGATTCTTTGCGCAAAACTTAATATTTTCAAAGGTTGTATGGCGTGGTCATCTTGGAGTGTCTGCAAAGAATGCAACCAGTACCGGCAAAGAGTCGGTAAGTGACAAGAGGGAGTTTTTGATAATCTGTGACTCAAAAGTGCAATGGCTGGTTTTCGCCATTGTTTTACAACTTCAAAAAGCTATACAGCATTTATAAGCTTTTATTCAAATGGATAAATTCTTATGTATATATTGCAATGATAGCAGGTAATTTAGTGTTAAAAACTGAGTTGGAAAAGTAAATTAGCCATCGTAAAGGGTAAAAAAGCTGACGTTTCGAGCGTTAGCCCTTCGTCAGAGCGATTGCAGGAATTGTGGGTTGTGTGTGGGTTTATATGCAGAAAGTGGAGCTACGCCATTGGTGGGAATATGGTGACGAGAAAACAGAAGTAAACTAGTTGAATTAAAAGCGCTCGTTGATTCCGTGGGGATTAAGGGTGCCGATTTGGAAGATAAATTTTTGTTCTAGTGTTTTGCGGCTTTCCGAACCGCCCACATGTAAGGAAAGGCCACAGACTGCCATAATCATAATCCCTAATCATTCTAAACAGCATATGACAGTCAACGGTCTTTCCTCACATTTACTTTAATTTACGTTTTCAACTCAGTTATTAACACTAAATTAACTGCTATACTCTCCCACCGACGCAGAACCAGTTTCTTTAGAAACTTACCCGCTTTATTGCCATGATAATTAAGCAGCGACCTTCAGCAGCTATTTTCAAGCGATGTTTTCTTTAACAGAAATAAGATGACTTAATCTCCAACCGTTTATTACTTTTAAAAGATTATCTGGATAACCTTACTTCTAGAATTTAACTGCTCAAGAACTCAGGAATCACGGCCTTGTATATGTAAGTGTTTTTATGTATGAGGAGAAAGTAAAGGATTCATTTTTTGGTAGAAAATGCTGCACAGATATCCTTCAACTGTCCTTTTATTAAACGTCAAACTCTTTGTTTAATAGACTTTGGTTTTACTAACAGAGTTGGTAATTTTGATCGGCCACCGTAAAAATTATCAAAGTTGACGTTTCGAGTGGTAGCTCTGACGAGGCGTTAACGGTCGAAACGTTAGCTTAGAAAATCTTTATGGTAGCTATTTTACATTTTCGACTTAGTTGATAAGACCTCGAGATTTTGGAAACTTACCCCCCCTTTTCTTTGTAAAAAAAAAAAAAAACATGGCTCGCACTCAATTAAAAACATTTAATTTTTTCTGCAGGAGTTTCATTATAACCGATTAGACGCTAGATATACATTTTGTCACAAAAAAGAAAGGCAATTTTTCTTTAGCAGGAAAAGAAAGATCATTATAGTTTCATGTAAAACAGGTGTGATTTTCGCGAGCCGGTGCTAAGTATTTTTCCTAGGTGAAAATCATGGCTACAAACTTTGATTTCTACAGCAGGGGAGAGCTGGGGAGAGAAAGAGAGTTGCACCAAGTTTCTGAACGAAGGTTAAAAAGAAGTAGAGGGGGAGGGGATGGGGATCAAGTTTTAAATAAATCATTATTTCCTGTTCAAAATTAAAAAGGTCCTCCTGAAATACATTCTCGGCGAGAGAAGTCTGTCAAATTTAATTCAATCCTTCAAGTGAACTGTCTTGTGAGGTGAATTGGACGAGAGATGGAAAGCTACCTGATACCACGAACAAGCTCACCGTTAAACAAGTGACTTATGAACACGCTGGTCAATATACATGCAGCGCTAAGAATAGTGAAGGAAAAAATGAAGCAAGCTTTACTTCTCTTCAAGTTACTCTTTTCATTTTCTGTTCCTTTTTTTTCTCGTATTTTCATCTTTTTCGAATTGTGTTTGTTAATTCCATCCCCAGGTCCTCCTGGAATTAATCCTGGGCTCATTAATCAGTCTGTTACATACATACGTACGCTCTTATTGGTCAAAAGCCTATCGACTATTGTCCCTGTAAACCCATAGATAACTAAAAAATTTCCCTGCCCTGAGAAATGAAGCCATACCAACCGATATCCCAGATTTTAATTTATCTGTAACGCCTACTTTTTTTTAACATTTTCTCATTACTAAGTAGCGCCCAAATCATGTCACTCGAGGTTTTCTAAGCCCGAGAATAAAGGTGAGAACAGATTGGCATGGACTTTCCATGTGGCTTTTGTGGTCGCGTTGCATTGTAACCTTCAAATTAAAATTTTCCTCTCACAAGCGTGACTTTCTCTTTGTGTAAGAGATGATCGGAGGTTTTGTAAAGATTGCTATCAGCAAGGGCTGACTCCGATGTTCCATCGATATTTGTTTTAAATTTTTAACTGCCGAGTGTACGTTGTGACCTTTTGGCTTTTGTGTATGTGTAAGAGCCAATTGCCTAGAGGCAAAGTTGACCCCTGACAGAGACCTTTCTATGATATTTTCTAGGTACCCTCCTGTTTTGAAGCGTTGTTTGAATTTTAGAAGGCCCTCCTCTAATATTTCTTTCGGAGAGTTTGTTCTAAGCAATCTGATTGCTTCGCCTTTAATGAAACCATGTTTAACGCCTGATGGGTGGCACGAAGCGAGGTGCGTAGATTGGAAGGTCTCGGTCGCCTTGTAATGGGTTTTGATGTCCAAGTTGGATTTTTGCGAATCTCTCCTCTAAACACTGTGGTATCGTGGAATGAGATTTGGTTCTCTGCTATTTCTGCCGTGAATTTGATAGTAGGATGGAAAAAGTTAGCTCGTTTAATGAATCATGTATTTCTTCTCTGTTTTAATCCCTAAGGGTGTCATCAACGTAAGGTTTCCATTCTCTTGGCCTGGTTTCGCTTTATTGCATTAATTTCATTTCAATTTCCGCCATGGAAATACTGGCAAATGACACTGCCCATTTTCGTTTGGGAGAAGTTCTCCCCATTGAATTGAAACAAATTTTCTTGAAAGATTAAGCCAAGCATTTCCCTGAGGTAGTGCGTTGGGATCGGTGCTTTATGGTTGTTGAACTTTTCGTATGCTTCGTTCCTTCTTCTTGAGGTATATTTGTGTACAAGCTAGAAACGTTCATTGATACTAGAATAGTATCTCTGCCTACCTTTGTCTTTTCTATGAAAATGATAAAAAGCAGTGACATCCTTCGTATAGGATTGTTGCAATTGCAACATAAGCTGGGACAGTGTCTCCACGAAAGAGGGTATTCTCTCGGTAGGGCCGTGGCAACCTGAGATTATAGATTATAGATCTACCGACCGGTACGTGTATTTTCGTGAGCTTATAGAATATTGGTATACTAGGCGGATTGGGAGTTTGTGAAAGCCATCTCTTGGTCATGTCATCAATTTGTTTGCCCTGACGCATTTTTTCAATGATCTCATTAACCCTTTTCTGCATGTTTTTCACTATCGGTGCTTTGAGAGGTTGTGGTTATTCGTGATGACTGTTATACCTTTGTCTACTTTTTTGAAGTTTAACACAGAATGGCTTTTCAACTCTTTTAAAGCCACAACCTCATTGCGCGACGAATTACTTTTTGGCTTAGTTACAGTAACCTCTGCAAGTTGTGGTTTGACATTTTCCTAATTGCTCTCAAGGGCAATAGAAGGCTGAACCGGTGGTATCCAGTTGGAATTAACCTGAAACGGATGTGGTTCTTTGTTCTGTCAGTGAAAGCAATGCAAATTGTTCAAGTTCTTGCAAGAGTTGTTGCCTAATTTTACATTCGTTTGTCACGGGCATTGAAATGAATTTGAGACCTTTGATAGCATGCTGACTTGTCTGTCAAAAATTTGATAGTTTGTGAGATATTTTAGGAATGTTTCATTTGTCTCCCTTTCTTTGGCTGAAAGCCTATATTTTAAAGCGTGTCTACGCTCTTTGCGTCTTATCCTTTTTGTTCTGTTTCCGCTGTTGTTAAAGCCAGCTTTTTTAGATTCAGAGAACATGTCATGTCACCGTTTCGTTACTCGCGCACATTTACATCACATGCTAAAGTTCCCGTATCAACGTGTGCTCGTGTGTGAATAAATGAGTTTATCATGGCTGCGCGTGTGTTTGTTCTTCGACAAGAAATACTGTAATACTGAAAAGTATACTGCTTAACATGGTGTCAGGACCGGTTTTTACAGCGAGCCAGCCTCTCGTAGACACAACTGCACCACTGAATAGCTTCCACGGCTACATCTCAAATCTTCATCAACATTTCACAATTGCACCATGCCGAAGCACGAAAAGTCTATCCTCGATGTACAAGCCGTGCAACCAAACTGTGACCATAACCGTTACTGGGAGACCAGATTTCATGATTAATATTTACTCGAAGGCTACAGAAACCCCGCTAAAAGTAGACTCACCGAAACTGGGGACCACTACATCGTCGCTAGGAGACCCTTCGAGTTAACAATTCCTGCAACTGAGTGGGACACCCTACACAGCGAAATAGCTTCCAAGATACCGAACGATGATGCTGGAAAACACTGGATTTGGCTTCAAAAAATCAAAGAACATTACACTGGTGCATGTAGTTTGATGCAAGACCGCTACCACTTCTGAGCAAAAATGTCACAAGCAGACCAAACCTCCATTTCAATGTAAGAAACGCTGTACATACTGCCGCCGGGCGATGATCGTTTGGCGTGAACGCGGAAGCATTTATTAGGGGTAAGTTTCTCTTCGGTCTCAACGAGTTCTTCAATCGCCCCGAGAAAACATATTTCACAGATATGGCCAACGGAAACCGGAGGATCCCCCTTTAACCTCGACTTTCGTGGTGAATCAAGCTATATCGTTTGAGGGGGCATAACATACAAACAAGCTTTTGGTTAATTCCACCACAGAAGAACAAGTTCACTCTCCCACTTCCACGACAGCGGTCAAAAAACCTCCGGGCAAACCAAGACCTGGAATCTACCCTAACAGATCTTGCTTTTTCTGTGGCACCAAGTGGCAACACTACCGTGACATATGCCTAGCTTCAGGCCAGACTTGTAGCTGTTCTCACAAAACTGATCACTTTGCAAGCGTCTGTCAACAAGTAGCCAAAGACAACCGAGCCTCCAAACTTGCCTCCCATAAACCTACCCCACCGAGTCCCAGACGGGAACACATGAGATTGGTGGAACAAGAAGAGCACTTCTACACCCTTCCCAAGGAAGGCATACAGTATGAGAACTGCTTCACCCTCTCAAGCGGGCAACCCCTAACACTGGCGTCACTACAACGGCCCCATCCTCTGACAAAGGTCATTTCGTCTTGCTTCTTTTGGAAAAACCAAACTCAAACTGCAGAGCGCAAATTCCTTTCCAAATAGATTCTGCAGTCTCTTGAAACACATTTCTATCCTGCCACCTCTCCAGCATGCCTTGGGCCAAGATTCTACCATCAATTACTGTATGACAGTCCACCAATCAGACCCATTGGTCAACTTGCCCTCCAAGCCTCTACGTGCGGACTTCATAAGGAAATGTTCCACAAGTAACCCTCCCCAGCCACTAACGACTGAACCTGACAGCCATCAGGTATAAGCAGCTGGGCTCCCTCCACCACGTCCAGATACGTCAATGCGAGTCTGGCCTACTCCAGGGACTTGAACTCCGGAATTCATTTCCAAGAACTGGAGCTCACTTTTTCAAGGTCTAAGCTTCCGCGGCCCACCCGTCGGTCTTAACCAGGATCCAGATGTCAAACCCATCCATGCCCCCAATCATTGCGAGCCGATTTCAAAGCTGGATGCGATAAAAGCGGCCCTGGATGCGTATGAAACCACTGGCAAGCTGGTAAGGATATCTGAACCGAAAGCGAGAACCAACCCTCACCAAACCGGGAAAATACGGAGCTGCTTAAACCCTTCTCAGACCCTCAATAAAGCCATTCGATGTCCTTATCATCAAGAATATCATCTCCACCTTGGAAGAAAACATCCACAAGCTACATGGAAGGAATAGCAAAGTCCACTACTGCCATAGAGGAGTAGAATATTGACTTCGTTTCACATAGAAGCATGTTTTTAGTCATGCCCTACCTGCTCCCAGTGTGGAAAGCAAGCCGCCACTGACCATACTATCCCCTCCTGTCCCTACAAGACCTTGGCAGTTCATCTCGCAAGATATATTTGAGTTCCAACATAACCAGTACCTAGTCACCGTAGACCATTACAGTGATTTCTATGAGTTGGACCAGCTGATTAACACTCAATCTACCACCATCGTCGTGCTCACCAAAGTCCACTTTGCCCGTCACGGCATCCCAGTAAATTGTTTAACAGACAATGATCCGAAATCCAAGGAAGTTTAATGACAACGAACTCTACTAGAATGTGGGCTAACAGAGTACAACCTTACAAGAGCACTCCATATTGTCGGTGCCTTTTGGAACATTTTTCTTCTTTTTCTTGTCATTATCTTGTCATTATTGAACAATGGGTCACATTAATTTTATCTTGAACTCCGGAGACACTATTTGTTTGTATTTGCATATCTCTCTCTGTATATTATTTTTTTGACTAGGTGGATGTCATGTCACCGTTGCGTTACTCGCACACGATTGCATCACATTCTAAAGTTCCCGTATCAATGCGTGCTCGGGGGTGTGAATAAATTAGTTCATAATGTCTGCCCACGTGTTTATTCATCGTCAATCTAGATAGTATACTGCTTAACAAGCACACTTATACTTTCCACCTATTTTATTTGCAAGTATATAAATAGACTCTTAAGTCAGAAATCTCATTCCTTAATTTGGCTATTTTGTCACTATTTTTTTTTTATAATGTTTGCTGAGTGCTTTTCTTTGAGCGGTTGCCAATTTACATGTTTTTTTTCGTGAGATATCGTTTTCGTCTTCTTCACCAAGACTTTGTGTAAGGTATTCCGCTAGAGAGTTGTCAAAGGCGGACATTGGTGCAACTGTTTATAGTGGCTACAACGATATCGACGGTTTCGACTCTTCACGAGTCTCTTCAGCTGTTGTTTGAAGATGTTGTTGCAAGAGCAAGGTCTTTCAGGGAAAGGTAGAGTGGTGTTCTCAATTCCGTTCCCGAGTGGAAATTGCTTCTGTGACCTTTTTATACGTAGATCGTTTGGCTTGAGGACCGGGTTTCCATTATTCCTATTGGTCCTTGATGTTGGTTAGGGAACCAATAAGGAGCAGGCCATTTCGATCTTACCCGATCTGAAGGTGAGAGTGAGTTTTTAGGAAGGCCTTTTCTGCTGCATAAATCGCTTGAAAAGCTACTAAGACTCATAAGTTAAATTTGTTACGGTTTGTTCCTAAAAAGGAGGGGCTTAAAATGTTGTTTTTAAACTATAGTTTGTGTATTTTGAATTTGTTCATTAACTGATTATGCACGCCAGAGTGTTTGCACATAAAGGACGGGGTCTGTCTGGAAACCATCAACATGGGAATAAAGGTAAAGACAGACTGGCACGGATTCCCATCGCATTATCGTCTTCAAATTGTATTTTTGCTCTCAAAAGCGTGTCTCGATAAGTTTAGCAAACCCTAGGGCATCGCGCCAAATACCAACTTAATGAGTTTACCGTAACCAAATGTTACATAAGCATTGAAAGTAATTATAGAGAAAGGGAGAAATACAGACTGCACCACTGTCTTACATATTTTATTTTGTTAAATGATCCAAACATGTCATGTATGGTTGTTTATCGAATGTTTTTGTTCACGAGATTTGGTTCTAAAGTTAGTTGCAAATGAACAAGACAACTGCACCATCGTAAATCTATCAATTCGAGTGTTGGGCTGAATTGAGGGCTTTTTAGACACTCGATTTCTTATATGGCATCGCTATGAAGACGTAATACAACTGATACACCTACACTACATAGGATTAACAATGTAATTGTAAACTTTTTAAGAGTTTCAGAGACGTTTCAGAGACGTCTATCTTCGGCTGTCACCAAAAATTGACCCCCACTTAAATTTACCGGGAAAAATGAACTTACCAACTCCTTGCTGAAAAAATTGGAATTCATTTGACCGATACGCCAGTGGTTTCAGTTTTGCCTTTTTCCTCGGGCTGCCATAAAACAGTTCATAAATTGACCAATTAATAAAATGTTTTGAAATACCGTTCGGAGTTTGCCTTTTTTTTTTTGCATGCAAATCAGGGGTAAACAAAGTTTTTAAAACATTTGACAAGAATTTCATGGGGTTCACCTCGATAATTTTCGTCGGTGAGAGTCAAGACGTGCCAAGGTAAACGACATCGCCCCCCAGTAAAATAGTTTTCCAAAGAATAAATGTGGCGAGCGTGAGGAAAAGCACAGTTTTTTCATTATTGTGATCAAAGCCCAATGATGTACCTAAATTGGTACTTACGGTATCAAGCCATTGATTATGACAGGGTGAGCTTAATTTTTCTGTCGAGGTCGACGTGACTTCACATTAAAAGCGTTTTTGACGGAACAAGCTAGTGAGCATCACTGCACGAACTGAGAAAGTAAAACTTGTATTTATCCCCCACACGTTTCGTCTGACAATAGTAGACTTCATCATGGAATTTTTCAAGTAGGGTAAATAAGCTTGCTCATATACCAATAACAAATAAGTCGTCTCTTTACTATTGAAGCCAGTGGATAGAATTCGCTAGGTGTGCCTACGGTGTTATACATGCGTGACATTTTCCGGACGTTACATGTACGAGTACGTGACCCGTTTGAGGGTCACAGATTCAGTGTAAATATTTGACCCCTCAACATCACGCAATGTCTCTAGTTTACAGAGGTCTAAGAACGTTTCAATATATGGATTTGCCTTCTGCGGGTAGAAGGCTACAAGCGAATTTCTTAATTGATGTTGTAGCAAACACAGTTTTTGGGAGTCACGAAACAAAAAAACTTGTCAGGACCTATATTCATGATCTAATGGAAATAAATAGCAAATAAAAACACATTCTCTTGAGAAATAAAGTCATAAATAACGGGGGTTCTATGAAACAAATAGTGATAGAAAAAGATTTCAGTTCTGGTCAATATTAACTTTTCATAGCCTACTTCCAAATCTGAGGAAATGCGCGGTGGGAATAAAAAATTTACGTGTGTGATAATGCAAGGAAGAGAATAAAAATTCAAATAAAGAAAAAGGAGAAAATATAGGAGGGGATGGGGATCAAGTTTTATATAAATCATTATTTTTCTTTTCAAAATTAAAAAGGTCGTCCCGAAATAAATTCTCGGCGAGAGAAGTCTGTCAAGTTACATTCAACACTTCAAATTCAATGCTTCGTGGGGGCTTTTCCTAAACCAGAGGTGAACTGGACAAAAGATGGAAAGTTACTTGATACCAGGAACATGCTCACGATTAATCGAGTGACTTATGGCGTTGCTGGTCAATACACATGCAGCGCTAAAAACAGTGAAGGGAAAAATAAATGTTGACTTACTTATTTTAGTTCTATTGCTCTTCTCATTATCTGTTGTTCTTTTCAAACTTTCACCTTTTTTGAATTGTGCTTTTGAATTCTATGTCCAGGTCCTCCTGAAATTAATCCTGAGCTCAAGAATCGGTCGATTGCCTATAACTCGTCGCTTCAGTTCATTTGCTCTCTAAGCGGTTTCCCTACACCCGAGATACTCTGGACTAAGGATGGCGTGAATCTCGGTAACAACAACACTTTCACGATTCGCCAAGCGAGATTTGAAGACTCTGGTCAATACACCTGCAGCGCCAAAAACAGCGAAGGAAGCAAAAACTCAACTTTCTGGATCGAAGTGGCGGGAGGTACGGTTCTTATTTACATATAGAAAGAACTTGAGTCAATAATCAATTTAGATCTTTGGTTGGATAAGGATAAAATCTTTTCTATGATACCAAATGCAATTTAAGGACTTGAAACCACAAAAGTTTCAAAATTGATTAAAAATATTAAAAAAAGTACTTGATTGATGATAACATTTAAAAAGCGAGAACATGCCAACTTATACATCGAATGTAAATGAATTTCGTGATCAGACATGTAATTAATTTTTGGGCAGTTTAAACTGATTTCTTTTTGGAGCGTCGAGCAATTTTGACTTTAAAGATATCACCATATTTTGTCACGGCATTTATTATAAAAGTCCGTTTAATTTTTTTAATTACCTTTTTTCTGCTTCTTAAATAACAATGGCTGACATGATTTCATGTACATTTTTAGAAGTGCAAATTGGCTATCAGTGCATTATTATTTAAGTATTTATTACTGAAGTTGGAAAGCGAAACATCCATGTAAATTTTTCATTGATGCAAGCCTTTTAACCATTATTATTTGGCTATTATTCAAAGTAAATGTGTAGTTTGAACTTAGAGAAACTGGTACTCTTGACCATGGTGTTGATATTAAACCTAACAACCAGTGAGAAAAGAATGAAGAAATTAATAAATAGGTAACTAAGTTGTTAACTCCTGGGCTGTTATTAAGATAGGAAATCTTTTAAGGAAATAAAAGAATGTTTTGATGTCACATTGGGCCGACTTATACCTTCCTATATCAAAAGTGAAGAAAACTAATTTCAAAATAACCTTGGCTTAAAAATAGACTCGGCAATAACGTAATTTGCTTTTATTTTGAAACTAGTTAATTTAGGGTTGGATAGGGAAGGGGGCAGAGGGGGTTAAAATGGAAAATGCGACCCTTTGTTGAGCTTGGTGATCTTTTTACTTCAAGTCTCTCCCCAGATCACTGAGCCTCCGAGAAGCCAATCTCTTGCCGAAGGTTACCCTGTAAACCTTAGTTGCGTAGCCTCAGGTATTCCAACACCAACCTTAGTCTGGACTTTTAATAATGGTGACCTGCCATCTGGTATCAATCAAACCGGTTACGAAGGAGGATCAATCCTAGTTTCGCCAAGTGTCACGAGAGAGATGAATGGGACTTACAAGTGTACAGCGAAAAACAAGGCAAACACAACCAGTTCCTCAGCAACTTTGCGTGTTTATGGTAAGTTCAGTTATAATGATATTAATGATGATGATGATGATAATGAGTACGACGACGATGGTGACGTTGATAATGACGATGATAAAGTTGAAGACGAATAAGAGAAATAGGGAGAGAAGAAATGAAGACAGAAAAATGAACTTGTAAATCCATGGGCAATAGCGACGGAGAAAAGGAATAGCGCGAAGAGAATTTAGGTAAACTCGGCCTACTTGTATAAAGGGCAGATAACGCTATCTAACGGTTAAATATTTATCCAGTGAATCTGTTGTAGCAAAACGAAAAGCGTTCTCCACCAGATAGAGTTTTATCCAATGGATAGTGTTATCCACCCTTCGAGCAACCGGGGCCTGACCTACAAAAAGACTGGTGATATCAATGCTTAATACTTATGTCCTTGGATCTTTATGATTACACATGCAAAGAACTGCGCAGATCTGGGTAGGAAAGAAGCGCTGAAGAAAAAGGACAGGTGATGGCACTATAGAGAGTTGATTGATTCGAAATACTTCACGATATGCAATGTACTTTCAAGCTGGAAAAATCTGAAGAAGAGAATTCCGAGACGGAGAGATCCAGAATCTCAGAAGAAAGCTAAAAGTAAGCGAGATGCAAAAGCCAAAGTTACATACGACACACAATTTTATTCTCTACATTGAACAACAAAACTAAAACAGAGGAAACCACTTAAAGCGAATACGCTTCCATCCGTGACCGACGTCGGAGGTCGAGTAGAGATTAAGCATTCGAAAGAATTCCCTCGCATCCTCAATTCTTTTAGATCTCTTCACAAAGTTGATTTATGGCTTTTTTTAAATCGCAATGTGACTTAGCCATGAGGGTGGAGAATATCACAGAGTCAAGATTTACGGATTTACACGCTGAAAAAGCATGAAGTAAAATTTTCTTCCCAAGCTGGTCCAAGAAGCCGAGAGGCAATCAAATGGCGCACATCGCTTTTTTTACGTGTGAGGAACCGCGTATCGTGCTTTTTCACCCGTAAAGCGTATGTTATTCTTATTAATCTTTCACTGGCATAGTTTCCGTCTATAACATTATAAAAATCGGCTTTCAGGACTGTTTATTAAACCAAATTACTTACAAAAGATGACTGAGGAACCTCTGTGGAGAATTATGCGGAATAGAAAGCATGCAGAGCAAAAACACAAAAGAGAAAACAGCGAGTCGGTTTGTACCAGAAATCTCATTGGTTCGCTGCGCACACCTGTTCGATTTCCGATACTACCAACTCGTGCGTAAAATACCGTATGGACAGACTTTCCATGAAGTATTTTCTATCGATTGAATTGTGATAACAGCTCTTGATTCTAGTTCCGTCTATGATATCCACAATTTATCCTTGGAAATTTCACCGTGTCAGCTTGAGAAAATGTTGTAAGTCCACTCGAGAAAATGTAGTGAGTCCACTCTCCTCAGGAAGCGACAGAAAACCACCTAATGAAGTTGTTGTAGTACTTTACAATTTAGACGTACGATCATCTACTTGAAATCACACCCGATTCCGCTCTGCTGGAAAAGAAAGAAACTTCGTGTTGCATGACTCACTTGTTGTGTCCTTTTGCACAAGAGTGAAGAAAAAAGAACAAGGGAAGATGGATTTTAGATGCATTTAAAGCAAACTGTTCGAAGCATTCCTATAGAGGTCGCATTTGACTCGTTTCGTTTCCATGTTTTGTTTTGGTTTTATTTTGTTCTTTGGGGGTGTTTCTGATGCAGTTGAAGTTTCAATGTGACACTAGCATTCTAACGAATTGTCCCTTTTTCAACGTAGGAAAAGCCTCTGCTCGAGTTGTTTCAGAGAAATACATAACACTTATTCAAGGATATGCCCTGGCATTGACCTGCAAAGTCAACGAAGAAACAATAAGCGTAATGTGGAAAAAAGATGGAGAGCTAATAACAGAAAGAGCAGTTATAGAAACACGATTAGACGAGAAAAAGAGTAAACTTGCTCTTACTGAAGTTGTGGAAGAGGACAGTGGTGAATATTCTTGTGAAGCACGTAACAAGCTAGGAACTGTGGCTCGCTCTGTTGTGATGGTAAATGTCAAAGGTAAGCTGTTTAAGGAACTACATATAATTTTAGTAATTAACTATATAAGGTCATTATTATAAAATGCACCTCCACTTTTTAAGTTCCTCACAAACTTTTCCAGTGGTTTTTTGATCTTCTGGGAACTAGAAATTTGAAATTAATTAAATTTGAAAGAAAACTGTTTCAAAACGAATTTGAAACAGTAGCAGTATGTTATACATGTTAAACATATTCTATAATTCTTTCAACAATCTTTCTCTTTCTATCTGCTTGTTTTTGGTAAATTAACACATCTGTGTCTGTTTTTCCATGGGTTATTCCCCGTCACCCAACGCGAGCAATGAACAAAGTAAATCGTTGGATCGTTGTCGAAATTGTAGTAAATTGTTGGATCGTCGCTATCTGGATCGTTGGTGATTTTAGTTTTTATTTTTAATGCCGACCAGCAAATTACTTTCCTACTAAGCTTTTTTCTATTATTATGTTTCAGGAAATTCAGAGGCTCCCTCCAGCAGCTCATCTTCCTCCAGCAGCTCACTGGAGTGGTACTACATTGGGGGACCTTTGGCTGCTGTCGTTTTTCTACTGGTGCTCATTTCATACTGTAAAAAACGCCGTGAGACAGGTAAAATGTTACCATACGAAAATAAAATGTCTTCATATGGCAGATTGTGGCTTTTAATAGGTCAGTGTTTTGGAGCACGAAGGGGCTATTTAAAGCAGGTCATATTCTGCATTTCCAGCGCTGATTTTGAAGGTCCCTCTACAGTCCCGGCAAAGCCCAATGCTAATCAAATTACAAAAACCTTACAAATTATATGAAACTAATTACCATGATAACCCACCTTAATCCTTCTCCTGTTGTTTGACAACAGAGTCAAATACAAGTTACACTTGGTTTCTGAGTCACAAGCTTTAACTTAGTTAATGATGTCATTCTTACTCACAACGAAGCGATTTCTTTCATCTCTTTCCACATATCCTTTGATAATAGCCCCACCTCATGTGCCATCTAGGCCGAAGTAAGTGAATTCTCTTTTTTTTAATGCTCACTGTTTGAACGTGTGGTTATTACCGAAGTTTCTAACTCTTGAATAAGTCTCAGTAAAGTAGTGATAAGTAAGTGCCGCTGCTGAGCAAATACGTCTTTTTTTTTCAGTTTGTACCGATTATATTTACCATTATGAGCACACTGACCAAAATAAAGGTTTTTTTTTCTTTCGAAGCAGCAGCAGTTTTCGAAGCCGCTCTAATCAAATGGCAGTCAAATGTTTCCTAACATTCTTTCTGTTTTGGATTCGTCCGTCCTTCACTTGCTTTGACACCTTGTTTAGAATCTTTTTTTTTTGTTACCAGTATGCTGGGTTGTGGGTGGCATACTCGTAAAGAGAAAGAGAAGCTTTGGCCCTTCGTCACTCTGTTACAAAAAATACAGTTGAAATACATTCGGAGTCTTGTAGACCGATTTAAAATACTACTTGATATATTGATTGTAGACAATAATTCGGATGGTTTTGGTTAGTATTTCTTTTCTCGCGTAGGAGGTACGATATTTATATGACGTAAATTGCCGAAAAACGCAGTCGGCGCTAGTTTATCTTCATGGGAGGTTTATCCAATCTTTTTTTTTTTTTTTTAATAAAATCTCCTCTCTGGATCGATGCGTCGAAAAAAAAGGGGTCAGTAGATTAGTATCCAAACTTCACCTATATCAATAATTTTTCCATTGGCAAGTGATAATTTTCTGAAGCACGCGGAAATGAAATGAAAAATGAAATGAAAAGAAAAAAAATTAAAGTGAAGATATAGAGGATATCTTTACCACGTTACGTTAAACCAGATTTAAAGAAGGAAAAGATAGATAGGTAACACAGATGGTTAAAGTCTTATTTTCATCTGCAATTATTCAGTGAAGGGGAAGACGAAGTTGAGCTGGATAAGCTGAACGCTGTGGTTGCAATTGACGATGGTGCTACAGCTTTCCCCTTCGCTACTAACTTAGAAGGCAAAGGGAAAGCTGCAGCAAATCTCGCCCATGAGGTGGGTAAGCACGGTGCTGCTGCACATCCCTTTGTGGTTGGAATTGATGATGGTGCTACAGCTTTACCTCTCGGAATAAAAGCAGGAGAAGAAGGTTGCCTAGCACACCCTTTTGAGAGTGATAAGAAGAGAGGAGAGGCTGGCGTACAAGAGTATGATGGTAATCAACTTACTGCTGCGGATGCAGACGAAAATGGAAATGACGAAGATGAGGAGTCATCTGAAGCAGCTCCTCTTGTGCAGGACTGAGGCTTAAAAGCAAAATTGCTAAACCTCCATGGTTGTAGTCTTATAACACTCTGTGGTAATTTGTAGTTTAGATTTCGAGAACTTCAGCCTCAATATTTCATAGCTTTTGATTTTAAGATGTAGTTTTTATTGTACTTTTATTTAAGTAATGCTTTGGTAGTGATGATAACCATTTTCATAGTTTATAAATGGAGGTTAAGTGGAATTTCCTTGAAAGAAAAACTTGTTTATTTACTTCACTTTTGCATTTCTTAGTTTACCGTTTATTCACTTGGTGCACTTGTCAGTGCTTTGTTGATGTTATTGACTGTAGGCTGATAGAGAAAAAAACTAACAAACAAACAAACAAAAAAAAAGAAATTGCCGTTGAGATAATTTTTATAACTGATCAAGTCAGAAATGCTGCGTAAATTTGTGAGTGTTGTTCCTAGTATAAGTAATATTTCTTAATCTAATTAAGAATAATTAATTTGTTGTATAACACCCCCTAAATGCTTCAATAAACTTATATAAGCTAAAATCGTTTTGTTTACTCCATTCATTGCAGAAAGAATGCTGGTCTGGATTTAACTGTAGATTTGAAGGACACCATAGACTAAAATGACATTTAGTCGAGCCAATATAATAATGGATTCTCATTCAGTCATTTTTCAATTTTGTTTTTTCCACGAGCAGTTACATATAACCCTGACATGAGCAAGGCCTTTGAAAAAATAGACGATGGCATTCCGGCGTGGCTTAGTTCATCATTAATCCATCTAATAGGAAACAATTAGCGCTCATAAATTCTGAGTCCATGACTCTCTGGTCTTTGAATCCAGAGTGCCACAAGCGGTTATTCCATGACTTGTTTTATTCACAATTTAAGTAAATAACTTTTCATATGCCCCTCAATCTTGTTTTACTGAATATTAGTGGATGATACTAAACTTCAGATTTCTCTCCTAGTTCAAGGCTGAGCTAAGACAACAATATTTTTCTGAGAAAGGGAGTTTTCTTTAAATGAAACTGAAATAAAACCACGACCGTCGATCAAAAGATCGGTGGGGACTCGGATGTCGATCTCAAAAATTTCGGTTTTTGTCTTTTTTTCGGTATTTATCTATTTGACTGTTCAATATGCTTATAAGGAAGTATTTATCGTTTGATAGGGTTTTGAAATTTCTGCTCACGAAATTAAATTAATTTTTTTTTATTTGAATCTCCCGAAAATCTGACAAATTTTGATTCACTCAAAATGAATATAAAGAACCCAAAAGTAATCACTAAAACGTAACTCCACACAATATAACTGAAATAACTGAGGCGGTGAGAAAGGAAATGAAAATAACAACCTTCCTTGTTTAAAAGCCTCGCCAGCAAGAGGACTAAGGGGGCTCTTTTAAGGTGTCATTCAACAATGTTGCTTCGCACTTCGCTGAAAAGGGTTTGTTGAGTTAATATGCGAGTTATTAGATTAACACAGGAGAGAACGGGGCATATTGAGCAAAGATAGGTTCCATACTTAACGTTTATTTATTAATTTTGTTTATTCATCGGCGATCTTAAAATAAATATTAGAAACCCGTCCAAAATAGATAGAAAGAGTCAAATCTCAGTCAATGTCTCATTGTATTTCATGGCAAAGAATCAAGAGTAATTGATGTTACTAAGGCTATATTCATTGAAGTCTACCCGTCATTTTGAGTTTCTTCTTGAAATCTTTCGGCTGAGTGCAAATTTCTCAAAGTCTTTTTGCTCGTAAACTATGATCTTCTGGATTAGCTCCCTCTCAAGTAAGCCACGAATTTTCTGCACTTTCGTAGGGCGAAAGAAGTTTGAAAATAATGTTGACTAATGTATAGTACCTGCAGGGTGCAGACTGAGTATGTCACTGATGTTCTTACCACATTTGTGACGTCGTCTGTGATCTATTATTTTTAAGAACCCGGGCAACATGAATTCTATTTGTGTTATATAATAGATCTTAGGTAAGAACCAAACACAGTGCCTGAGTTTTTTGCTCATGATATAAAAAAAGAACCTACGAATACTTTGCTGCTTGTGCAGCTTTAAAAGCACGTGATTCTAAATTGTTCAAACCTTGATTGCAGACAGTTCAAGTATTCCCCAAGTTTTGTCAAACTTCTAGAACGGTATGTATTATGTAACTCACTGATTACAAAGTGAGTTCCAAGTAATCATGGAAGTTGCGTGACATGATACTTAATGTCATGTCACGCAACTTCGCATTTAAAGTTGAGACTTTTTAACACGCAGTCACGGTTAGGTTTGGTAGGTTTGAATAGAGAACGTTCGAAGTTTGTGACGTGGTGAACGTTGATGATAGACAATAAAACAAGGATTAGACGATTGAGAGTAGAGTGCAGCCCGCAAGTTCGGTACACTTTTTCTCTAAATTTATTTTTGTTTCCGATCTCTAGCTTCACAGTAATCATTTCTTTCCTTTCACCGAGAAACCACGGGTTACGATATCACGTAAATTAAAGTTAACTGGGACGTGCGGTGTGTAATATCATCGTCATTATCATCATCATCGTTCGTTGGGTCAGTAGGTACATAAGGCCGTCACATTGTCCGCCCAACCCCACTGTCGCGTGCCGCTGCCCCAGCCACGATCCAGCTCTTCCATATCGTCTTGCCTTTTTCCTCTTTCAACAGTCCCTCTCTAAGTGGTCTTTGGTCTCCCTCTCGCCCTTTGAAATTCTGGTGTCCACCCCAATACCGCAAAAAAATTCGTTCTCACCCTCTCTCCTGAGCACTACCTCGCAGCTAATTTTATTGGTGTCTGCCATTTCAACTACTCTCCTGTTTGTCATTCTTTATTGCCATCTAATCCTCAGTATCCGTCTTAGGCATTAGTACTGAATACTGTTCAGTTTTCTTTCATCGGTCTTTGTGACCTTCCATGTTTCACAACCACGTAGCAGGACCAGTCAGACTAAAGTCTTGAATAGGCATATCATAGCTCTCTTTCCTATTCCTCTGCCCACACCTTCCATAGCCTCTGGAATGCACCTCGTGCCTTCTGCATTGTTCCTAATATCTTCACTGCCTCCACCTTTCTTTTCTACAATAGCTCCAAGATACGCAAACTCTTCGACATCTTTCACTTCTTCACTACTCACCACAATGCTCTCACTGTTCCTTGCAAACTCAGTCCTCAGTGTCTTGCTGTTGTCTTCCTCATGATCCAACCCATGGTCAGTAGGAATAAGAATCCTGACGTTACGCGTCCCAGCTTTACTCCTGACTAAATCTTGAACCAGTCTGATATCTCAAATCTGTCGATTACGGCGCATTCAAACCCTCCGTATATGCCCATTTCCACTCTCACCATCTTGTGCGGAATTCCATAGCTGCCCCTTGGTGTTCCACGAGCTTTCACCGAATCGAGGGCTTTTTCAAAGTGCACAAAGTGCGTGTGCAGACTCGCCCTCCAGTCGTTTGCCTGCTCTAAGATGTTTTTTTAATGTAAAGATCTGTTCAGTTGTTTTTCCATTTGGTCTAAAGCTAGCCTGCTCTTTTTTAAGCTTCTTGTCTATACCTTTCTTGATCCGTTCTAGCAGCACCCTGTGGAATATTTTACTGATGATGGGTAGCAATTTTCACACGCAATTCTCGCCTCCTCCGTTCCCGGCTATTTTCTTGGTTATGCTGTTTGGCTCCTCGTTCCTACTCTATTCTCATCGGCCTTTTCTGCTATTTTCTACAATTCCACATCCTGTCATCTCTTGGCAACTTCCGCTGTTCGTGTTGCCCCCGCCAAGGTCCTTACGTTCAAAAAACCGATGGTGATCTGTTTCTTGGGGGCTATCATGGGGCCTATCGGCCTTTAGGCTTCCTGCAGGCTTTGGCTCAAGAGCGTCATTAAGGCCTCGGCAGCAACACTCTCGTTTTGAGTTGTATCATTAATGTATCCGGCTTCTGTAACATGTGTTTCTTTCTGCGGGGTAGGGTCGTTAACCCTGCGCCCAACCTCCAACTGGAGGACCGGGGGATCACTCTTTATCTGGTTTTTACCCTTCGACCTGTTCGGCACTGGTGACCCTACCAGGAGTGTAGGACTTCAGCCAGCATATCTTTAGGTGTCATTGAGATCGGATTGGCGAACTTCTCCTGTATTTATGAACTCAGTGTAAAGTGATCCTTGATTAATCACTGGCGAGCGAGCTGAAACATTCGAATACAGTGCTAGGAGACTTGCAGTGTAGCTTTTGTAAGAGTACCATCAATAATTACCTCACAAGCTGAAAAAAATGTCAGCTTAGTAGAAGACGATAATTGTACAGCTTAAAAATTCCCCTATCATTGACTTTGACCATCAGTTCCCGACGTAATTTTGTTCTGCCGAATGATTCAGTGTCAACATTTTAACCTAATTTCACTCTCTTGTATGCGAAGGGGGCAGATCAGGCGAGATCTGTAGAGTTCCGTATTTGAGGTCGACTGTGTCTCGAAAAAAAATACCTATGGGACCAAGTGAGTACTGAAAGAAACAAACAAATTAACAAATAAGGAAGCAAGAAGATTGTTTCTTTCACACATAAACCGTATCCCCAATGCTTTGAACACTTTTCTGTATTATACTGACGTTTTGGGTGACAGTGAATCTTTATCACTCTCTTTTCCTCCCTTCTATTAGCCTCTGACTCCATTAAGCAAATTGTTTTGAAAGCGAGATTTTTTCAATTGCCCTCACCTTCCTGTCTAGTATATAATTGACGTGCATCAGCGAAAATATCTTGGTAGGTAAATAAGTATTCAAAACAATTACGGCAAAACTGTTAAAGGATCAGCAAAAGTATAGCGACCCACCGAGATAACCGAATTGGGTACTAACATAACTATGGTTTTAATAGGATGTAACTGATAATGGCCACTGTATTGAAGTACACCACAACTGAGTTACTACAGGATTTGTTACGTGGTCACTGACATACTAACTGAGGGTCTGCGAACCATCCTCAAACAAGAATAGGACAATCGATACAAGACAACACTGGGAGAATGGAAAGGTCAAACCAAAAATGGAATGGACTTCTGGAGTGGCGAGCCCCTTTCCAACAGAAGGAGAAACGCACGGCTGTTGAAAATCATGAAGAATGGCGACACAGCTAAATGGGATTGTACCATGCTGTTTTACGCTATCCGGTATTCAGATTGTGTATCTCAATCCATCGAACAGATCAAATGTGGACGACCTAAGGAAATTTCGAAATAAAGAATTTGCACATATGCCACGGAGCCACCTCTTCGACAGAGATTTCCAAAAAGTTATTTTAAAAGTTAAAACTGTATTCACCGCACTCGGTCTCCCCACATTAAAAATCAAACAAACTTCCCTACAGAGAAGTTAGACGAAGTTTTAAGGAAGGTTGACGAGTTGAAACAAGAACTTAAGGAAAAGAAAAAGGAACTTCTAGAAAAAGACAAGGAACTTCTTGAAGAAGGAACAAAACAGGAGAAAAACTAGAAGAGCTTCAAGAGAAAGGACAGGAACTTCAACAAAAAGAAGAACAGAGGCTTGCCTTAGAAGAAAAATTACTTTCCAATGTCTCTCCATTTTGCATTCTCCCTCCCAAACCTAGCCACGACATCGCTCCTCGCGAATCTTAAGTTGCCGAAATTTTATAAATTATTCCGGTGGCCTTTGGAGCCTTAGTGAAATGTGCCGAGACCACGGTGAGTTTGGAGCAGCGGTAATCTACAGTAAATTTCTGTTAACACCGATTGACTTGAGTTACGTTGGTACGGACCAAGCAAAGGCAGAATATTACAACAGATTAGTTGATGCGCTCAGTGAAATGGACGAAACAGATCAAGCAAAAGACAACTATAAGCGTGCACTAGAGATTCAACTGAAAAAGCTGGGACCTGAACATGTTCATGTTGCAAGCACGTACAACAGTCTTGGTAATTCACTCAGTAAGCTGGGCGAAACAGATCGAGCAAAAGACTACTATGAGCGTGCACTAGATATTGAACTGAAAAAGCTGAGACCTGAACATGTTGACGTTGCAAGAACCTACGGAAATTTTGGCAATTTACACAGTAAGCTAGGCGAAAAATATTAAGCAAAAGACCACTGCAGGCATGCACTAGAGATTCAACTGAAAAAGCTGGGACCTGAACATGTTTACTATGCAAACACCTACAAAAATCTTGGTGTTTTACACAGTGAGCTGGGCGAAACAGATCAAGCAAAAGACTAGTATAAGCGTGCACTAGAGATTCAACTGAAAAAGCTGGGACCTGGACATGTTGACTTTGCAACCTGTTGCAACAATCTTGGTAATTTACATCGTACGCTATAAGCGTGCACTAGAGAATCAACTGAAAAAGCTGGGAGCTGAACATGTTAATGTTGCAACCTGTTACTTCAGTCTTGGTAATTTACATCACACGCTGGGCGAAACAGATCAGGCAAAAGACTACCATAAGCATGCATTAGAGATTACACTAAAAAAGCTGGGACCTGAACATGTCGATGTCGCACATTCTTACCACAAACTGGGTAGTATTTACAATGGCCTGGGCGAGTTCGAAGAGGCCAAGCACTGTCTTGATCGTGCATCGGTAATTTATATCGCCAAATATGGTTAAGAACATGTAAGAGCACTTCAGGTCAGGAGGAACTTATCTCGGCTACAACAGAAAAGAAAGAGAGTTGATGACCCTGGAGCTGTTTTGAAAAAGAAGAAAAGAGACTCGTGTGAATAGTTTAAGAAACTGTGCTGATTCATAGACGTTGTTGGAATTTAATTTAGCTTTAATCGTAGCTCTTTCTTTGCACGTGAGAACTTAGACCGTTTTAATTTTTTTATAATATCTTGCATAATTTGTGCTCTTTATATTCCGATCTGAAAACTCACACAATCGATATGGTTTTCTTTTCTCATTTTTGGACAAGTAGTTCATTACTTTCTCATTTCTGAAGTTGCTAGAAAAGATTGTAGTTCTACAAATAATAAACAATCAAAACATGCACCCAAGTAAAGAAATTTTTCAGTTGCTAATCAGTGCTGCTTCTTCAGAATCGTGCTTTTTTAAACTGATGATTTTTATCCATATTCTTGATCAACTATGTCTTCTTGATCAGCTATGATCAACCGTCATATTAATTTAAAAAGCGTCCTAAATGGGTGATCATGATCATGTAGTAAAGAATTTACTTGCAAGGGGGTGGGGGTTATTTATTGATGAAAAAAGTTAGCAAGATTGTTGTTTGTCTGAAGGCTAGAATTGTAACATGTTTTACTTCTCCATAATATTTCGGGACACGTGTAAAACAGGAAACATCTGCAGCGTTAGAAACACTTTTGGAAAAATAAATTTAAAATACCTTTTTTCCATGAGATAGTCATGTAAGATGACGAAAGTGATAAAGATCCAAATACAACTAAGAGTGAAACATTTTATTCTGAATTCGTAATTTACATTTCACCTCGAGTGTATCTCTGATTATAACGTATGACACTGTCCAAGGGATTGGATTTGATTTGTCTACGTGGGCGGTTTTATCGTTGAATTTTGGGCATTTTTTTTTCGTGATAACGCTTCCCTCGATGCCTATTAGAAGTATTGACTCTTTCCTCTAATCCTTATGCACCTTCCGCACTCGAGCCCATAAATATATACTGTATAACAAGATCCAAGTGACACTATGATGAACTCGTGGATATAACGTGCAGAATATAATTTGTTGTTTCGTCGGGTCAAGTCTAAAAAACCTTGACATTTAATTTCTACTCTCCTAAGAAAGTATTGAGAGGTAATATTCAGTTGTTGACGTTCTGATAAAAAGGCTATTTCGTAGTACATTATCGGCACAAAATTAGCCGGCATCCCCACAAGAGCCCACCCCAATTGATTTGCCATAATCAAGATTGGGTTGACATCCTATGTAAGTTATATGCTCTCCCCAGACTTCCTAGGCCGCGTTAACGCGTTGCTTTTTCCTATGCTTTGCATATCCACGGCTTAAACCGGTGAAGGTAGGACTATACCAAAAAAGAATCTCAACTCAGATTGTCTGAAGTCGTCAAACTATATCCCTAGGCTTGAGAGTGACTGTTTCGAAGCTCCGCGTAAGTATGCGGTTCCGTGTTCAGTAACTGATAATGGGAATGAGGACTCGGAAACTGCAATTCTTCAATTTCCTCATAGACACGGTTATTCATTGGATCTTCATATGTTGGATTGTTGTGTCCCCTGGTCTCAGACGTTGTTCGCCGAGGTCTTCTGAGGGAGGAAAGATAAAATAGCTGAGAAAGAGAGACATGAATCTTTAACTAGCTTGCATGTATCAAACCTTGCTATGTGATACTATGTCATTCAAGCGAACTCGTCTTGGAACTCCGAAATAAGACAAATTCTTAACTTTGTTAATGCCTTACTCGGCCAAAATAAGAATATTTGTTTTATGCTTTGTGCGTGGGTTGTTGAGTAGTGGAGGTAACCTTTAGATGCCGATATCACAAAGGATCTGAGGAGAGGATATATCAAAGTTGGGAATTACGGTGGTTTAGTAAATAGTACGCAGGAGCAACTGTTCGAGAGGTCCAAATTTAAGCCACGGTAAAGTCACAGTGATGTAATGTTGAGGACAATATGTTACTTCTTTTGTCGTCAATGTGATGCTCTCCACCATTAAGTATTAAGGGAAACTGGCAAACTATCAGAGAAACTTGATGAATCGGCAAGGGAATGGGGAAGGGCGAAGAACGGAATGGTTTTCAGCGATGAATAAACCTGGCATCCAGTACGATTATTTAAATGCTTCCTGTTGTTATTTTATTGATATTGAGACCAGCTTTTGCAATTTTGGCTTTTGAACGCTGTCAACACGTTACCCCACCATCACCCTTGCTCTGTTCACGCCAGTTCACCCTTCCTAAGCCTTTTCACCTCTTTTTCTTCCATTGCAATTTAACTCTATCGATTTCTATTCCACTTTTGAAAAACCACGACGGCAATAAAAATAACAGTTAGAAATACTTATGGTGACGATAATGACAACCATAAAAAAAAAAAAAAATAAAAATGACGCTTTACACTTACATTCTTTGCTTCCACACACAAAAGATGGCGACAGCAACTATTACAATGACAGGTACAACTATTGCCATGGCAATGATGACATTGAGAAGGTGACCAGATGTCCCTTTCCCATCGGTATTTGACGTTTTGGAATTTGCTGATGAAAATAAGAATTGGCAAGCGGTCAAATACGAATATTGTTTACAGCAGTACAATTAAATTCATCATAAGTCAAAAGAAGACATCTAGCATAATTTTTTTAGAGACCTTCACAGTTTCCCTGCCATTTAGATGCTAACGCGCCAAACGTTGATGTCCCGGATGGACAAGGAACACAAGAAGTCTGCGCCTCTTTATCCTGGTAATGATCCACTGCGCATGCCTGGCACTCTGAAGTATTGTGGAAGTATCCAACAGGACAGCTCACTATAAATAGCAAAAAGGACGAAGATATTTAAAAAGGTTTGACGTATCATCAAACTGTTTGAGTCAGCCATTTCAGAGCTGTTTATATTGCATCTGACTGCATAGCAAGGCAAGTGCATTGCCTTTTCGACACTTATATTAGAATCATTCTTCACCCTCATGCGAGGAAACTCATTTTCAGGAGAAATGTTTTGTACGTCGATTCATTTAAAAGAATGACTTTTTGGTGCTTGGTTATGACATGTTTCCTTCGTTGAGTTAATTACATCTTTCTTATTACTTACGATAGGGTCTAAACTTAGCCAAGTACTCCGTAACCATCTGGGGGCTTAAAAGCTATAGGAAGATTTTAGTTCTCCTTAAGTTAGAGTTAGCGCTTTCAATACGTTTTCTCAACTCACATAATTTTTCAAATGCCATCTGCGAAGAAATTCTGCGCCTTTGAAAGATTGTTGATCTAGAGTAGGCAGCCAATCGTATAACACCTATTTTTTTAAACAAACCAATTTTAAAGCGGATGTGCAATTGCTTTTACGGCCACTTTGGAATACTCGGGCATTTTAGAAAATTTCATAGTTATAGGGAAGTATTTGGCAAACGTGAAATAAAAAATTATCTGGCTATTCTTTTATTTGCTTCATGTATCTCACTGCTCCTGTTTGTCTAAAACGATCAAATTATTTTTTAGAATACTTGCTTATGGAAAAGTGCAAGCGTAACCAACTATCTTGGACAAAATAAGAATCTTTAAGCAAAGCAGGTTAACCAGTCACTTTGTGTTTTGATAATTTTTATGATTACAAAATCTGCTTACCACATTTGGAGCCTCTTAGAACCTGTCCACTATCACGTAAAAGGCGCACGAAGCGGACTTGAGGTGGTTTTGAAGCATCGAAAACTAAGGAAATCCCACTGATATTAAGATTCACATCTGTTCTGTTAAACTTTAATAATAGGTTACTGGAAATTTCTTCAGTTGTCTGATTAAGATCAGCTGCAGTCGTATTCCTGGGCAGTGGAACTTTGAAATCAAAACTAATGGAAAGTGAAATTCTTGATGAGAGCGGATTACTTCCTAAGTCTCTTTTTCGAAGTGTTCCTGTCTGGTCTCCACATTCGACCTCGACGTTTTCGATTGTGCATAACCCGAGTGAATCGCAGCCATTGTCTGGTCCCAAATAAGTGGTGTAAAGTGCAATAAAGTTGCTGGCGATCTGGTGATGAATTTGCTCGCTGCATTGATCAGCTAGGTAGTGGAGCTGAATTTTGAGCAGAGTCGTCGCCTGGCGTGTTTCTGTAACAGAAGTTTTGAAAATGAATAATTGCTAATTGTTTTCTTCAAAAAACGTTTTAGAAAATCCTAAAGAGTGGCAAAACGCGGATGAGTTACAAAAGCAATCGGATCTTCGATTCCCAAAGAAAGGACTCCATATTGTAAATGACTGATAGATTATTTGAAATGCAACAGGTAGCCGGGAGACGATTTCAGGCTCACAGTTCAGCGGTACTCATCTGTAATCCTGTGCAGAAAGAGGCACTGTGGGAAAAATCCTTTCCTAAGAACAAGAGCCCGTTTCTCGAAAGATCCGGGAACTTAACAGGCCAGAAAGGCGGACTTTATTGCCATGTTTCTTTCGAGATAGAAATTTTGAAAAATTTGAGATGCAAACAGTAAAGATAACAGGAAAAGAAACAGAATGCACCAGTGTCTGGGCGAAGACTTGCATCATCCTAGCGTATAATTTCATTTATAAATATTATATTCGTGCTTCTCGAGTTAGCGAAACTTTTGAGAGTTAGGCCCCAGGGTTGAACAGCAATCTCTCGATTCAGACTCGAACATGCAAACTATGTACCATATGTAATTTGTTATTTTTTTTTTTCATATGCTACCCAAGCCGCTTATGCTGGCAACGCCTTATTTATTAGGCCTAACAAGGCCAGAAAAGCTGTTCATGGCTGCCAACTTGATGACTACTTTGCCTCTTTTGGTAGCAACTATCTAGAGTCCGTACCATCGTTGCCATAAGGCATTTTCCATGGATGCAGCCCACACTTTAACGTTGCATAGTGTGTTCACGCTTACCTGAGCAATCTGGTACTTTTTCATCAGGCAGCCATCCACCTGACGCACCACAGAAATAGGCATCTGGTGGTTTGTTAGCGAAGTCATATCCAGCGTTACAGTGAAGTGTGCAGATCTTACCACCTTCCAGCCATAAGTCACATGCTTTTGCTCCATTCAGTGGTGAATGCAGCTTCGGACATTCATAATCTTGATTTCAGAAATAAGCAGAAATTACGTCATCATCATCATCATAATTTTTTACATCATCATCTTTCCTTATCGCGGCAGTAGACCATCGCGCTCTTCAAACTGTAAACAGTGACTTAATGAGGATTCTGCACCACCCCTAAATCATATTCAATCTTTAAAAACGCCAGTAACCTGCTTACTTTTCCCAAAAAGAACAATTATTTCAGAATAATGATAAAAAATTACCAGCCTAACGCTATATTTTGGTATTGTGCTATCATTCGGTGGTAGCTCTTATCTGGTATGTTGGAAGACCGGTCGCTGAGTCGTGATATCTTTTCTACCCACAAACAAGCTATGACCGGGATCAATGTTAGCATATCTGAGCAACAGCACACCTACCCCTCCCCTAACCCTGTCAGCATATCTAAGCAACAGCGCACCTATCCATCCCCTAACCCAACAACAGTCAACTGATGACAAGTTAGGGAGGATGGAGAGGTAGGAGCGCAGTTGCTCAGAAAATGTCATTGATCCGATGACTGTTACCAAGGAAACTAACTGTAAAACTGTAAATTTAAAGTTAGACTAGACTATACATACCCTTAATTATTATACGGAACTTGCACGTGGCTGTATTACCAGCTGTATCTGTAGCACTATATGTTATATTGTGTTGTCCCCATGTAAACTCGCTTCCGTTTGGTCTGTTTGTAATAAATGAGTGAACACCAACATTATCGGTGACCTCAACTCTGGGTAGCCACACCTTAGTCCATTGCTTTGCAGAAGTAATGAGTACATCTTCGGGACAGGGAGAAATTCTGGGTGGCTCTTTATCTGTTGGAGTAGAAATATAATTGAAGTATCTGCATTGTGCCTGTGAAGTGCTGCAGTCTACCTCTCATAAGTTGTAACTACCTTTGCCAGTGTATGTATTGTATAGTATGTAGAGTAACCTAATTATTTATTCAAATCTCGTAATGCAAGTAGTGTAAGCATCATAAAATTTGTAGTGTAGGCTAATTTAAAAGAAAATCATTTTGTGAGTAGTCTTTAACGTGAGTATCAATAAGTATAAATATCAATAGGGGTAGTATTGTAAGTAACACAAGCATTGTTGGTGTCATAATTACGCTGTGTTTTTACGTTGTGCTAGTGCTGCACTGTTGTATGTAAGTCGAAAGTTAATAAAGACAACTTTTAACCAAAAAAAGGTATGTTGTAAGAAAACATGACTTAAAAAAGAAAAGGAGCGATTGACAATTGAACAAATAAATTTGCTCATGCAAATGTTTCCAAGTTCAATCTTATAAAGAAGATTTTTCTGTCGAACCCTAGTTAGATGTTTGAAAGCCTTTTTAGGCCTCCTTTTATTGAGGAACCAAAGCTTTTGCTTTTAAAAAGCCGACACTATTTGAAAGGTTGCAGAAAACTGTTGAATTGTCAATATTTGGTAAAATTTGTGATGTGATTTTGTGTATAAATGTTTTATATCACCATAGTTAGTACCTGGAAAATGATTAAAGATGCAAATGGTAAAAGTTTTTGTACCTCTTTTAAGTAAATGGGTAGAGTGCTCTGGGATTACATTTGTTTTGGTTTTGCGAAACTCAATGGCTAGAAATGTGCTCCTTTTAAAAGATATCATGTTGAAAGATTGGAAGTAATGATATGTCCACGCCTAATATCAACGGCGTGTACGCACTCATACCTTTGACCTGAATCGAGAAAGTACAGGATGAACTCAGCCTGGAAGAGTCAGTGACTTTGTACGTGATGTGATTTGTACCAACATTAAACTTCTGCGGCGGCGTCAAGCCAGTAAGAATCAAATGTTCGTTAGAGTTGTCCGTGGGGACTGGTAACTTCCAAGTTACGTTCGCATATGACTGACCAGTTTTTGTGGGGGTTGTCATGTCAAGTGGGCATTGAATTCTAGGATGCTGGATATCTGTCGGGAAAAATGGTTATCAAGTAAGTTAAGGATATATTTGGCCATCGTATGGAGACTCTAAAGTTGATGTTTCCGGCGTTGGCACTTCGTCAGAGTAAATCGAGGAATCGTAGGCTGTGTGTGATAAATGCGCAGAAAAATATATTTATGATTTTGGTGGAAGCATGGTCAGTTCAAAAACACAGGAACAAATTAGGTGAATAAAAAGTGTTAGTGGGGAATAAGAGTGCCGATTTGAATAAGATTTTTGTTGTAGAGTCTTGCAGCTTTCCGAACGGTCCAGAATAGGGGAGTGCTGCAGATTACCACACGTTACTTAGAGTGACTAGAAAGATTAAACTTTCCAACGACTGGTTTGAATGTGTCCTCGTCAATTCTTCCTTCGTCACGAAGTATTCTCCTTATTGGTCACCTACATCAGTGAAACAGAAAGACAACTGGGAAACCTACTCCGAAAAAACTTTGTGATGTAGAAAAGAATGACCAAATCACATCAACACAAGAGGGGTTCAAAAGGGAAAACATTGACATCCTAAATTTAGTCTGTTTTTTTTTTATTATCATTGTAAATATGCTTTTAAACTATGATTAAAATCATGCATAATATGTCCTAATAACTGAGGGATTATCAAAATAAAATGTCAATTAAGTACCTCTACATCTAACATTAGTAACATCTGCACTCCATGATCCATTTTCAAGGCAGGACACATTTCTTGCTCCTAGAGGTTGATATCCGGCCGAAACATCACAAATGAAATAGCACTCTGTCTTGTAATGAACTCCTGAGAGTAACTTGCAAGGACTGGGAAAGACCCTACCATGAGATGGGGCCCTTATGGTAGGGCATTTGACAACTGAGAGAATAGAAACACGTGTGAGAATTATCCTGTACGTGCATCAATGTAGTTTGCTTTTGAAGGTCAGCAGATTGCACAACTGCACGAATAACTTCACATCTTTTTTTCCAAAAGTATGCGAAACAGAAAAAAAGTAAAAGGGAGAAAATCTTTGCAAATAGGAAACCTAATGTTTAGATAAAGAAATCAGTTAACAGAATTCCTCAATGCATTTTACTTTCGTAAGTACTTCGCTAAAACTCAACACGGCTGGACATTCTATATTTTTTCACTCAGAGGTTATATGGATTATTTATAACTTAAAGCTGCTTACTTTGGCAAGAGGTTGTGTTGCCTGACCAGGTCCCATCACTTCTGCAGGTGCGAAGAAGAGAGCCCTTCATATTAAATCCTTTTTCACAGGTGAAAGAAGCCTGGGAACCAAACCGGTTCTGGCATGTTAGCGATATATATCCATGTACTGGTTGAGGAAGGACTGGACATGATTTTCCTGTGAATGAAAGACGTTTGTTTTCATTGGCCGTGAACCAAATTTCCACCTGTTAATTAACAAGTATCCAAGGAAGTGAAGGTGGTTAATGGCGGTTATTTTTAGTCCTGCAACGATTACAATATTTTCAGGCGCAATTCCCGCGTGCGTTTCTCGGAGGTGAATAGCAAAGGATATTCGGAGTTTGGGTGGCCAATCAGAGGGCGCCCTTAAACCTACCCACTGTATTAGGATATAATTATAATAATTATATGGAGTTATCATGCGAAGTGTCATACTTGTCACTTGAACGGTGAAACTGCAGTTAGCACTGTTTCCGTTATCGTCTTTGGCTGAGTAAATCACTCGATAGAGGCCAGCGTCCAATTGAGTGGGTGGTCGAATTGCTGGATAGCTGACCGACACGTGGCCCGAATTGTCATCAGCAACTGGTTCATTCCACTTGACAAGAGCAGTAGGTGAACATCCAGCGGTATAGAAAACCATGTTGTGGGGACACGTGTTATTGAAAGAGGGGCGCATGTTGTCTGTAAGCGATGAAAAAAGGATCAAATGTATATCAGTGCCGATACGTGCTTTGATAAAAGGTGTTGCAGGCTAGGTTACCCACACGAGGCTTCTCCGGATTCCTTTCACGTGAACGGGAAGGAATCTTATCAATTCTTCTGAAAGAGATGCTAAATTATTGCTGTCATGATGCGGTGTCCTAAACATTTTTTGGACGATTGTAGATTGCCAGTGCAAAGAGGTAGCAACAAACCAGAAGGAATTAGAAAGGCGATCATGGAGAATGGCTCAAATTAACGTTCCTTTAAAATAACGAAGTATAAAAAGTTGCACAGATATCCATGAACCATGATATAGCGTTTCGAAGCGGAATAACCAAATGTTTCTGATAACTAAATGGTTTTTATTTTCTACAACATAAACTAACCTATGCAGCGGGTGTTGTTGGATCCTGTCCATTTCCCATTGTTGCCACATACCCTTGAGGAAGTTCCATCAAGAACATATCCTAGAGTTCCACAGGAAAATCTGCATGTCTGACCATAAGGGCTACCAGATACACATGAAGATGGAGAAATGATCGCATTCATGGGAGGGAAGAGTGGACCACAGGCGACAACTGAAAATAATCGTAAAGAAATACCTATGATTGGAGCACAGAAATGTTAAAAAATAAGAACCAGCTTTGAACATCTTTCGAAAAACATTTCAGAATATTTCCATCCAAACATAATTAACAAATAGAGAAGCCTTGACTGTGCTCTGTTCTGTTATAAAGCACGCAGGAAGCGGCTAGAGCACGAAAGAAGTGTAGGGAGAAACACGAGACGTAGTCGAGTGTTTCTTCCCACTTCTGGAGTGCTCTAGCCGCTTCCTGCGTGCTTTATAACAGAACAGAACACAGTCAAGGCTTCTCTATTTGTTTTATAATAAAGAATCCGCTAAATTACCCAAGCATTACTTTCAATTTTAAAAATGAACTTTATTTCCAAAGCGAACAACAATGTCGTCAGCATGCTCTATACTCTTATAAAGCACGCAACAATAAGCCAATCAGAATCCTTGTTAGAATGGTTCAAATAATCTGATTAGCTGTACAAGACTAAAGCTGCCAATTCTACGATAGTTTACAAACTAAAATAGTTCGGCAAGTCGAATTTAACTGTTTTGCCTGAAGTTTTTAAGTCTCTACTACAGAATCTTGAAGTGAAATGTTCAGTGAACTTCAGCCGAATTATGGCTCATAAAAACACGCGAGTTTTTTCCACATGACAAGGTAGAAAACAAACTGTTCAAGGCGAGTGTTTTTTGAATGAACGATAGCCGAATTCACCGGAACATGAAGATCGCTCGTGATGACAGTGCCGCAAAACTCGGCTGCAGTGACTGATGTGAATTGCCACTCAACGTATCGTAAAGGCAAGCTCTTATTTTTTTCACTCGAAGGGCGGCCGATGTAGTTTCTGAGCTTGCTTTACTGTGATGACCGGAGATCGCCATGATGAGCGAGCCGCGATGAACTTCAGCATGATCATATTCGCTCAGCCACATCATGATTAGTATGAATGTTAACAATTATGCCAGTTTGGTTATATTTTTCATCATTTCTGTTTTGTTCTGTTTTGTTTTTGAACACTGAACTTTATATACTATACGAGTGTTAGCTGTGTTTGATTTTTATTACCGTACGTAAGCTTGCAATCTAACTGAGCGTGAAAATCTTTAAAACTCGGAATATTTATTTTGCTTTTCCTTTGAGGATTTTCGTATCTGCTCACGTTTTAATAACGTAAATTATGGCGCCTGGTATGTTTACAAACCTTTGTTTGATTCTTCTGTTGCTACTTGCCGGCTCGCTTCAGTTCCGAAATTTCACTTTCAATTATCGGAAAAAAGCTAAAAAGAAGTCCCGGAAAAGGTCGAACATAGTACAATTGGCAGATGGCGTGACAGCTGTAGCTCAGCTCTATGCTCTATACTCTCATAGAGCACGCTCTTTCAACCAATGACAACGCGCGTTATATCCGAACTTTATTATAATTCTTAATAATGGTGAGAATTATACAGTTCACATTTCTGAAAAAAAAAATGGAAAAGGAAGCAGAAAGAGAATAAGAAAAAAAGATGCATAAACGCACGCTCTGTCCAGCCTCAGGCTTAGACCGCGAGTCTCAATGCAAGTCTGTCAAAGAATGTACTCATGGGACTCCTTAAAAAAACAGCTCATCTTGAGGACAAAGGATGTCTTGTTTCTTGAGCATATGGACCTTTAAGCTCCTTACCTTGACATGATGATGCAACTCCACTCCATGTGCTGTTTTGTAGACACCGCCTGACAGAGGAACCAAGCAGACTGTAGCCAGCTTGGCATGCAAAACTACAATGGGTATCATAAGGCTCCCATACAGGATCAATGCATCCAACTTTTTGTCCATGTTTTGGGATAGGAAGAGATGGACAAGTAATGGCTGCAAAGAAAAAAAAAGTTATGCTTAAGACGTATTGAAGGAAAAGGTGAAGGAGCAAGTAAAACGGAGCAAAAATATATTCAGCGACAAAAAGTACCATGACAGGTTGGCAGACGATTATCCCAAACGCCTGGGGGACTGTCACTTTGGGCAACACACTTGAGTGATGAGGATCCATTTAAGCGATAACCAGTGGGACAGGAAAAGTTACACTGTGCTCCGAAGTTATATCCACAGCTGCTCATGCGCAACGGATCTCCCGGACTTACCAAAAGCTTGGAACAGTTGATAACTGACACAAAGATAAAAGAGTGTTTAAAAATCAGAAAAACCGATTTGTTTTTAATATACTAAACTTATCTTTTGTCCAGGTGCGTAGCCTCTCTGTTTATAAACTTTCGTTAAACAAATACCTGTGATGTGGCCTTTAGTAGGAGGAAGATAAGACTAAGGCAGACTTTAAACGAGAACCATTTGGGATCCCTATGTAAGTGGTGCTTTTACAGTAGCAGTTTATTTAACCTGAACATACGAAGTCTTGCCCACTCCAGGTTCCATTTTCTTGGCATTTTCTTGTAGGAGAACCAATCCCAGTGAACCCAGACTTGCAGGAAAACTGGCAAATTTTGTTGTGCTGCTCCGCCGTTTTTCCTGAACAGCCCGTCTGGATTCCATTTGCTGGTATGGATAAGGCTGGGCATGTGGCAGCTAAGAACGAAACAAGGAAACAAAAGGAAGCCAAAAAATTCATTGAATAATTAAATATTAGCAATTTACTTGGTTGCGTTTCTACCTGGCACCCCGGAAGCCCTAAATATCCCCCTTTTTGTATTATTATCTCTCCTTCTATACTTCCGGGTGTCCTTCGGCCTGTCTGTTTGGCTGCCTGCCTACCTATCAGTCTGTATCTCTGACTGTCTGTAAGTTGGTTTACATCTCTGTTTTTTATTTTTAGTCAATAAGTCTTTAGCAGGATTCTTTGCTTAGATTGGCCCAAAGAAAAAAACCCGTTATAATGGTTCCCAGCATCCACTGGGGCATTTCTTATTTAGAGATGTATTTGAAGAGTGGTTGCCTTGGTTACCCTACCGTTGCATTTAGCCTGTGTGCCGGTCCACGTGCCATCGTCTTGACAGGTTCGCGTTGCTGATCCGGTGAGAATGTACCCTTTGTCACAGGAAAACCGACAGGTATTTCCAGGAAGATTAGAACAAGGATGTAAGCTTCCGTTTGAAGGCACAGACAAATGGGCACAGCGGTTAACTGAAATAGAAATAAAACAACAAAAAATAACTTTTTTGATTTAAAGCTGCCATCCATCAACCCTTCACACAACCGTGTCAGTCAATTATGAAAGGTAAGTCCCCCTAGAACTCAGGCCACTCTATGCTGTTACCAAATGGAACGTACGTTCAACATCGAAAAAACATATAGCAAGTTAGAGGGGTCAAATGACAAACTGGTGAAAATTTGAATAGACTTTTCCTTACCTCCTTGACAAGTAAAGGGATCGCCAGGCTTTAGCAGTACTCCTTCAGGACAAAAGCACTGGTGTCCACTTGGATTTGGGAGACAAAGATGACTACAGCCCCCATTTAAATGCGAACAGCTGGTTGATCCTACACGTCAAGGGAAGTGGAGTTAAAGCGACCACGTCGTGGCTTTGACTATCAAAGTATGAGCGCGCAAAACATTATGGGAGAAAAGTGATCGTAGTTTTCAACTAATTTTTCAAAAAACAACCCCCCCCCCAAAAAAAAAAAAAAAAAAAAAATTAAATAGTCAATCAGAAGAAAAGTTAGGATCATCATTAGCCATCAGGGCTCAAAATAATGACAGACAGACTGTTTGAGGCCCAGGAAAGCGTGATCGACAAAGTCGCGATCGCATTCTTGCGTCCAATTGGTTTATGAGGGGGGCGTAAGTTTTCTAAACCAATCATCAGGCAAAGTAAAGCAAAACCAAAGCAATTGGGGAACACGTTGCACATTATTGAAAATTGCTCGTGCATTTGATCGTTAGATAAAAGATGCATTGTGTGTTTTCCACGTGAACAGATCACACATTGGCTGGCCCTACCCCCGAAATGAGAATTTTGAGAAACGAATCAGATCGAATAGTCGACAAGAAAGCTTTACTATCCAGTATGGGAGCAGGTCTGTTTGTTTGAGTTTCTATTTCATTATTGCATACCAGAAAAGATTTTTGCGTCATCATGGATGTGCATCTCCTTCGGTGACTTCATCCCATGAACCAGAACCTCATTGAGAGAGGAAGTAATGTTGAATTTGTTTATATTCTTCCTTTCCCAGTCTGACCAGTAAATAATGTTGTCAGATAAGGCCAGTGCAAATGGGTGCCGAATATAAGATGACAAGTCCAGTAAAACGACTCGGTTATTCCCTTGAAAGTCTACCCTTTCGATCTTATCGAGAGTTGCATCGCACCAGTACAACAGTTTTCCAGAGTAGTCTATAGCTAGTGAGTTAACCCCTTTAAGTCCAGAACTAACAAGAACCACCCTGGAAGAGCCGTCCATGTTCGCTTGTTCAATCTTTGGAGAAGATCCGCCATCACTCCAAAACATCTTCCTAGAAATAATAAATCATGATCGTGACTTAAAAAGAAGTAAATAATTTAGAATGTCTAACACCAAATATTCGCACAACCCTGCGTCAAACTATCTGATGTGTTGGCGACTGTTTTGCAAAGGTAGCACTGTTTTCTTTGAAATATCAGAGGATTAGCGTAGAGTCCTTAGTACATAAATTTGCAGAGACAATATTTACTATTATAGAACTGTTTTTCAAACAAATTTAGCACTTTTCCAAAGCCCACTGATTTTTTTCCTTTTTCTTTTGAAACAGTAGAGCATCTGTCCTTGATGAGCACAATCATTAAGCTAGTTTAATTAATTCCATTCATCCGTTTCGCTCCTTCTCCTTTTTCTGTCTCACGAGTTTCTCTACCCGTCCTGCTAAGAATTGGAACACCTTTGGCGAAAACCGCTTCTATAACTCTTCGATACAAACCTTTTCGTTCTGTGACAATCCTCGTACAACTTCAAATCTATAGTTTGCATTCGAGCGACTCGTCAGAATAAAAACGTTATGTTGCAAAAACAGGCGCAGCAATTACTCAAGGCCAATTATCCCCGAAATTTGTTTCATGGTGTGAGTGGGTTTCAAAGTTCGCTTCATCGCTATTGACAAGAAAACTATTAGTGGCAACTAATGCGTAGATAACGACGCGTAATCAAAATAAAACTACCCATAGTTACCTTTCTGCTATATTGAGTATTATGGCTCTTGGACTTTCGATTCCTGATGTTATAAGACTTCTTCTAGATGATCCATCTAAGCGTGCTACCTCAATTTTGCGGGTTCCCGCATCTGTCCAGTATAGATTCCGTTCAATATAATCGACTGCCAGCCCCTCAGGCCCCTCAACTTTGTTGTATGCGACGACCTCAACGGAAGATCCGTTAGGAAAAGCTCTTGCCACTAATTTCAGGGCGACATCTGTCCAGTATATTTTTCTATCGAGTGGATCGTAGTCGACCGCCACGGGCGAAGAGATGTTTGTTTTGATTTGCAGAGGTTTGCAAGGGCTCTCTGATACTGAGATTGCAACGCTGTATATTTCTCGAGTATCAGCTTCAGGAAAGACCATGAATTTTTCTAAATTCGCTTTTTCAAAACCATCTTGAACAAAAAGGAGATAGAGCAGTCGTATAAATGCATACTTTCTCAAGAATAAGCGACAAATGAACACTATTACAAAATTAAAGATTAAATAGAAAAAAAGTTCCTTATAGGGAAATGTGCAACTTTGGTTACTTTCCACTTTATTCCAAAATGTATTCCTGGCCGAGGATGCTACTCTCGCGTGTTCTAGTTATTATAATACTTGTATGGCCAGCATTAAAAAGCACTTGGCAAAGTTAAAAGGGAAAATATGACTTGCGTCCTCACCATTATCACAACTTCTCCCATCAGGCTTCAGCACAATCCCTGTTGGGCATGCGCATTTGTATCCTCCTGGCTTCAGTAGACAGAAGTCGCTGCATAACCCATTGTTTTGAGCACATGCGTGAGGACCTAATGGCGGTAACAAGTCAGAACATGAATTTTATAATCTTATAAACACCTCTAATTATTTGTACTAACTTCAGACTTTCATCTCTGCTGTATTTTATGAATTTGTGGCTTGAAAATCTTAAGATGGAGCAGCGCTTGAGACGTTCTCTTATTTGCTTTCTTTTTCCTTAGGTCTAATATTTCTAATGCTAGAGAGTTTCAAGTCCATCCAAGTTTTGACATTGAAAGGGACTGTGAACTTAAATTGTAAAGCTTTAAATTGAAATACTAATAATCTGAGTAATTACCTGTAAATGACAAAGATGGATCATAAACGTGAATGTCCATCGGTTGCTGGAGGTCAGGAATCACCGTTTCATGTTTTGCACTGGTTAAATTGTAACGTAGAATGCTTTTCTTATTCCAATCAGTCCAGTAAAGCATACTTTCATACAACGCTAAACCAAAGGGATGTATTTGATCTGCAGATGATAACAGAACCTGTCTACTCGCACCATTAAGGTCGGTCATCTCTATAGTGTCCAATTTAGCGTCAACCCAGTATAGACGGTTTGTAGCCTGGTCGATGGTCAGTCCATTTGGCCAGGCTAGATTTCCTGTAACAATGGATTGTCTCCCTGAGCCATCCATCTCGGCTTTCTCAATCTTTGGATTGACTCCCCAGTCAGTCCAGTACATCATGCTGAAAGCAAACAAAGATAAGAAAAGTTGGTTTCCTTAGAGTCTTTTTGAACGCAATTTGTTTGCCTATTGTTATGGATCAGAACAAAAGGAGCTATCAAAAACTAGGAGTAAATTTAGAAAAATGGACTGAGGCTATCAAATTTAGGATAAAAAGGGTGAAAGAAAAAAGGCAATTCCTGGACATACTGGACATACATAACAAAACTGCTTTCAATCACTTACCCATTTCTTTGATCAAGTATTATGGCCCTCGGCTCATCGAGTGCATCCTTGAATAAGACCTTCCTTTTTGTTCCATCAAGACGACCCAATTCAATCCTGTCTGTCCCAGTATCTGTCCAATAAATGTTTCGACCCACGTGGTCAATAGCTAAGCCATCAGGATTAAGGACGTTACAAAAATACAAAGTTTTTGCTGAAGATGCGTTTCTGAAGGCGCTCATGATGCGCCCTTGTCTTACGTCAGTCCAGTAAACGCGATCTTCAAGAGGGTTAAAGTCCAAAGCAATAGGACGATGATCTCCAAGGTGCACGAATAAGGTTTTGGATACTAAATAGTTGACATCCAATGAAATGATGTTCGTCGATTTCTCGTCGGCATCCGTATATAGAAAAAACTTATTTTCTTCTGCAATGAAAGTTAATGAAGAATATTTATTAGAAATACGCGACCAAAGAGATGATACAGAACTCAAGCACGAGAGCCAAAGACTTACTTTCTTCACACGTTTTTCCATTCTGTTTTACTGCCAAGCCTGTTGGACAAATGCACTCATGACCAGAGGCTTTTGGAACGCAAAAATGACTGCATCCTCCATTGTTTACAGAACATGGACTTGACGCTTGCAAAGACAAAATAGGTTTTCATCGTTAGAAAAGACAAAGTACTAGGAGAGCACTTTAAACGTTTACTTCACGTCATTATCTTGTCAAAAGTTTAAAAATTCATGTAGGAATCCAGTTGTAAGAGACTAAATAAGAAAATAGAATAAAACGATTGAAATACTGTTAATGCATAAGGAGTTTGGAACGAAGGAAGTCTATCTGATTACTTAACTCAAGATAAAATTCCATTATGGACTTCACAAACCCCTTGGTATTCACATGCAAAGGACTTAACTGACCTGATGGTTGTCGAGAGCCATCATAAACTACGACGCCCATTGGCTTTCCACCATTGATACTGTAGCTTCGAAACACTTCTCCAGTCAGGGCGTCTAGTTTATGAACCTCTCTGTTTGTATTCCAGTCGGTAAAAAACAAGAAGGGTGGAACCAAAGTAACTCCAAATGGATGTAAACCACTCCGTTGGAATAGCAGCTTCCTGTTACCACCGTTGTAATCGATGGATTCTACTCTGTCTAAGGCTGCATCAACCCAGAATATGCGTTGATTTCCTTTGTCTAGGTCAAGACCATTTGGATGATAAAGATTCGTTGTAACGATGGCTGACCTTTGTTTTCCACTCGGGGTAGCTCTTTCAATTTTGGGGTTAATTCCCCAGTCAGTCCAGAACATAAAACTTTTGGACGATTGAAAAGAAAAAAAATACAGAGAGGTAATTTTTCAGACTTAGCTCCGGCTGTCCTCTATTCCTTCCCCCCTCCCACCCCACCTTACCAAACAGAAAAGAAAAAAACAAACAAACAAACAAAAACAAACAAAGAAAAAAAACAACAACAACAGGGACACAGGAACAAAACATATAAATAAATATAGAACAGAAACCAAAAATATAAGATCATGTGTGACATTAGTTAAATCAATCATATAGTGATTTCTATTAGCTATATCTTCCACATCTCAAACTTTAACTCAAGATAAACCTGTCTGTAGAAATCATAGAAGGGTTGAACGGAGAGAACATGAGAAAGGTAATCAGGTTAGTTAATGGAAACTAGGTGTAGTGATTATCCTATTAAAGCAAGTAACCCTGGAATGTCCCCTTTTAATAAAAAAATTTAAAAACTATTCACTAATAGCTCAATTTGTGAGCAGACAAACACCTACCTATTGTCAGGATCCAAAGCAATCCCTCTTGGTTCATCGAGACCAGAGGAAATTATTGCAACCTGGTTATTGCCATCTAGGTCTGATACGGATATGGTATTATATGTTGTATCTGTCCAAAATAGCTGGGAAGTCCTCCAATGTACAGCAAGTCCATCGCAAACTCCAATATTGCTGATAATTGTAGTTTTAGTATCAGTATCGAGGTGAAGGCGCTTGATATTGTGTTCGGTGACGTCACTCCAAAATACGTAGCCCAAATTGAAATGATAGTCGATCGCAACAGCTCTTGTTAGACCCAATACAACTGAGTTAATAGAAGAGGTTTGGATGTTCATGGTAACAATATCCGTTGTGTTAGAAACTAACAAACAGGGAGAACTGCATAGCAAAACTACGGATGAAAAAAGCAATAAATAAGGGACCTGTCATTATTCATCACTTGGGGAGGAAGAGGGGAGAGGGGAATTTTGGTTCTTTTATGATGAAATTTACCTTATCCTCCGTAAGGCTCTGTAATGTTCTTATACCCCCCACCCCCTGGTAAATTGGCAGTCAATTGTCTTTAGTTCACCCCTTATACTCTGTTATATATAGATATAATAAAAAATAAAAGCAGCCACGATAATGGGTTTTTTTGGTTTTAACGTAAATCGGCCACTTGAACGAACTTCAAAGCTAACGTTTCGAGCGTAAGCCCTTCTCCATTCGCTCTGTTGAAGGGCTGATGCTCGAAAGTTCAGCTTTGAAACTTTTTGCTGTGGCCAATTCATATTATCAACTCAGTTGAAAATAACAAATTACCCTGTTATATTCTCCCGCTGACGCAGTACCACAGTTTCCTTCGAAACTTACCCCTTTAATAAATATGGGGGGACAAAAAACATTGGTGGTTAGACTTGAATACCATTGTAGTTAAAGTTAAAACGTAAAACATACATGGAATTATCTTCAGTGGTCTTAAATGTAATTTCAGGAAGGTCGTAAAGTAGTTAGGAAAAAAATCGTGATTTGAAATCTTTTTTGAACGAAATATCTAAATAACTAAGCATTGGATTTGCCTCTTCTGTCATTAAAGAATGGAAAGTGATAATAGAGGTAAATTCATTACCAAAGGAGAGGGTCTCAATGGGGTCAACCGTTAGCCCTAAAACGGCAAAGAAATTAGCCGTCAGGCGTAAAAACTGATAAGGTTTAACTGTGATTCTTAAAAACTTAAATGTAAAATTTTTTCTTGCAATCGCATCGAAAAGAAATCAACCATTCGCCATAAAATGGCCCAAATTTTAATGGTTAGCCATAAAAGCCATTAGCCCATTGAGACCCTCAAGTGAACCACATGCTTGGGAATGGGACCGATTGGTGGAACCTGGCTTTGCAGAGGCCGTGATTTCATTGGCCCATTATTAGGTTTGTGCAGCATGTTTTCAACTTCCGGTGTCGATCACTTGTTCCGTTAACTTCTCGAGACTACAGACCCACTCCTCCCTTTGTGAAGTGACTGTTTACAATTTCCGTTGCGAGTGATAATCTTTCAGAAGTTTTGATCCTAATAGTTTGAAGAGTTATTGTAAGGAATATATATACCAGCCTTCTTTGAGTCTATGAAAAATATTTTAATTCCTCGGATCAGTAAGTTTACCGTGAAAGAACTGGTGTTCATTTATTTACTATTTTCGTGTTCAATGCCTTTGCATAGTCCAGGCAGGATTGACATTTTGATAACCAGAAAGTAACAGTGACCTTAGAAAAGCAACTTTAGGAAATTTAAGAACCCTGATCGAAAGGAAGAACTGCCACGTTGTTTACAGTTCTAGACAGGAGACAAGGAAGATTTAGACATTTGCATATTACCTAAGAACAGCCACCTGACAGCTGCAGCTATGGTTAACGTAATTTTCGGCTTAGGAAAGTATTTATTTGAATTCCATAAGAGTTTTAACAATCGTTAGTCAAAACTGAATCCATGCTGTGGTTGTGAAAAGAGCAGGGAGTTTTCATGGGGTTCCCATGGACTACTGCGTGACTGTAACGCGTCAATTTCCAGCTCTACTAACTTTGCAGATCTGATCGTATGCAAGGAGTATTCATTTCCCCCCTTTATCTTACCTCCGTTTACTTGAGTCCTTTTCGTGTCAAGCAACGTAAGAAAGGATGTCAACATGTAAATCCAACGTAGCACACTCATGGTCTTATGTTGTTTGTAAAGTTCGATCCCTATTAAAACAACACCATAACAAGATTAATCATCTAGTATCAAATGAAGAAGTAAGTACAAAATTAGACCGTCAATAGGTCCAGATAAATTTACCCAACTTACAAAAACAAAGCAGACGTTGAGGATGGAAGGAGAAAACAAAACTCTTTGTAACGTGATCTGTTCTGCTGCGTCAATTACAAGCGATGTGGTAATATTTATGTATGCTTTCAGTTTCCAAACCTAAAGGACTTGTCCCGGTTATACTGAGGTAGAGAACGCTTTGGTCTCACACGTTTGGAATGGTGCTCGATCTGTTCTACTTCGCGTGAAAGATAACCCTTAAAAAGTTAAGGAAGTAAGTAGCACTACATGGTCGTAAATTATTTTAATAATTTTCAGTTCCATGCCTTACGGGCAGTACGTGCTTTCCCAACTGATAAGAACCATTACAATGGGTCGCCAAATTTAAACTGGGAAATGCTTAGTAATCATAATTTTTCTGTATAATGAACTGGCAAAAGCGGAGAGAACTGCAGTTGAAGGGCGCTTTAAGGAATCAAATTTTGGATAAGCAAGGCTATTATGCGTAACGTTGCAGTGCCATCGTATAGTATTCCTGCAAATAGCCCGTATCCATTAAAACTCTTTAGACAAATTGCGTGATATTTTATTACAGCCTAAAGGAGATCTGATGTTGTACAAAATAGCTCTTCAAATTACATCGACCCCACGATCTAAATTTGGAGTGGCAAATTTACTGCTTTTCTCTCAAAGGAAGAGACAGAAATTTTTGTGATAAATAAGAGTGATTCTGGGATATGACAATTTGAAGAATAGCATCACGTCGCGACAAACACCTTTATTGTTATGAAAATTATTCAAAGAAATTTTTACCAGTTCCGCAAGTAACGGTTCTATACTACGTGATAGACTCTGTGTTTGTCCTGAATTATAATTGCAAATCTATACCTAAGAATTTGGAATACATGCGTATTTTGATATTTGTGTCTAGAAGTCGCTTTAAATGCACCAGCTCAAAGGTGAAAACATAAATACGTAAGTCTCTATGCATTCAAATTTTAAACTTGTGCCTAAACACAATGACTCATTTTTCCTCCACTTAAAATTTTACTTACTTGTTGTTGGAGTTTTTCGATTCTTCTATTTCAAAAGAAAGACATTCCTTGATTGTATGTTTATTTGTATGGCAGCATCTGTCAGGGGGTTTCCCCCAAAGAGAGTTAGGCGTCTGGTCAATCAAAAAGCCGCCACTATCATTTCCTTAATTAACTCGCTCTTGCAGGAGAACCATGAATGTTGTTGCGAGCACTATCCTAATTCTTGGATGCATCGCCTTTGGTGGAAAACAAAATCATGTCGAAGGCTGTGGGGGCTGCGGACCTTGTGAGTAATAATACTCTTTAATATTTTATTATTTTGGTCATGGGTGTCAGTGTTGTTATAACAGAACTGCGGAAACATAAGTTAATGTGTAGATACCAAAATTTTCACCATCCCTTTCTTTTGACTTGTATAAAGCTACTAAACGTTGGATATCGATAAGTATTCTGAATAAATAAGCGAAAAATCAGGCAAGATCTCGCTTCTCTTGCTGCAGTCCTCGTAACTCGTAAAACGGAAGCATTTTTCTATGATTTATTAAATTATGAACTAGGAAACTGTGGGAGACAGTTGATATGGTGTAAACTTGCCATTGGTAATAAATATAGCGCTTGAAAAATCGGTTCCTTGCAGGAATAGATTAGATTATGTGATTTCACAAATTATTCGCGCGATGCAGTTAATGATCGTATTACGAATTAAAGAGGCGCCCTTCAAATATTGTATTTACACAAACAAAGCTCTTAAAAATATGTTAAATCTCTCGTGGAATTCTTTATTTCCCGCTCAATACTCGCCAGCTCTCAGAGAACCTTTCATTTGTTCTTAGTTTTTTCTAAACGTATTCTATTTCTCACGGAATGTGCTTACGAAGCGTCGGTGATGGTATAAGGCTTTCACTTTCGCTGCACTTAAAAAAAAAAAAAAAACGTTTTGAGCTCGAAATGAAGACTTTTTATTGATTAGCTACACATTTTGTTGACCTATCCACGTGAGAAAGCTTTGCGAAGTCGAGTACTCAATATAATGCTTTATTAAATCATATGTCTGCTCAGGAGGAATCGAATCGTTCACATAGGAAAAACCCCCACAATTTGCAAAACGAAATGAAACCCCAAGCATTTCCAGTCACGGACATAGTCACTTATCCTAACCTCCGTTCTTAAATTTCTGCCCATTTTTTTCCAGTTTACTTGTTATAAATTTGATCGTCTAGATGTAAAAATTTAGATGGAGGAAATATTTTGTGGTAGTGAATTGTTCAAGGCATGCGTCTGACTTAAAAATAACCATCACGTCATAAGCTATAAACATTCACTTTCAGTTCTCACTGTCGCCTAGTTAGGATCATTTTCCTTTAAAAGGTTAGCTCAGTAAGTGACAACAAAAACATGGAATGCGGCCACGACTAAGTGTTTGTGTTTTCGTGTATTCTGATGTCTGTTAGTAATCCTCCATCAACAACATCCTGTTTACAAAAAAAGCAAGACTGTCGTGATTTCCGAGAATTAAAGCATCTCGAAAGGGAAGTCAGTCCGAGAGAGTTCACTTGGGATTTGATCAATTTTATTGTCAACGATGACCAACTAACCTGGAAATATAATAAATACTTATACTCAGGAACGTTCATGGATATTATGCGCATTATTCGACTTTGTTTTAAATATAGTCTGCAGTAATCCAGCCTAAGAATAATTAATTTTCTAGGAACTGCGACGGAAAAGGGCCATTTCCGCTTTTTATGACAATGAATCATCTTCAATAGCCAGTCTTAAAATAGACATCGCGAATAACATCAGCACAATTTTTAATGTTAGTAATATAGGCGTAATCTAAATCGATCGCTTGATATGGTGTCCGTTTAGATATTACCGCGAATTTAGCTGCAGAAAAAAATTCTAAATGCAGCCTTTGTTAATTGTTTATGGCGGCTCGTTCATTCAAATGTAAACAGTCACGAAATCCGTCCAGAAGTAAATTATGCTTTTGATCTGATTAGGTCTCGCCTCGACGCTTCCCCTTCCTGTAATCGCTTCCCGAAATTTTCGATAATGCTCTTCGGACGCAAGGAAATTGGTTTTTATCTAACATCAATGATTTTTACTCAAGTCGGCGAGTTTAACTGCAAGCTGATCATGTGCGTTCAACCGATTCAGATTTCATGGATATTAGATTGCGTTATCCTCGAACAACAAAATTGTTAGGCTAGACACAGATTCGAACACAATATGTCAACAAAGCGTGCCTAGTTTTCTCAAATTCTGATTGGTTCCTAAGAAAAATAATGGAAAAACTGGTCCATGGAATATTAGATTGCGTTGAGAAATCTTGGTCACCTTGCGTTCGACGAGCGAAGCAAAATTGTTGAGGCTAGAGGAATTTTCAGATTCGACATTTTTGAAATATATAACACCAAGTTCCGAGAGAAAGTAATTCTTAAGGGTTCTTATCAAGGAAAAGTATATGCACCGGAAACAACGTATATAAAAATCTTATTTCCGCTTTCCAGGTTTCAAGATTGCCAAGAGTATCCTAGCTGCTCGAAAATTGTCTTTAGATGTGCTCAGAGTTCGAATTTGCGGACACTGCTATTCCGAGAAGGAACTGGTATCACTTGCATAAACACAATGCAGGGTTCATTGCGAGTTTTAATTAGCCCCTTATTACTAAAACAGATCGGCGACAGATGGAAAAATAGGAGTCGCGGTGTCCGTAGTCGAAACTTTAGCGCATTGGAAGGCAAATCTCCTTGAGAGTCCGTCGGAATCTTGAAATAACGTCACTGCTAGAATTGCATATTTTCCTGTCATGGCGAGGGCAAAAATTAAATGCTTTTAGAACCTTAAGGCCATTACCATAAAAGGCAACATCTGAATCACAATAAGGCATGGCAACGGACAAAAACCTTCGTTTTTCATCCTTCTTCTGAAACTATGAAAAGTGAGCTGCACCAAATCAATTTTGCCCCATTCTTCTCCTATTCAGGGTTCTTCGGAGCGAGTTCGCTTTCAAATTTGACGATTAACTGCTTATTAATAATCAATGATGTTATAGCTTTCTGCTCGATGTATTTTAGCACCAAGACATGGTCAGTGGGGCCCTTGGAACCCAGCCAGCTGGGAAGAGGCACAATGTTCCAATGGTTACAAGACCAGAAGTAGAAACTGTGACAACCCAGCCCCAGCTCATGGTGGACTTGACTGTTCTGGCAATCGCTATGTCACCATAGACTGTAACGAGTGTAGCCATGGCAACGGGGGATGCGAACAATTATGCGTTAACTACGATGGTACCTACTCATGTCGTTGCAACCCTGGTTACAAAATTTCTCCAGGAAACTGGAAAAAATGTGATAGTACGTGGTTTTTCTTTCATACGTTGAATGAAGAATATAAATTGAATGAGCCTTCCTTACTGAAAGACACAAAAAAATAAAATTGCAAGCTTTTCCAGACTTATTTCTAAGAGGGGAATCAGTGCCTGTATTAGAGGAGTATGATAAAAGAATAAAATTATTCAGGCGAGATCACGGATTACCCCTTTTTTTCAAGATAATTCGCTAAGCATGGCATTTCGCAATGATCCCTCTCTGTGCTTTATTACATTACCTAGAGGCTATTTATGAAGTAGAGTCGCATAGATATTAGAATAAAAAAAGATCATGCTTACTTCATAAAATCACTCTGGAATCTTTCAATTTAAACTGCTTACAGGAATTACCTGTGACACCAGTGAGTGGTCAGCTCCCAGCCATGGACAGATATCTGCACAATGTGCAGGTCAGTTACAGGTGGTTTCTGGGACGCGTTGCGAGGTCAACTGTGATGATGGGTATGAACTAAGTGGCCATTCAAATTCTGTTTGTGGCATTGATGGGGAATGGGATCCAAGGACAACAGCAAACTGTAAAGGTAAACGCTAGATCAATAGCTACGTAATTAATTTGTTAAGTGACGATATTATAAGTAAAAAAATATGTCAAGACGATACTTGAATGAACCAATGAAGAAGTGAGAGGCTAAATAAATGAATGAACACAGGGGAAAAGCAGTAAGAACCAAAGGGTGAATTGATAAATGGAGCAATGAATGATTGGAAAGTTATTGTTAAATGCAAAATATTTTCATTCGTGTTTCCATAACATAGTGACCAGAAGTACTGCGATACAACCCCAAGCAACATTTTCTAAACAATATGCTTGCACATTTTTAAGCCTAATGATGTAAGGGGAGCCGTTGTGTAACTTATCTCGGAGCAAATGAATAAAGGGGTAAGTTTCTAGAGAAACTGTGGTGCTGCGTCAGTGGGAGAGTATAGCAGGTAATTTTAATGTTAACAACTTAGTTGAAAATGTAAATTAGCCACCGTAAAGGGTAAAAAGCTGACGTTTCGAGCGTTAGCTCTTCATCAGAGCGATTGAAACGTCAGCTTTTTTACCCTCTGCAGTGGCTAATTTACGTTTTCAACTAAGTTGTTAACACTAAATTACCTGCTTATCTCAGAGCAGCCAAGCAATGCACCCGGCAGGGCTGAACACGAACTTATCAATTCAGGTACTGGTCTCAATCAAAAGGTCAGTATTTCTTGAGGGATGAGTCTAGGAATAAAAGGGAACTGAAAAAGTGAATGCAAAAGGCCCCTCCCATCCTATAAAAGGAAACATAAACAAACGGGCAAACAAGGAAAGAGAAATTGAAAGCAAACAAGCATTAGAGAAGTAAAGGCCCCTTCCCCGTGAAAAGGCAAGGAAAAAAAACGAGAACAAAAGTAAAACAAAATCGAAAGCGAAGCATCACAAAACTTTGATGTTTCGAAATGTAATACTATAAATTGCTGATGTCATGAATATATTTTCATTTTTAGTACATCAGTGTCCACCACTAACTGAACCGGATAATGGGCAAATTACTCCTTACATATGCAAAACCAAGCCTCTGCATGGCGAGACGTGTCTACATGAATGTAAGCCAGGATTCAGAGTCGTTGGCCCCAGCTCAAGCAAGTGTGACAATGGACATTGGAGAAATGTAGTGTTCTATTGTCAAGGTAAGCTTAAGGTACAATGGGATTTGTCACAATGGGATTTGTCACAAGTGGGTAACTTATGGAATGACAAGTGTTTAGCACATAATTGCACGGGATTCCGGGTTAAAAATGTCATAAAAGAGTTATTAAAACGAATGATTGGTCTCTCTTCTGTTATATCTTCGCGGGTTTTGTGTCAACGTGTCTTGAGTGAATTTTGCATTTACGCTTAACCGATGATAGACACCCACTGAAACGATTTAGCGAAGCCTCGTATCTTATTTCCAAGACGTTTGGATCAGAATGGGAAGGGTTGGTAGATTATCTGTTTTTTACTTAATAAAGGACAAGGTCCAAAATGTTTGATTAAAAGTGCAACTTACACCAAACGGGGCTCATCGCAAGTTCAAAAATTACTTTTCAAATTTTTGGCTGTTCTCTCATAGATTATGAAGCCCCTTCATTTGGTGAAACATGCCCATCTGCACGAAGTGTTTTTGCTGACGAAGGAAAAACGTCGGCCACAATAAGCTGGGAACCAGTCATAGCCACTGATAATGATCAGGCCATCGTGTCTGTGTCTCCTCAAGTGACATCTCCGCACATATGTTCTGAGGGGTACCATTCGATAACCTTCACTGCCACAGATCTATCTGGGAACGCGAAGTTTTGTCACTTTCAAGTTAATGTTCAAGGTATTTGTGGGCTCCATGCCAAAATCAGAATTTAGCTGACATATAGTGAATCTTACGTAAGTGCATAATTAGTTGGGTAATTTCTCTTTTGTTATATTTGGATCACGGCAAGTAAAAATTTGACATTGTCAGGACACTGTTCACGTTGAGTCTAGATAAGCTAATTGAAGATTATCTTGCCATTCAAGGCTGGAGTAGGCTGGGTGTCTCCGTATGATCTTCTCTTAGCACCATCGTATTGAACGTATGTCACTTGTGACGACTTTTAATGATAAATTGTTTGAAATGTAAAGAATCGTCGCGATACCTTTCACAACTATTCGTTTGCATCAGGTCACAAATGGTGTCGTATTTTGGATTCAGACTAGAGAGCTTTTCTGTGTTTTATTTGACTGATATTCAATAAAACGGTAAACTAAGAGGAAAACTGCTAGAAAAAACAACGACAATAAAGGATGACTTCCCTTTCCCTTTTTCAAACTTGTTTGGAAAGGGAAACTACCTTAAGCGCAATAGTAGGTTAGGTTGCTAAAGTCTACTAAGTCGTTTTTTGAGGATGGTGCAGTTTTTTTAGGACTTACTATGGATATTTACTTTCCACATTTTACTAAAAGAAGCACCCATTTAATGCTTATATTTTACCGACTTCCCTTTACTACTTCCACTTCGATGCTGCCTTATATTCGTACATGCAAATTCTCATGAGCAACTACTGACTGGGTCTCAAAGGAATTCCATTTAGTTTCTACACTTGATTGAGAGAAACAATCTCTCTGAGCCTTTTTTTTACTAGCTCTCTTTTTATTACTTTTAGTACTTCGATGCCCCGTTCTACTCGCCCCTGCAAACGGAAGACTGGAGAATGCCGCCTGTGGAAACTTATTCGGCAGCACCTGTCGCTTGACGTGTAATAAAGGATACGAAATAAAAGGACCTGAGGAAAGAAAATGCGAGAAAAAACCTGGGACGAATACAGTGCACTGGACGGGAAATGATACTCACTGTGAAGGTAGAAAAACATATGACTTCATTGTTCAGTCAACTGAAACAGAATGCGGAGAAATGTGGTTCTCGGCCACCACCATCATAAAAGGCTGTCTATCAAGGTGAAAAGTCGAAAGAGACGATATTTATAAGGATGACAACGACGATGGCGACAAGAACGACAACTATGATAATTGAGAACAATTCTCAACTGTCCAATAAAAACAAATTAAATAAGACGTTGTTGTACCACCAGCATAAAGTGCGATTTTTTTAAAAAGAATACGTTTCAGTTGTGCACGTTTAATAATAAAAAGATAAAAAGGCCAGTACAGAGCAGGTTGTAAGGAATCGGGCGGGCACCGGGCACGAGAAAAGAACGTCAGAAAAGAACGTAAGAAAACACGAATACATATGGCATGAAAGAAGAAATTGGAATATACTCTGAACACTATATAATGAAAAATACACCAAATTTCAACCGAATCCTTCGATTTTGAATGAAAAATGTCCCTTGATTAATCCAGTTTTTCATTGCAGCTCTTCAATGCTCTGCTCTGGATAATCCAGGTAACGCAGTCAAATCAGGTTATGGTTGTACTGGCGCATCCTCTATCTATGGTACTTCCTGTCTCTTTTCTTGCATGATGGGATACCACGCTGTGGGCGGATCGCTGAAACGAACATGTCTGCAGAATGGGAAATGGAGTGGAACCAAGCTTCAGTGTGAAGGTAAAAAAGGGATGATTCCTTGAATTGAGAAATCTCATTTCGTGTATTTTTCTGGTAGCGGGGCTGACGTAGTTGTGAGAGGACTCACATTACATTCCACCACCGTGGCTTAGGTTCGATTCCCCGACCCGGCGCAAATGTGGATTGAGTTTTTTGATGGTTATAATCCTTGCTCCGAGGGTTCTTCTCCAGGTCCTCCGGTTTTCCTCACTCCGCAAAAACCAACATTCCAAATTCCTGGTCGACCTAAGAAAATAACCTATGACGCATCTCTGTTAACAAACCACTTATTTTTTATTCTAGCTATCACGTGCCCACCGTTTTCCATTCAATCAGAAGGACTAATTATCGGCCCGGCATCCTGTACCAATGCAACTGCTGTTCTAAATTATAACTCAGAGTGCTGGTTCTCCTGTAAGAATGGATATCTACAGGGTGGGCCTGGAATCAAGACTTGCAATCAGAACAACGATTGGTCTCCTCTAGGAAATCCTTCTTGTAAAGGTTTGTCTTCATTACCAATTTTCTTTCAAAGGTGAACACAATTTAACGACCTTCGACAAGACATTTTAACCAACATTGTGCAACAGCGCACTCATATCAGTTCCAGTGTTACGAGCTTGGAGTAAAGTAAATGCCAAAGACGACAAAAAAGAGTCATCCTTAATTATTGTGACTACAATAAACATGCATACAACATGCAAATTTCAACAAAGGAGAAACAAACCTGTTTATTGCTACTATTCCTTTTTTTCGGGGGGCAGCAGTTTGTTGAATACCCTCTCCAATTAAAGGAAAATCTTAAACCATCGAGTTCCTCTATGATCATTAATCACTTTGAGAGTCGAGCAGCATGCAAAACTGAAATCAAACAGTTTTATTTGAATACCAACAACTGCATTGCGAACAAATAATATTCTTTTCAAGGATCAATATCAGTATCTGGGCAACTTCCCACCTACCACTCCTAACCCGACATTAAGCCTAACTTGTCATTAATTGACTGTTGTTGAGTTTGGGGAGAGATAGGTGGGCAGTTGCCCAGATACTGACATTGATCCCATTTCAAAAGCCAATAGCCTTTCGGGGTCTAATTCAAAATTAACATTTAGAAATAACCTTGCACCGAACAATTTCTTCAGAGTAAATTTTGCCTAGAAACCTAAAAAACGGGAAAATCTATTAGCGACTATAAAACTACTTGATAGCACACTAGGCTAAACGGAGAGTTTTTTCATAACTCTTGTGCATTTAGTAGTTTTCTCCCTTTTTGAGGAAGCTACGTTAGCTCACCTGAAGTTGACTCCACGTGTTATTCGATACTCTATTTTTATAGTTGTCTCTCTCAAATTTGTTTATGTTTTATTTTGAACTGTTTTTCAGATGTTTCCGCGCCAGTCTTTGCAGACTGCCCCGCCAACATTGTCATCACTGCTGATAGAGGTGAAACGTCAGCCCAAGTGACTTGGGTCCATCCGACGTGTGCAGACAATTCTGGCCTTGTTCCAAACATTACACAGTTTGGAAAACAACCTGGGAACACATTTTCCGCTGGGGAACACAATATACGATACTTAGCATCTGATAGATCAGGGAACATTGCCGAATGCAGATTCAAGATTTTTGTTCAAGGTAAATGTTTCTCAAAATGGGCAGATGTCACAATGATCCCTGATATGGTTAAAATTGTCAGCCCTGTGGTCTGTTATGTGTTGATAATAACAAAAATATTAAATTTAAAAAGCTGAGAAAAGAGAGAAAGTATCACTTTAATCGTTCCAGTAAACCCCAGTTTTAAGACACCTACCCCTTTTTTTACCTTAACCACTCGGCAGAAAAATGCCAAGTGGGAAAAAATTTACTTACTAGCAGGGGAAATTTTAATTATGTAAATGTGAAAGAGTGGGACTTTTTTTACGTTGAGAGTATATTTAAACAGGATAAATTGAATGTAGTAATACTTTAAATCTATGAGAAAAAAGGAAGGCACGCAATAAAGGCGACAGACTGGGCGCACGTCTCGATATTATCTTTGTGTTCGCGCCTGCCCTTCTTTCTACCCTACGCTGTTTGTTTGTTTCTTTTAGTTTTGCGGTGCTCACCTAAACTACAAGCTCCAGTGGGAGGAGGCTCGCTTTGCACCAAGGGTAATCAGTATGGATCCAAATGTTCCTTCGCTTGTCACATTGGACACAAGATGATAGGCTCTGCCCTCCGGGTTTGTGAGAAGGACCCGGTGACTTCTTTAGGTTTCTGGACAGGAAACGAGACAAAATGTGATTGTAAGTCAAATTCCAAAGTTATATTTCTTTCCGTTCGCTTTACTCCCTTCCCCCATCCCAAGAAAATGGCCACTTTCTTAAAATGGTCGGAACATTTTTTTTCTACCACATAACTTTGCAAAATCACGTTTGCAAAAAGCACGTTGAAAGTTGAACCGAATCATCTATAGTCCAAGAAATTTAGATATAAAAAAGTCACAAAGTTTACTCTGACCATATACTTTTTTTAGTGATCAGGTGCCCGCGTCTAATTCCTCCCGACCACAGTACACAATATGGATGTTCGCGTGGCTCTGTGGATAACACTTATGGTGACAAATGTTTGTTGTACTGTGACGTCGGGTACCAGCGTGTAAATGGTTCCACCGAGAGAATCTGTCAAGCTAATGGTACATGGTCTGGAGAAGAGCCCTTCTGTGAAGGTAAGGGTGTGGAGGGGGGGGGGACATGAGGGGCAGTGCAAATTGATAAATTCACATGATTTAATTTGATTTATAAGAACATTGACAGATGTTTAAAAAAAAGCTTTTGTTTGTCTCGTGCGCTTTAATCGATTAATTCTGCTATGGAAACAAAACCATTCCGCTATCAGTAATCATGCCAACAAAAAAAGATAAATAGCCAAAATATAATAAGCAAACAATTAATTTTTATCCTTTTGCTCATTTTTCTCATTTTATTTTATTTATCAATAGAGAGACAGTGTCCTCCGTATCGTAATTGAAGCGATTACAAGGTCTCTCAAATCTCTCAAACAAGATAACTCACTCCATAATTCTATTTGTCATACATGAAAACCAGAGCGGTTTATAAACAGCAAAGTTCTGATGTTATTTTCTAGTATTGAAAATGATGTTGACTTGCTGAGTATTCTTCTCCTAGCTGTCCGCTGTAAGTCTTTACAAGCTCCAAAGGATGGCGATATCTCTCCAAGTTCTTGCACATCGTCTCCGGAGTACGACACCACTTGTCTTTTCTCTTGCCGAAAAGGCTACAGACTGCATGGAGAACCAATAGCAACTTGCCTTGGAGATGGAAGATGGTCAAGAAACGCCACTGCAATGTGCAGAGGTTAGATAGCAAGATCATGGAAAACTTTGGCTTAGATAATACTACAAGTTGTGATCTTTTTAGGTGCTCTCAAATATGTATAAAAAAAACCAATCACAACAACAACGATAACAACAACAAAAAAATATGCCAAAAAAAGAGGGGAGAAGGTCAGCGCTCAAAAATTATTTTTAATTTTAATTTAATTCTATCTGCAGACGTGGAAAGCCCTTCGTTTGGCTTTACCTGCCCAAGCGATATTAACTCGTACGCAGACAAGGAAAGAAATTACACGCAAGTGTCCTGGCCTCCTGTTATTGCCACTGACAACTCTGGTCTGGCACCGACTGTGACTTCGAGAGGTGTGCAAGTCATATACTATAATGGGAAGCACGAGGTCACTTACAACGCCTCTGATGTAGCAGGAAATTTCAAGATCTGCAAGTTTCACATCACCGTTGAAAGTAAGCTATTTTAAGCTTTCCCGTGTGATAGTAGAGTCCTAGAAAAATAGTGAGCGATCTTGATGTATCATCGTCAATTTTTTTTTTCAACAAACTGAAACGCAGTAAGACAGTATTGATAGCAAATGGTTTATGATATGATTGCTTCCCAACAAGTCGAACACAGACTTGAAGACAGATTGATTTGTTATTGGCTTGATTGCAGTAGCATCAGAAAGATAATGTAATATAAATCATGTTTATAAAATCTATTAGGTTGAACAATTTAACTGAGAGTTTGTGAATAATTCTTCCTTTTGAGAAAAGTGTTTTCTCTTCCAAAGGGTAACATATGAATTTTATCAGCGTTTACCAAGGAATCTCTCTGATATTTATGTTATTTAGTAGAAATACTAACTTTACTGAGATTAATGAGCAATTGTTTAAACTACCCTTAACGCTCACTTTTGTCTTTTGTTTCAAAAGGAAATGATTGGGTGATATGTTTTGTTTTCAACCTTGGTTACCGGGTACAAATTATATGTTAATTTTGAATGCATTCCCATCCGTTTCCTGCTCCAATAACAATAGATAATCGTATGTAAATTGAGGATATGCCCAAAACCAAACAATCTATATTACATTCCCTTATATTTTTTCATTTTTCCAGTCTTTAGATGTCAGACACTGTTACCTCCGCTGGAAGGATCCTTTTTGGGAGATTGTGACAACATTTATGGTTCGACGTGCAAAGTGGTTTGTAAAGATGGTTACAACCTGGATGGGTCTAGCGTCCTCACTTGCCTCAGGAAACCAGGTCACATAACAGGATACTGGAACGGTTCTTTCCCAGTCTGCCAGGGTAAATGATAAGCGTATTCTGTTATATGAGAAAAAGGTTATTACGTTTTATTGATATTGTTCCAATGAACATCAAATGAGTATCAGATATCAAAGTGGACAGAGACAATCCTTTTAAATATGACGGAAGACTGACTACACCTCGGATTATGCAGCGTTAATCGTTTTCAGTTTTGGGCACAGCAACCTTAGCACAACAAATAAAAGGATAAAATCTTCCAACGATGTACTTTTTTAATTGCATCAGAGTGTCGTTAGTAACTTATTAATATTGGCCGAAGCACTGCCTTTCAAAAGCAGAACAAATAATGCTGCATAAAATTTAAAAACATTCAGTTTGTTAAATGAAAACTTTCTCGAAAATTAATGCTTTTCAGTAATTATGGAGTTACGCCGAATCAATCAAAGTTAAATAAAATGAAACCAAAGAGGTCAAATGGAATCTACTGAGAAAGAGAATATTTATCTAAATACAATGAAATGCGTAGAGTGAACGAACATTAAGATGAAATACTCCAAATTTAACCCACAATGTTTTCAAATGTTATAATGTCCCTAATTATTGATTTTTCTCTACTATTTTATCCGAAAAACATGTAATAAATTCCAAAATATCATTTGCGTTGATCGTAGTACGGAGATGTCCTTCTCTGAGTTCTCCAAGGTACGGCTTTATTTACCCCCGAATGTGCAAGTCGTCTCCAGTCAGCGGTACAGCCTGCTACTTCGAATGCAGGAATGGTTTCCTTGAAAATGGTGGAGAAACTGTGGTCTATTGTGAGAACGATGGAAAATGGAGCAAAAACATATCTTCGATATTAAAATGTCTTGGTAAGCTACTTAGATTTTTGGTTGAGGAACTGCCGTGGCGCCATTGCCATAACTGATCTTGCTTTACCCTGAGTTGATTGGTAGAATTTATTGAATCTGGCTTAGTGTGTGTAGGAGACTTAACAAATAGATTCCATTTTGCCATGTGATATTTCATTAATAGATCACCGACGAAGTAAAAATGCGATAATAGTTTTTTTGATTGTTGAAAAAGCAAAACGTTGTTGATAGTGAAGCCAAAATAAAATATTCGTCCGTCCCTAAAATAGATCATAAAAAATAACCAATAAAACTGTGGATAGGATACAGTTGATCATATAATTCGGAAGAGATCACACTGATATGTCATTTACCTGTTGCCAAATGTTAGTCTTCTGTTGCTTATTTTTGCAGATGTGTCACCGCCTGTATTCAAGAATTGTCCCTCAGACATTCGTGTAAACCTCGGCACAAATTCAACAGCCGTGGCAAATTGGACTGCTCCAATTGCATTAGACGACAGCAACGTGGAACCTCAAGTAACAGTCTTCCCTGATGGGATTAAGCCGCCTCACGTAATCAATAAGACACTTATGGTTGAGTACACGGCCAAGGATCCAAGTGGCAATGCAGATAAATGCTCTTTTAAAATAATTCCAGAAGGTAAACAGTGTCCTGAATAATGCTGCAATTAAATTAAGAAATTTTTTACTTGTGTGTATTTAGTATTTTCGTGGTTTTATTGGCTTTCAGAGAGTTCTTGCAGCTGTTAACGATAATATTGCTTCAAGAAAAATGTTAATTTCATTGCCTTGGTCCTCTGCTCACAACCCTATTCAATGTGTTTGGAATTAAAATCTTTTGTACTGCCCACCAGAAACCTCCACTATAGAATCAAGAATATCAAACCGCTACATCCGTATAATCGTATTATGCAGATCGTCTCGTTCCCACTGTAGGACTCTTTACGTAACCCATGAAAGTAAAAGGTTAATATGTGGTTTTATGTTCAATTCCCTAGATAATTCGGGCCCTGTGGTCGTTTTCTGCCCTCCAAGTCAAGTTATCATATCGGAAAAACGAAAAATAAGCGTTACATGGCCAGAGCCACAGTTTAAAGACAACAGTAACAGCCCGCTGCAAATAACGTGCAGTCAAAAAAGTGGTACTGTCTTCTACTGGGGAAGCTATACAGTACACTGTATGGCATATGATAACAACCCCAACAACAAGCCAGCAGTCTGTAAATTTGACCTCACAATAAGACGTAAGTACCAAATATGATTCCTCGCAAGTGCTGTCGGTATACAATACTTTTTACCTTAAAGCTCCTAGTTACTTGAAGAACGTTTCTGTTTTCACAAAACACTTCCTCAATGGCATCGGCTTGATAATTAAAAATCCTCGTGTTCACTCTCTTTGTGACTCCAGGTTAAAAAACTAATAATTATAACATTTTAAGTTATGGTTAGGTATTTTCATGATTCCCTCATACTATAGATTAGCAAACAATGCGAGCACTTTCGGTAACTCTTGGAAGAAGAAAAACGTGCAAACTTCGCTATGTTTAGATTTGATTGGAAAAGAACAAATACTCAGAGAAAACTGAAAATTTATGCAGTTTATACAGTTTATTTTATCATTATCAGTAACCTGTCTGGTTAAAGATCAAACACATTTCTTAGAAACCTAAAATACTCTCTTAAGAGAGAACTTGGAGTCAAAAGCATGATATTGCAAGGCTTTATGTAACTTCCAAACAATTCCCATTACGGGATACGAACTACTGTCCAAAAACTACCAACATCAAATCGCTCAAGTTTTCTTTTTATTAGTTAAAAAAGCCTTTTTTCTTGGGCCGTACTTGCCACCAAAAGATGAAAAAAAGAAAAAAGAAAGAAAGTTAATAAACAATAAGTAACTGTCCATTTCCTTTCCCAGCAAAAAAATGCAATGAAATGAAATCTCCGATCAACGGTGGCGCCGCTTGTGATGACTGGATGTTGGGAAGGATGTGCACACCGTTTTGTAATAGTAAATTTGATTTTAGCAAGCCTTTGTCGAACAGCGTTTGGAGTTGTGGAGGATCTGGGACCTGGACTCCTGGATATCGTTGGCCAGATTGCACAAGTAAGCAGCATATGCTAAAAAAAATTTAAAAAAAAATTAATTAAAAAAAAAAAAGGAAAAGCCGAATATAATCCAAAAGAACTTATGGAGCAGCTCACAGTAACTGCAAACTAAATATTCTCCGAAAGTCTGATATGGAGAAATAAACATATAGTTGGGGCTCGTGGGTACTTTGGTAGTGCCATTATAACTTATATTGGCCTGCATTAGTCCACATAACACTCCAAAGAGGGAAGAACGTTGTCTCTGACTAGAAAAGTGATTCGTTTGCGTAAATGACAGGAGCAAACCAATTATCGCTCGTCATTCCTTGAAAGGACCGGATATACTAACACTAGTAGAATTTTACCGTTCTATCTGCAATCCCTTCATCAAAGTGCCGACGTTTCGGGCGTTAGCCCTTCGTGAAAGCGAACGCACGAAACATCAGCTTTTGAACTCTTTACGGTGGGCAAGGTACGTTATCAATACATTTGATAATTCTAAATTACCGAATATGTGTTACAATTTGTCTCAAACAAGTATTCCGACGAACAGAGTGCCATTCGTTGTGTAATGGTTTGTTTCTTAAACCTTTGCAGAAAAATCTCATCCCAATAGAGTAAGAATGGCAATGGACTTACACTACTATAATGGAGATTGTAGCACAAACGAAACCCAGACTCAAATAAAGGAACTCTTTATAAAGATTATCAACACGTCTGCTTTCCGTGAAGCCTGTCAAGATCCATCTTTCAGAGATAAGTGTAAAGCTGAGAATGTTGTGGTCACGTGCGGGGAGGTCGACGAGTCTGTTGCTGATAGAAAAAGGCGTTCGACAGGTAAGATATATGGAACTCTTTCAGGAAGGCGCTTTTAAATTTTGTTCTTTTGTATGATGTTTACCTTATCATCATGCATAACAACGATGACATTGTCACTCTTAAAGGAGGCCTAGAAAGCCTATTTGAATGCACGTTACTATGCCAACCATATCGTAAGGCGAAAGATCATCGAGGTAAATTCAAAAGATGTTGAGAGATTTCTTCGAATTTTTGTCAAAATCCATGATAATCTCTGCAGAATAGGATCCTTTGGGAATGAAAAAAGCTTTCATGGGGAGATATGATCAAGATCCTACAAATCAGATTGTGTCTTTATTCTGAGAATCGAAAAGTGGGAATTACCACTCATCGTTCGGTTGGCGCAAACTTGGCTTCTAGCAATCAAAAGAAGATTATCTAAGATATTTTTAAAGCTTATCGGCGATTTTCTTCAGTTTGAAACTTGTGGTCGAGCATCTGTAGGAGACAGGAACATACATCTTTTACAAATAATTCTTTTAGAGAGATGCATATTTTATTTAATATATCTACTAAGTCAAAAGGAGCTTGAAAGCATATTAAGTTGTGAAATCAACAGGTGATGGAGAGCATTTCAGAAGAAGGCGATCTGTTCCACAAACAACAGTCACTCTCGAGATCATTGGTAAGTCCATAGACGTTATTCACCAACAATATTCCACTGAGGCATATGCAAATTTTTATGTATTATATCAAATCATGTTGTGTGACACATTGTGATATAATATGATGTGATATAATGTTATATCCGATGTGATGTGATAAGTTGTGATGCGGAGAATGGTGTAATGACATGTGATGTGATTTCATGTGACATGAAGTGATGTAATGCGATGTACGAGGTGCCGTGATGATACGTGATGTGATGTGCCATGATATGATGTAATTTGAAATGCTATGTGACATGACGTGATTAAATGTGATGCGGTGTAATGTTATGTCCGATGCAATATGGTGACATGTGATATGGAGAATGATGTTATGAGATGTGATTTGATTTGATATGACATGATGTGATGCAATGTGCTGTTGTGATGTGTTGCACGAGGTGACGTGATAAGATGTGATATGGTGTGAAGAATGGTGTAATGTGATGTGATGCAATGTAATGCGACGTGCGATATGACGTGATGTGATGTGTGCATGCAATGCGACCATTTTTTAAGATCGCTAATATCATGTGAAACGCATATGAACAGGGGCGTAGCTAACCCATAGTCCTGTGGTCTTGGGCTTGCAAATATTTTTCTGTCGGCTTGACTTTTAGAATATCACTCTTTCAAATTTTGAAACAAAATTGAAGTTCCAATCAGTTTTCAGGCATAAAACAAGTCGAAAAGCAGGCCAAGGGTGTTGGATGGTAAAATGCCGCATGGGGCTTGTCGATTTTTTTACATATTCCCTCCACAGCGACAGAACCCGTAACAATTACAGACCTCGTTAGGGTAGTTTCTGAACAGTTTCATGTCTGCTAAAAATTACGAGTGAGGGAGGGGTCGATTATTTATTTAGTTTGGTTTTTCACGCTGATGTGATTTAGGGTTTTATGAGTGGAAGAATGCTAAGTAATTTGAATATTTTATCTCTCGCAGTTGAGCTTGATGGAATTGAAGGAAACGACACCAGCGAAGATTACATAATGATTGGAGAGGAAGGAATGAAAGTTGCCCACAATATTAGCAATCTGATTAAACAAGCAGCTCAAAATGGCAGCCTTCGGTTCTCAGTCAATAGCTCAGAGTTTGTCCCTGACATAAAAACGCTCAACATCTCCGACCCTCAGCAGCTTTGTTATACTGGGCAGATTTACAGGAATGGATATTGTCGTAAGTCTCGTGCGATTATAATATGGTATCATTTAATGTTTCAGTTGGGGACTTTGACACAATTACCAAGGCCTGAGAAGTTAACTAAAAGTTATAACAATCTGAATTTATCAATTGAGTTGATAAAGTAAATTGGCCATCATAAAGATTTTAAAAGCTGAGGTTGCAAGCGATAGCCCTTCGCCAATCCCTCTGACGAAGGACTAACGGTCTAAATAAATCTTGTAAAATCAAATTATCTTGTAATAATCCCCAAAGAAGCAGCACCTTAATTTCCCCGGGAACGTATCACCTTTATTCATCTAAAAGTTATGATGATAACTTGTGCTCAAATTTCACCTTTGCTTGATAATACCTTGAGATGTTGTGTTTTACCAGAGATGATTGCCTTCAGCGTAAGATATTAGAGTTTGTTAAAAAGCCCATCATTGTTTGTTACTGGATTCTATAAATGAACGAACAACCCTCTTACTGTGTAATTCCATTGATGATGGGAAAAGATTCCAATCTATGACGTCATACTTTCGTCTCTCAGTTAACTGTAGCTCTGGAACGTTTTTGAACCAAACGACTGCAAAATGCCAAGATTGTCCTCACGGAACATATCAGGACTCTGAAGGAGAACAACAATGTTTGTCCTGCCCATCAGGAACCTCCACTGTAGAATCGAGGACAGCAAACCGCTCCAGTTGTTTTGGTAATCATTAATTGTTCTTTTTAAGAGCCGCCCTAAGATGTTGGTATTCAAATCTGCAGTTTAGTTTGTTAATATCAACTAGGACCAAAATAGCAGCGACTAACCTGAGAAGAATCACATGTCTCGGTCAAGGCAGTCATCAGATACTTAATAGCATCTCTCGTAAGTCTCGTTCACAAATTGAGGTGTCAATAGTGGCATTCCATCGCAGAGGGTTTCTCAACAGCCTGCTAACGAGTTACATCAGTGCAATAGAAGAAAGTTCTAAACAATTATTAGATAAGGTTTTTGTGATATCCAGAGTAATCAAGGTCGAGGACGGGGGTTATCAGCCGAAGCCGAAGGCTCAGGCTAACAACCCTTGCCGCTATCATTTAAGTTTGTTGTGCGCTATCGTTTAAATTTGTTGATTTTCTTCATTTCTTCACAAGCGGTCGCAGCTCTATTTCAAATTAACTACCAGGGTGACTTTGATCATGGCTCCTTTCAGTTTTCATTATTTTTTTTTAGAATGATTGAACTTTGAGCAAGCACACAACTTTTAACACTTTTGCTTGCGCCGTTTAATGTGTATTTGTCGATTGATCTGATTCAATTCAGCAGGTTCCCAGTGCCTTCAGGGAATTCTATGTAAATTTATAACGGCGTTTGATATAAACTGTTAGGCTTAATTTCAAGTGTTAATATTACTGATAATTACAGGAATGGTTATATCATATGATGGCAAGAAATATCAATATTATCATTATCATTAATTGCTTCAATTTTTCGTTAAGCCTATTGCAAAGCTGGTACCTACTCCCCTACGGGTCTTGAACCATGTTTCCCATGCGACAAGGGCTCTTACCAAAACAAGAATGGGCAGAAAAATTGCTTGCCATGCGCAGCAAACCAGACGACGTCATCTGAAGGTTCCAATGGCTCTTTGCTGTGTGGAGGTATTTCTAAGAAGTGATTGATTTGTGTGTGCTGATTCAAGATTTCTGTAATGTTATCGCTTTAGATGGAATTCTATGTTTCAACCTAAATGCTTGCCTTAAGATTTTTCATTGTAAAATCAACTAATTTTACGGTGATTATTTCGCAGAATTCTTTCGCCAGAGGACTGATTTTATGGTTTAATTTTGCCGCAGGTTATAAACCTTGGTTACCCTGATCAAGCTCTTTTTGGGCAGAAAGTGCTCCATCTTCCACTCACATCTTTTTCTTTTACTCCTGATCATAAAAGTTGGAAACGGTGTCATAAAAATGCTGCATCTTTTTTATTAACCCAGGTGTCTTGCAATCCCCATTCTCAGTTATCTCTCGCGAATCTTAAGTTTCTTTCAATTCTCCAGAAATCCCCTTCTCTTTTGAGTACATCCACCCTACCGGATAGAGTGCTACCTCCATAACTTAACGACCTGAACCAAGGTAACGGTCATCAAAATCTCACCGAATCATTTATGTTCACTTCCCTCTCACAGAACCTTGCCACCCTGGCTCGTTTTCCCCCAGTGGATTGGCACCGTGCTCTTTATGCGACCAGCGTTCTTTCCAGCCGCGTAATGAAAGTCGGATTTGTTTTCCATGCCCAGGAACCACTATAACAGTATCTCCCGGATCAAAGACCGCACAAGATTGCATAGGTGAGATGACATAAGAGGAATCAGGTTTCTGTATTTTTTTAATCATTTTAACCTACAAAATTGAAGATTACACGCGATTAATAATGGTAAAAGGAGCGAGTGAAGTCCATTCGGTTTGTAATCGTACGAGTGATTTACAAAAGAAGTTGGAAGCCGAAAGAGGTGATGCGGCTTAGCGAAAATTGAAATAATTTATGGATCAAGATGCCAACACCCGTTTACCATTATGAAAAGAGGCAAATTGTGTAAATAATATATAAAGACATGTTTAATACCTCTCTCATAGAAGCAAATAATTAGAAAAACTAGATATAAAATATTAATTCTTTCAAGACAAAACTTTATCGCTAGAAATTAACAGACATGTACCTGAAAAAACTTACAAAAAAAAATTATGATCTACTCATGCTACTTGAAAAGTTTTTTTCAAAATTAAGTAATTTCTGTTTCCTTTTGCTTGTCATGTTTCCATAGAAATCAACGAATGCGAATCAGACCCTTGTAACAATAATTCAACATGTACAGACCTCATCGGTGACTACCTGTGCTCTTGTACCTCCGGTTACACTGGAAAGCAGTGTGAGACCAACATTGATGAGTGTCAAGACCAACCTTGTTTCCATAACGGCACATGCCACGACCTTCTTAACAATTACACCTGCAATTGCACGCAAGGTTTCCGTGGAATTAACTGCGAAAAGGATATCAACGAATGTGATTCGTCACCATGCGCCAACAATGCTTCCTGCCAGGATCTCCTCGGAGGATTCAAATGCCAGTGTGAACCTGGTTACACTGGCAAGCTCTGCGATACTGATATCGATGATTGTCTTATTTCCCCTTGTCAGAATGGAGCTACTTGCCGAGACGGCATCAATAACTACGAATGTGTCTGTGCTCTAGGATACCAAGGGGACAACTGTCAAGAGAATATTGATGACTGTGCAAGCAATTCTTGTCAGAACGGAGGCCAATGCCTCGACGGTATTGGCAGCTATCTGTGTATTTGTCCAAAGGGATTTACTGGTAGTATTTGTGAGATAGACATTAACGAATGTGTGACAGCAGACTGCAAAAACAACGCTACTTGTATTGACGAGATAGACGGATACTTTTGCCAGTGCGAGAAAGGATTTTCTGGAAAGACGTGCGAGATTGAAATTGACGAGTGTTTCTCCAATCCATGCAAGAACCAAGCGCAATGCATGGATATGATTAATGGGTATACATGTGACTGTCAAGATGGTTTCGATGGTTTGCATTGTGAGAACAACATCGACGACTGTGCTTCAATTCCTTGCTCAAACAATGGCATCTGTCGCGATGGTATTAACAATTTCACCTGCGTATGTCCGTCTGGTTTTACGGGTGCGCTGTGCAACGTGGACATTGACTATTGCACCTCCAAGCCTTGCTATAATAACGGTTCATGTTTTGATGACAACACGTCTTTTAAGTGCCAGTGTCCCGATGGTTTTGAAGGGGAGCACTGCGAAATCAATGTGGACGATTGCAAAAATTCTACCTGCATGAACAACAGCACTTGCATTGACGGCATAGATGAGTATGAATGCGCATGTTCTGAAGGTTTCGTTGGCATCAGCTGCAAAATAAATGTTGATGACTGTGCGGGAAACCCATGCGTCAACGAAGGAACATGCACAGACCTGATAAACGACTACCAATGCAACTGCAAGTTGGGTTACACAGGGAAAAACTGCAGTGTGGACATCGACGAATGCACAAGTTCTCCTTGTAACAACAATGCTACGTGCATCGACCAGGTGCATAGTTACACCTGCCTCTGTAATGTTGGATTCAGTGGATCCCATTGTGAAGTTGATGTAGACGAGTGTGGAGCAAACTATTGTAGTAATGGATCCACCTGTATAGACGACGTAAACGGTTATAGCTGTAAATGTGCTCCAGGCTTCTCTGGTGACGATTGTAGCACGGAGATTGACGAATGTGCATCTTTTCCATGTGACTATGGTGGGACATGTTATGATCAGGTACTTCACGACACATTATATGACTTGGTTCCGTTGAGCTATACATATACGAATTCAATACGATCTCCGGACACAGCATCATACAATACACACAAAAATAACATAGGATACGTAGTAAATTCACAATTTTTTTCACCGAGGAAAGATGTTCCCCGTGGTTAAGTAACCGCTGTTCTTTATCTTGATCGGTTAATGGAAATCAGTAATCTTTTATCAAATTAATGTTTAAAGGTTTGAATTTTATACTTCTCAGGTTAATGGCTTCCTATGTTTCTGCAAACCTGGATTTACAGGCCATCGGTGTGATGTGAATATAGATGAATGCGTCTCCAGTCCATGTCAAAACAATGGCACGTGCATGGATCGTGTGGCAAACTTCTCTTGCCAGTGTCCAGTAGGATTTAATGGATCCCAGTGTGAAAACGCCATTGACTATTGTTCCGACTCGGGTAATTGCACTGTAAATGGGCAATGTGTAAATTCTCGAACAGATTTCTATTGCAACTGCAGCAGTGGGTATTTCGGGAAATACTGCGAGTTTGAAATCGACGAATGCTTGGCAAAACCCTGTTTCAACAACGCTACCTGCCGTGACGCCATTGGTGACTTCTCTTGCTCCTGTTTAGACGGATACACAGGGAAGCTCTGTGAACTGAACATTGATGATTGTAGGAACAATTCTTGTCAGAACAACGCGACTTGTGTTGACCGTACCCTTGGGTATTCCTGTCTCTGTGCCGAAGGTTACAATGGGACCCACTGCCAAACAGAAATCAATGAATGCGAATCCAATCCATGTTTAAACAATGGCTCATGCATTGACCTGACTCCTGGGTACAAGTGCGACTGCTTTGACAAATTCATTGGGGAAAACTGTGAAAACTTGACGGATCTCTGTTTATCTGCGCCTTGTCGAAATGGAGGTAGATGCAAAACTGAAAGCGCTGGGGAATACTTCTCCTGTACGTGTCCAGCTGGTTTTACAGGAAAAACTTGCGAAGTTAACATCGATGACTGCGTTTCGAGTCCCTGTATGCCAAACTCCTATTGTCAAGACCAGGTTAACGGGTATGCATGTGAATGCTTCCCTTCTTTCATGGGAGATCGCTGTGATATCTGTGAGTATCAATCATCGCTATATTGTTGTGTGGTTACTGTTTTATAAGACGATTAATGCAGAAACATCAAGGTAAAGCAAACCAAAAGAAGTAATGTAAGTAAGCAATTCTGAAAAAAAAAGAAAGGTTTTATTCAAAATCAAATCAAATCTTATTTATAGTGCCATACGAAATATCAATTTGGGGTGTTCAGAACATGTAACTTTCTCTCCGCTGCCGAATAGTTAAAACGGAAATATATATACATATGTTAAGTTCATCAAAACAGGATTTAAGGGGTTAAAACGTAGAGCCCTTTCCCAAGTGACAGTTACTCGATACAGGTTGACGTTCAATAGATCGAACGTGTTTGAATAAACGTGAAGAAATCTCTCCTCTTAATTATTTTTCAAACATATATGTCTTATTCTCAAACTGAGCTTTACGTTTCAGTTCTGGGAAGCAACTTTGATCTGAAATTTTCGCGTAAAAGTAAGGACGACATGGTTCTTCTGTCAGACGGTAAAAGTATTCCGAGCATGAGGTCGTTTACAATCGCCCTATTTGTCCGTGTGGACTCGCGATTCAAGTCAGGGACATTGTTTAGTTATAGTGTTCCCCAGCAGTCGCAGGACATCATAGTACTATCGTTTACAGAGTCTGAAATCCTCCTGGAAATCAAAGATAAAGTAATAAAGACGAGTTTCAGCCTGCTGGATGATCGTTGGCATTACGTGGGAGTTGTTTGGAATGGAATCACTGGAGATACTTTTGTGTACGTGGATGGACCAGAGAGAGAACATTCCAAGGATGTAAACACCGGAAGTATTATAATGGGAGGTGGTTGGATCGTACTGGGGCAGCGATATCTCGCAGAGGGACAGAATCCGACTGAATCGACGGCTTTCGTGGGCACTCTGCACCAAGTTAGCCTATGGGATGTGCTAGCATCAGCAGACCACATGTGGAATGCTGCACACAACTGCACCTGGCCTATCGCAGGAAGTGTGCGAGCATGGAGCAGCTTCCTGCTTGGGATAAAAGGAGAAGTAGAGAAGAGGTTTATGACGCAATGTAAAGGTATGCAGTCTGCTAAACATTCAAAATTTGCTAGACACGCTTTTGTACACAAAGCTCTGGATCCCGAGGCCAAAGTTCGATACTCGACCGGGGTCAATGTTTTTCTTTAGTAAGGCACCTCCTTCTCGCAATGCCTCTCTACACATAGAAGCTTAAGCCGAATTTTCAGGAAAACCTGATGAAAAGCAAGGGGAAATGGCTCACGTTATTAACTCAGTAGATAATGCTAAAATACTAAATACCTTATGCGGTTTACTAAATTATTAAAGAATAATTTGAAAAACAAAAGTTGACAAGAAATGGTAGGAGCAGACTAACTTGGTACTAGTTGTTAGAAAAAAGGTTATTAGAACAAGTCTAAATGTTTGTCTCGAGCTTAGTAAGCTAAATACCTACTCCAGTCCAAATACAGAAAAGCTAACAATCTAACACGTAAAATATATTTATGGAATCTGAATTAAAGCTTTTGTCCGTAAAAAGTTATGGTCGTCCGCTCCTGGGAAAAGCTTAAACTTAAAAGCTTAAACTTAATTTTCTATTTACTGCGAATCCAAAGAAAGCTCTAACAGCTCTACAAGTCAGGTGGGCTTGCAGGGTTGATTTCAGAATTCTATCATTTTAGTCCGCAGCTGAATCACTGGTTCATCGCGATGATTTCCGTAACCTCTATTTTATCTTTTTTTATTTAATAATTTCTCTTTAATTATCGCGAAAGAGATTTTTATTCAAACCTTTTTTAGGTTCAACCTATCGGTTGAAATTGTTTCTTTTCTGTCTTCTTTACCGGTAGCTTTGGACGATTGCACAACAAATTGCTCCCACTTTCTCCATTGTGAGGCTCGTGAAGCACGTTACCACTGCGAGTGTCAGCCTGGGTTTTCAGGTCCACACTGCAATATCGACATCGATGATTGCAGTTCCAATCCCTGCGTCAATGGAAAGTGTGTAGATGGTGTAAACCGATACGACTGTGAATGCGATAGCGGGTATTATGGCACTGACTGCAAGCAGAAGATCATCGAGGAAAAAGGTGAATATGCTCTCAAAGACACAAAACTGAACAGGTTTTCCGAAGTGATTGTTGAATAAAGAGTCGATGAGATCTTTTAGTCCGTCGAATAAAGATTAACAGTATATTCTGACTAGAATTTAGACTAAAATGGTTAATGAAGGTAAATATTTGCTGATATCGTTCTGAAGTTTCACTAACACCAAACTTGCAGTAAGTGCGTTTAAGAAAGAATTGCTGTTAAATGAATGGTGCTTCTGGGCAATCTATTTGAGTCCTACACATTCCGCACATTTCTCTGGAAATATAAACTTTAAAACAAATTTCGCCCATTTTCGTAGTTTGCCCAAAACTGGAGAAACCCAGGAATGGTCAAACGAAGTGTCGAAAGCTATCTGGAAAACTATTGTGTATCATGTCTTGTGATGAAGGACACGCATTTAATTCCGGGGCAATTACAATGTATGGCTGTGGGCCAGATACAGAATGGAAATGGAATGGAAAAGATGATCTTGGGATACCCTCTTGCACAAGTAAGAAAAGCGTTCTTTAAACTGTTTTTTAGAGTCATGTGTTATCTACATTTACGCTGAAATTCTTTTCTTGGTTAAGACCTATCTAATACCGAGAAAGCAATTCCTTCATTTCATCAAACAAACAAGCTTCTTATTTATCTGACTAACTTGTTTGGCTGTTGCTAATGAGCAAGCGAATTCAGATTAGGAAAATATCCAAGAGTCAGATAAATAATTCTCTTATTTGTTTTAACGATGATTACAGTCGAGAAAATATAAACTATAAACAATAATAACGGTGATAATAATAATAATGAATTAATATCTTGTTATAGTAATGATGATTTGACATGGTAAGGTAGCATGTTTATTGTGGTTTGCGTCTGATAAAATGAATAAGACTTTCACAGAAAATGAACTCAACGTCTTTCATTGCGAATTGCAAGAGATGAGTTAACGAATCGATATTCGACTCACTCTAACAACATCACTTTTTTTTTCCTTTTATCATTTTCACACAGGTGAAGCTGCTCCCAAGGAAATAGAACATCACTTTTCTGTAAGGTTTAGTGGGATTAATTGTGGGAACATAAAAACCCACAAGGATTTACTGAAAGCTGTTAAAAAAGCTGTCAATGAAACGCTTTCAACAATCTCAGGATGCCACGCTTGCCAATTGACAAAGCTTACCGTTCCTGGATGTGAATTGGCGGAGGGGAAGAGGAAAAGGCGAGCAGACAGCTATGCAATGGAGGTTCTTTTCTCGTTGATGGTGAGAGAAGCTCTTGGTAGTAACTCACTGAGCGAAGATGTTCCAGAGAAGAGTGAAGCGGTCCTGTTTCAGATGAAGTATGCTGTTGCCACAGGACAATTCAGGATAAACGTGAATGGAATGAACAGTACCGCTGAGAGATCTTCACTACAGCATCTCTCCTCCAGTGTCACTTGCAGTGCAGGATATGTTACAAGCAGCAATGGAAAAAGATGTGGTGGGTGTTGCATCTGCTTTGGTTATATCACTTTTCAGATTAACTGGATTAAAAAACTTACTGGTTAAGGAACTCGTGCTATCCTCTCAACCAATCAGTATTGACGCCTAAACGTAATCGTTACTTTAAGAGGCTGCGCTTTCCTTCGCTGGTGACCAGCCTCTTATAGTTAATTTCATCCCTCGCTAGCTGTTTTGCTCTTATTGGCTGTGATGTTTTCCTTGTGATAGCACTCTGCTGCGTGAATACTTCGGAGGACTTTGCGAATTCTTGGCTATTCTTTTGATTTTCAACAGTGGCATGCCCAGTGGGAACGTATTACGATAAAAACGGCTTCAACTGTACGTTGTGTGGTAAAGGTAGTTATCAGGACAAGGAAGGTCAGAACAGTTGCGAAAAGTGTGACCAAGGAAAATCAACGGATACTAATGGAGCTGCTTCGAGTGAAGACTGTGTTAGAGGTATGACCAGCTAATAAAATTTCGAAAGTCTTTTTCAAACATAGATAATAGACTGCTATAAAGATAACAATTAGATCAGAATAACTATTGATCAAACATCACATCGTTCTGCAGGGTTCAATCAATGAATATCATTAACAGTTAAGAACCCACGCCTAATCCAACAAGAACATTGCGCGATTATTTTGCTTTTAACACAGTGAAGCTTTGTGGCAGTACAAGTCTTAGAGAATACGAATTTTACCTCGATAAGCTTTCTAGATCTCGTTTTCGTTCTGAAACGTCAACTAAAAAAAGGGATATGTTATTGACAACCATAATGCTCATGTTTGAAATTGGAAAATTCAGGGAAAATTTTGTCACATACAGACGAACTTTGCCAGATGACTCGACAATGAAACTGGGAAGGGTGCAAGTGACGTTCGTTCTGGCGAAATATTCTGAGAAAGATTCCTTGAACGATTCCATCGTCAATTTATGTAACACACCCTCCAACAAAAAATCTTTTACGATAGCGTACAGTATGTAAAGGGAAGCATGATTCTCTCCATTCCTTCCATTTTGAACAGTCTCATCGCCAACACTATAGTAGTCAAGTTGATGAAAATCTTGTTACCCTCTTCCTAGCCTCCCTTTAGCCGTAGTTGACATGACTGTCTCTGTTGGTCAACAGAACCTATCTCTATCAAAGAAGATACTGCCACTGGCGTCATCGTCGGAGTTGTAGTTGCTGTGGTTATTTCGGTTGCCTTTGCTGCAGCAGTTTTCTATTATTACCGCAGGTGCGTACTTCTCAATAGACGATGGCTCTTTGAAATATGCGTCTTTGGCTGGTGAAATCACACGAGGATAAAATTATGAAGATATTACACTATTTTTTGGGAAAAAAATGCTCGACATAAATTATTTACTATTACTACTCTATAATAAATAGACCAATCAAATTGCCTTAAAATGAAGAAAAAAATTAAAACTATCAACAATCAGCCTACTACTGGATCAAAAAGAAATCATTTATACCAACTGAAAAAATCCTGTATTTGAGCGACTGAAAGGTGCGATTTCAAAATGGGTATAATATGGTGGTAATGGATCTGAGTGAAGCGTAATTTTGGTCTGAAATAATTGTGATTTCAAATGAAACTTTTTTTGCACACTCTTTTAATTTTGAAATGACGCACAAGATTTAAGACGAAATTGCACTCGACTTAGCTCAGAAACTATCATCTATTTAATTCTTAATAGATCGCCCCGTGCGTGTAGTGGCAAACCAAAAAGGGGAAGTGAATCACGTATGTTCGAGGACAGTACCCAAGAGGGAGTATTTAACAAAGCATTCGAGGCGAACTCCACAGAAGACAGAACTCGAGATGAACAAGAAATGCAATCTCTAGGAAGTGATTCCTCAATGATATCAGGACATACTTATTGCGAGATATCTGAAGTAGGAACATATGAGAATGCCAACATCGGTCGTCAGAGGGACAATCCATCTCAACCTCCAACCTATTGCAACCACGTTTCGCCTTATGCTGTTAGTAGGATCGTTTAAATTACTTCCCTCCTCACTTCGAAGCACTTAATTTGCTCTGAAAACTTGATTATCCATGCATATGGCATTAAAGACAACTATCCAATTAAAAGGTCTGATTACAACTATAGGAAATAATGAAGGATTGCGACGCAATAACTTGACGAAGTCTTCATAGTCATGATAAGCTAACAGAAAGGTCTTCTGAGACATTTATGTCTGCGGCTAAAGCTGAGATTACCAATACAGTCATTGTGGAAAATATTCAGTGCTCTAGAAATTTTTTCGATGACTAAGGCTGGTTAGCTTGAAAGCCCCACTGGGGCAAAAATGGATTTACTCATGTTTGCAAACTGACCAAATATATTGCAAATTTAGAGCACCAAATTTGAACTGAATTTGCACTGGCGAGTAAAGTGGGTGCAAACTCGCACATTTGCTTGAATGGCAGTCGTCCTTTCAAGCCTCACCATCTATGTCTGAAGTGCAGGTGAAAAGCTACCTTAAAAAAATAAGTTCAAGACAAAACAAAACAAAACAACTGGTGTGTCTTGGAACTTTTACTCAACTTAAATTAAGGATGTTTCAAAGAGGTTGAAATGTTGGTTTAGCAACCTTAGAAGTAAAAAAGCGATTAGAAATTATCCCAAAATAATCGGGCATTTGCATTTTTTTGAAACTATGGGAAGCTTAATAAAATTTTAATGCTGACGTTGGTTTCTTTTCTTTTTTTTTTAAATGGGGTATTTTGAATTTCCTCACTTAATTTTTGGATGACATATTTAATGTTTGACTCAAAATACTGTTTGACTATGTTTGTTTCTCACTAAAGGTCCCGGATGAGGCAAATCTTCTAGAAAATCAAATAGGTCCAAATGACAGCAACGAAGGTGACTGTTTACCCAACGGGTTTGAAGTGAAAGGCATATTCGACAGTTCCGGCGGTGAGCTGAGCGCTACTCATGACTCGGACGTGAAAATATGTATTGGAAACGGCGCAATACCGATTGGAGTCAGCCAGGAAGTCTTCTACCGTGTGGTCTACGACGCAACAGAGCTGTTGCAGGATATCCCCGTTGGACCTGATGAAACACTCATTTCCCCCGTTATTGAATGCGGACCACACGATATCAGACTTTTGAAGCCTTTGGAGATTATAATTCCACACTGCCTCTATATGAGCAAAGCTAAAGAGAAATGGATAACTGTCTACAGAACTGACCCAAGTAATCGAAAAATCCCTGGGCTGACTATTTTCAGCTGAATTCAAAGAAAATACATTTAAGATTTAAGATCTTGAGGACTCACACGTTTGTAAGCCTTACATGTTCGGATTTTGTGCAGGGCATGGAGTTACAAAGAAGATAAGAGCTTTCGGTTTCCATCGCTGTGGCCCGGTTTCTATTCGCTGACCTGGCGTCGCATGTGGTTAAGTTTTTTGGTGCTTCTCCTCCACACTCCCAGAAGTTTTCTCTGTGTTTCTGATTTTCCTTCTTTCGCAAAAACCAAGGCCCAAATTTCGATTCGACTTAACGTAACCCTAATCTTGAGAGGAACCTCGTGGATTTCCACTGCAGAGTAATCCCTCTTATTTATTCTACCTGCATAATTTTTACTCCCTTCTCTTTCGGGTAGATAGGATTGATCTTCTTTATGCTGTTACTGTACTGACGATTTTGTCATCAATGTTTGATTGAAGGTCCCATCAAGTGGGAGAAAATCCCCAACAAATCCAAAAGAAATGATCTGTCTAGAGCATGGTTCACAGCAAAAGAGGACTCCATTCACATCAATACCATGACATTCTGTTTCTGGTGCGTATATTTTCGTCGCGGGGCACCGAAAAGGAAAAGAGCCACAGTGTTTGCTAGTAAATCAAATTCTGGAGGTGATCTCATTCAATTCAGATTCTACATTTACAGTGACAACAAGGATTCACTGAGGGTAAGTTATCGTTTAAGTAAGATTTTCTTTTGTTTGAATGCAAGGCATCCACCAAATGCAACCGACTGTGTCAATCAGTTGTTTTAGATAGAAGTGTTCTTTCTAGTATTTTACCCACGTACAGTGTGGCAATGAGGCATTTCCACTGATAACTGGCTTGAACTTGCACTACTCATGATTCAATATCATATCGCGTCATATCATGATCATTGGTTCATTGGCTCATTCATGTAATTCTTTAAAGTAATGTACGAGGGCACTACCATGGTTGCTTTACATCAAATCGCCATCTTCGATACAAATCTTGACATATGATTGGTTGTTCTTTACCACAAGATACATATTCCTCCTCTCTGATTAGATATGAACCATATTTGCTTCCCTGCATTCATATATTTATTCCCATGCTTATGTGCTCGACCATTATATCACTGAAAAGTAAGTTTGCGACTCAGTTCTGACGTTCTACAGTTAGATGAAAGCACGAGTATGTACATAGTAGTCTATTAGCCTCTTATTGCTTGTTCTTAACCTACTCTCATGGAAATGAAGCGACAAGGAGTGTTGTTACTCCTGTTGTGCGGATGCAACTCAATTGTAAGCATCTACCCAGCAATTTATAAATTTGCCGGTGTTACAATGTGCTGTCACCCAGTCATATTCCTTTATTTGGTAAGTGAGTTGCATTTGTCTGACAAAATATTAAAAATAAGGTTTCGTCTAAAAATTCAAAGTATGATGCCCTTTCATCTAGTCACTCTTGTTATTGCACGATGTACCACCTAGCTGATCCATATTTTTTGCCTTTACAAGCGAGTGGAGACGCAAGATAAAGAGGTGTTTCCTCACTCATGGAAAGGAATGGAGAAACCCTTCAAAATGTACAACAACAGCAAAAAGATAACCGTTAAACTTTTGCCAGATCCTAAGAAGGGTTGGGAATTAGACGAGACACCTGGTGAGCAGGTGAGGAAATCAACATGGGGCTGGGCTCAGTCGTGAGTTACAATAAAACATTTTTGTCTCTGATAATCTGAATTGAGCTTAAAAGGCCCTTGGTAGTTGGTCGACGATCTTCCACTCAATATACATTGCATGCAGTAAGAAACTCCTGAGTTGTCGATTATGTGGCCTTCTGATTACCTCTGAAAGTAGCTGTCTCAACAATGCACTTTAAAGGACCTCTTATTCTTTGTGAATTTTTATTGAAAGCGTTTTACTCCCGATTGATACAATGTATTTCTCAATCTGTCATTCGTTGTAGGTGTACACCTGCGATGATTCCCACGGCGGTAGATTTCGATGTAAAGATGCGTGTGTTTTTGCAGTTGAACCAATGAAAGGTCGAGAAGTAAAACCGTTTACTTGTAATCTAACGTTCCAACAAGAGGGCCATGAAACAGCACATACAATCTACGTGAACCCTGGTTATCCGCTTGTGGAGGTAATACTGTATGTAGCTGACACGATCTGATTTCGAATAAAGTCAGTAAGATAGGTCACAGTCGTCTTTGAAAATAAAAAGAGGAAAAAACGAACAAGAAAAGACAAAACATAAAATCAAACCAAATTTGATGTAGCTTTCAGCTCAACTTTTTTTCTGTAAAGTTACAATCGCCACTAATAATAATTACCAAATACCTTATTCACACTCAATCTTAATTTCGCGTTCTTCGTGATTATAAAAGATCGCGAAATTGAAGACTCGGGAATGAAAATGCTTTTGTGTAATGTTAATGTTAATCATCTTCACGTGAATCGCAAAATTTATACAAATTCTTGAAAACATCTTTCATGCAGTCCTCAAAATTGCCATTAACTCGTCTCTTGTAGTTCTCATTCATAACTTTCATGTAATATTTTAACATTTGTTCCAGTTTATCTAGGAATTTTGAAAATTAAAACGCTTGAATCGCGAAATTCAATGTCCTATTTTCATATTTTCCTATTGATATCGAAAATAAATCCCTGCGAAATACTGTCTCGCCGAAATTTGCGAAATCATATACGCGTAAATTAAGTACGAATAAGGTATACAAAACTGTAATTTTAGTCTAAAACAGTTTTTTTGTTTTACCGATAACCGTTTTGAATATTAAAATTGATGATTTAGATATATTAAAATTCATATATTTGCACTGCGGTGGAGAGATGAAATTACGAGATCCTCGCAGCTAAGAACACTACTGCCAGTATCGCAGAGGTCATGGGTTCAAATCCCGTACGGGCCTGAATTTTTTTCAGGTCCTATTTACAACTACTCGTTTCAGTAGTGTTCTTAGCTGCGAGGATCTCTTAATATTAAAATTGTTTAATTCAGTATTCATGGACATGATTTTCCGGTATCCGAGCGATTCTACAACTTTAACTTGCTCTTTTTAGGGGTCGATCGAGCCGGCAAATGCTCGTGCGCACTCCAACAGCGCAGCTGGATGTTCGACTTCCTCAGCTCCAGAAGAAAGTGACAGGAGCAACATAGACGAACAACCAAAAACTCCTCAAGGTATCTTCGTCATCGTCAACGCAGCTATAGTAACTATCATGAGAAGCTGTGGTTAAATCTATAAGATAACACCTCCTACGAATAAGCTTGTCTTTGTCTTGTTGCCAGAGTAGTCGGGCTTTTCTCTCAAGAACTTGATTCACGCTTTTAAACTCTCTGTTACGAATAATCAAGTGTTTGTGCTCTTTCTCCTTTGTTGGGGGTCTTTGCTTTTTGCGTTCTTCCTCAAACTCAGCGTGGTTAGTTTCTCTTCACTCGTCCGCCATTTTGTTTGGTTGTGCTTTCGCGACTTTCTTGTTAATCAATTCAAAGTTTCGCACTCAATTTCAATTTTCTGCAATGTGTGGTGTTAATTCACGTGTTCTTGGCTTGTCAGTATGCTGAAATTTTTTCATGTATAGAATAAATAGAGTAAATACAGTTTGATATTGGCAAATTGACAAACTGTTCTGATTCCATTTGTGAACGTTTTAGGTTTGAATAAATCACAGTTGGTGAATTTTCCACGTCAAAGATATGGAAAAAGTGACGGTCTCGAGGTGACCTTATCTACTCTTAGACGCAGCAAAAGTGCATCTGGGTGCTCGAAGTCCCCAACATCAGAAGAAGGTGACAGGGGCAACTTAGACGAACAATCAAAAACTCGTCAAGGTATTTTAGTCATCTTTATCGCCATCATGGTAGCTATGCCTACTATCATGAAAAACTGTCACTTAAATCTTTTAATAATTATACCATCTCCTTCGAATAATCTTTCCCCTCACCAGATAAACATTTAATTTTCCACACGTTGACGTCATCTTATGATGATCTATTACTATGCAGACTCACGGCAACATGGAAGATATTTGTTCTGTATGATGAAAAAGTATAGTGTCGCTTGTGGTGACTTTATCTATGCGTCTTTCCTGCGATTGAACAAAATTAAAGAACCTATCAAAATGCATAAATAATTAAGATTATAACATAACAATCTGCTACTTCTATTATTGCGGTGCAGTGTAAGCACATTAAATATTAAGTATCTTCAAATTCTCTCTTTGTTTTAGACTCGAAGCCCCTTAGCAGCTTGCTGGAAATTAGGCCATTACTTGAGAAAATATGTAACCGTCTGGACTCAAGTAGGCCGGGTGTTGGTGACTATCGCGATGTTTGTTCCCACTATGGTATCGACAGTTTTCAAGTGACCGCAGTTTACGAAAAGCACACTGACGGACCGTCAAAAGCCCTCTTGGAACACTTAGCAGCTTCACACGAACAGCTAACAGTTGCCGAGTTTGAAAGTGTGTTGAGAAAAATTGCCGGGAGAAGTGACATTGCCAAGCTTTTAGAAGAATATGATAATCAGTAAAAAACATTTTAAAGAGGTCAGCGTTGTTTTGAAGTAGTTTTCATAGAATTTTGAAGTGAGTAAAATTCTTAAAAAGAAACGTCAATTGATAGCACGTTCGTCACAAAAAATAATTCCATAGTGTAGTAAATTTGGTATAAAGAGTTTAAACCGACTTTGTTTTGATGCGTTTGCTTTAATTAAACAAGTGCCTCGAGAGGTAAAGAGGGCATCCTACTTTGTAAACAGGAGTTATAAATGCCTTGTTCTATGTTTTTTTTTTTAATACCAAATTAATTCTATATTCTTTTCTAGGTCTCGTATTGCACTGATTTAATCAGTTTTCAAATGGTCATTTTGCTCCAAATAAAATGTTATTATGGGAATTTCAGTTTTAGGCATTATATATAGTCACTGTTAGTGCGCACGGCATCTACTTTGTAAACGTTTAGGACAGCAGTTATATTCATTTGATCATGGTAGTCTTGCCACAGGCAGACCAAACTCGTGTTATATACCATCGTTTGCCGGCATCTTTTGGCCAGCTCTTTGCGCCTTTGATTTTAATAATTTCTAACGAATACAAGAATGGTACAAAGATAAATAGAAGTCATAACAATAAATTAGAGAGGTCAATAAATTATTGAGGTTACTTAGATTATCATCTACATCCGTCAAGAGATTGAGATGGCGTATTCAGCACCAAGGTATACCATGCAGTTGGTCAGTCCTTGGTGTTTAATTCATACTGATATTCCCAAGTATCAGCTCTTTATACGTCATAAGTATTAAATTTTTCTTTGGTTTTTTTATTTGTTTGTTTGTTATTAAAATAAATTTTGACCACTTCTGATGTCGAACACATATGCAAATCAGTTTGAAATATATAGAGGGGTTAAGTTTCTAAAGGAACTGTGGTGCTGCGTCGGTGAAAGAGTATAACAGGGTAATTTAATATTATTAGCTGAGTTTATAACATAATTTGGCCACCGTTAAGAGTTTCAAAGTTGACGTTTCAAGCGTTAGCCCTTTGTCAGAGTTTCAAATATATGTTGACGAATTACCACAGAGATTGTTTCCCTTCCTTTTCCATCCAACCCCCTCTCCCCACCGCCGAAGAATTAATTTTATGCATTTTTTCACGTCACCAATTACTCATCTTTTCAATCCACCCCTCCCCCCTTTCCTTAATGAAGCACAGAACAGAACAGGCTGACTGTCTATAAATGTTTGTACATATAAACTTTGGGCAACAACCCTGAAAGGTCATTTGTCTGTCCACAGAAAACGAAACTGCTATTATTATGATATGTCAGGTTTGAGAGTGTTGCATTCCTAATGCAGAATTGTCAACATCAACACAAACAAAATATTGCCTAGTTTATCCTGCAGTTCTATCCCATTTATTTTCCCTCCATGTTACAGACACTTTCTATTCATATTAGCCTGCATTTATGCTGCAGCTCGTGGGTATAAAATGCTCTGCATGCATAAATTCATGGAGTAAATTAACGTCCAACCATTTCACAACCATAAGTTGCAAATGAACAACAATTAAAGCTGGTGTACCTTACTCATTAGGTAAATTTTTAAATGAGGGAAAATTTGCATCAATACTATCATAAACACTAGTGTAAATTTTTAACAGTGGTATAGATGCAGAACAAGGCAGACAGGAAAGCAAACAACTGAAAAAAACATTGGATCAATGTCACTATCTGGGTTACTGCGCACCTACCCCTCCCCTGACCAAACAATATGCCTAATAGGTTAGGCGTAGGTGTGTAGTTGCTGAGATACTGACATGGATCCAAAACAGTTAACTAGATGGCAGATATATGAGGTAGAAGGCTTCTACCACCTCTTTCAACGGCCTTCAGGGCTTGACTTTCGCTTTTAAGGTATGTTCGTTAGTAATGGTCACCCATCTCATCATGAGCTGGGGCGTCGCAAGGTTCAGCCCTTTGGGCTCTGTCCCTTTTGGGGCCTTTTTCCCCTTTTTCTGCTTTTTCCGTCAGTATAGGCGTGCCAATGGCTCGCTCCATTGACATCCGATGTGGGTTTTCCCTACGGAGACATAGTCAGTAGACATTGTAGGTGAAATTAAAACCTATTTTGCTGCCGTCTCGTAGTACAAGATTGTTTCAATGCAGCTGCTTCCTGGCCGTGTGGCCAGGGTCACTTTTGATAAGGGTGGCGAGGCAGCCAAAGCGGCCAAAGCGCGCGGAGCTTGGCTCTGTCACTCTAAACGGGGTGGAGTGAGAGGTTATTTCCCCCCTCCCCGTATATAAATGTTGTTGTTTATTATTTCCCTTTCGAGGGAGAAAATGAAGACATTGTTTCCGAAATGAAGAAGTTTGGGAAAGTAAACACTTGGCGCGGCATGCCAGATGTTTTCTCTGGATCTCGGGTTGTGCGCATGGTACGCGAAGAAGGAAAAGAAGAAGGAAATCCCCCCACGCGAGAAGGAAATCCCCCGCTTCGTTTCCATAAATGGAATACGGTGTAAAGTTTAGTACAAAGGCTAACCGATTTTCTGCGATGTGTCCCGCCGTAAAGGGCATAAGTCTGCGGCCTGCTCTAATAAAGGCAAATTCTTTAGGTGCCACCAGGCAGGGCTCATTGCCCGTTATGGTCCAAATCCGGTGGAAGAGGGCGAAACTTATTCAGCTTACTTTTTTTGTTTGGATAGGAAGCGCGGTGCGGATATGTGGATCTCTGCCCTTAGAGATAGTGATAGCTCCATTGTTTCTTCTTCGTCTGCTCTTTGTTGCACTTTTGCATTCCTTTATTTTTCTCTGATCTTTTTCCTGCTTCTCCAACTGACCTCTTGGTTCAGACGGAGCTCTTGGATAATTTAACATCCGCCCTCGCAGGCGTTCAGGCTGAGGTATGCTTAATTCTTGCCTTGTTACTGGTTGCCTTACTCTCTCTCAGCTCAGTGGTGTCAGCTATTTCTTGGGTCTAACTGTTTTATTGTCGCGTAAGGAACGCTGTTAACGTCATTGGGTACCTCTCCGCTTTTTTCGAACTGTCTTGCAGGGTTTGGCAATGATACCACTGTCTTCCTTCCTGTATATTCTAGTCTCTGAGGTCCTTTTTGTGAACATCCGCTGTAATCCGCACATCTCTGGTCCTTGTCAACCCGGCTCCTCGCCCCTTCCGCCCATCTCGCGATATGCCGACCAAACGGCTCTCGTCTAAACATCTGATGACGCCATAGTAGCAGCGTTTGAGACGTATGCTTCGGGTTCCAAGCTCAGGCCGCTGATGTGGCTGCTCCGACCCAGATGCCCTGGACTGGTCATCGTCCAGGCTCAAAATCTTTGGCGTCTTTATTGGTACCGGAAACCTAGAGGAAAACTATTGGCGTCGAAGGATCGATGCGGTTGCCCGTGTACTCAGATCGTGGCGTTCTCGTTCTCTCCTTCTATCGTGGCAAGGCCCTAGTGGTTCACTCATCCATATGCCTCCCTGGGTCCCGAAAGAGCTCTCCTGCCTGTCCTTTTCCTTCTCCTGGTCTGGTAAGCGTGACTTAGTTTCGTGTTCACGTGTCGTTCAGTCCCCCCTTTTTGGCGGTTTCCTTGTCGTTGACGTCAACCTGAAAGTGTGGTCCCTTCTCAGTCAGTGGATTGAGAGGTTTGCCTCTTCTCCCTCCGGTTGGGTATCCCTCATGTCTCACTGGTTCGAGTCGTTATTTAATGCTTCACCCGTCACGGTCGTTTCACGCCCTTATTCCTTTGATCCTGGGGTCTTGTCCCCCTTCTTTAAGTCTCTTCTGTTTGTCTACAGCTCGTTGTCCCCCATGTCTGCTCCCCGGTTTCCGGTATGTCCACCAAACTCTGATAATTGTTTCTCCTCCCTGAGCATATGAGCACACTGCAATGGACAAGTAGTTCATTACTTTCCCATTTCTGAGGTTGCCACAAAAGGTTGCAGTTTTACGAATAATAAACTGTCAGAATATGCACCCAAGTAAAGAAATTTGTAAGAAAGTAAGTAAAGTTGCTGATCAGTGCTGCTTCTTCAAAATCGTGCTTGTTTAAATTGATGATTTTTATTCATATTCTTGATCAACTATGTCGTCTTCGTCAGCTTTGTCTTATTATAAATATTTTAAAAGAAGCTCTGTGGTTTTTTTTTTTTAAGCTTTATGCAACTATAAAAAGCGTCCCAAATGGATATAGTCTAGAAATCCGCAATGCTACTGTAGTGTTGAGTCTATTAAGTGAAACATCATTGCAAAGATTACTAAAACCTCAAAGTATTACCTTAATTATCAGTAGTAATTATGTTAAATTGAATAATTTGAAGCTATACCTATATTTTTTTCCACATTTTTAGATGAAAGTCACGCGTTGCTTAGCGGATTATGCGAGGAGCCTCGTTCATCTTAAGATGATTGAATTCAGCGGTAGTTAATGCCATTCGGTGTATTTAAATTTACCGATCTTTGGATAAATGGCAGACTCTAATTACGTGCATTGGCCTTATTGAGAGCTGAGATAGGTTCAGATATTTTTCTGCGGTAAAATGTGAGATACTAGGAAGAGATTATGTTTAATTAAAATACACGGAGAGCTTTCTCACCAAATAGAGGCTTGTGTGGCTTTTATCTTTCGACTTTGCTACCGAAGCGGGCGGGTTAAGACTTTCACAAACTGCCTACCGCAGTAGAACCCATCCATAGATACTGTATAACAAGATCCAAGTGACACTATGATGAAATCGTGGATATAACGTGCAGGGTGAATATAATTTGTTATTTCGTCGGGTTAAGTCTAAAAAAAACCTTGACATTTAATTTCTACTCTCCTAAGAAAGTATTGAGAGGTAATATTCAGTTGTTGACATTCTGATAAAAGGGCTAATCCGCAGTACATTATCGGCACAAAATTAGCTGTCATCTCCACAAGAGCTCACCCCAATTGATTTGCCATAATTAACATTGGGTTCGCATACTATGTAAGATACATGTATGCTCTCCCCAGACTTCCTAAGCCGCTTTAACGCGTTGCTTTTTCCCATGCTTTGCATATTCATGGGCAAAATCGGTGAAGTTAGGACTAAAATAAAAAAGGATCTCAACTCAGATGATCCGAAATCGTCAAACTATTTCCTTAGGCTTCAGAGTGACTGTTTCGAAGCTCCGCGTAGGTATGTGGTTCCGTGTAAAGTAACTGATAATGGGAATGAGGACTCGGAAACTGCAATTCTTCAATTTCCTCATGGACTCTTCATATGCTGGATTGTTGTGTCCCCTGGTCTCAGAAGTTCTTCGCTTGGGTCTTCTGAGGGAGGAAAGATAAAACAGATGAGAAAGAGAGAAATGAAGCTTTAACCAGCTCACATGTATCAAACCTTGCTATGTGATGCCATGGCATCCAAGCCAACGCGCCCTGAAACTCAGAAACAAGACAAAATCTTCGGTTTGTTGATGCCTTACTCAGCCAAAATAAGAATATTTGTTTCATACTTTGCGCGCGAGTTGCTGTGTAGTGCAGGTAACCTTCAGACGCCGGTATCACAAAGGATACGAGGAAAGGATATATCAAAGTTGGGAACTACAGTGGTTTTGTAAATAGTGCGCAAGAGCAACTTAACGAGAGGTCCAAATTTAAGCCACGGTAAAGTCACAGTGATGCAATCTTGAGGACAATATGTTACTTCTTTTGTCGTCAATGTGATGCTCTCCACCATTAAATATTAAGGGCAACTGGCAAACTATCAGAGAAACTTGATGAATCGCCAAGGGCATGGGGGAGGGCGAAGAAGGGATTGGTTTTCAGCGATGAATAAATCTGGCATCCAGTACGATTATTTAAATGCTTCCTGTTGTTATTTCACTGATATTGAGACGAACTCTGGCAATTTTGGCTTGAACGCTGTCAACACGTTACCCCACCATCACCCTTCTTGCTCCGTTCACGCCAGTTCACCCTTCCTAAGCCTTTTCACCTCTTTTTCTTCCATTGCAATTTAACTCTATCGGTTTCTATTCCACTTTTGAAAAACCACGACGGCAATAAAAATAACAGTAAGAAATTCTTATGGTGACGATAATGACAACCATAAAAAAAAAATGAAAATGATGCTTTTGACTTACATTCTTTGCTTCCACACACAAAAGATGGCGACAGCAACTATTACAATGACTGGTACAACTATTGCCATGGCAATGATGACATTGAGAAGGTGACCTGATGTCCCTTGCCCATCGGCATTTGACGTTTTGGAATTTGCTGATGAAAATAAGAATTGGCAAGCGGTCAAATACGAATATTGTTTACAGCAGTACAAATAAATTCATCATAAGTCAAAATAAGACATCTAGTATAATTTTTTTAGAGACCTTCACAGTATCCCTGCCATCTAGATGCTAACGCGCCAAACGTTGATGTCCCGGATGGACAAGGGACACGAGAAATCTGCGCCTCTTTATCCTGGTAATGATCCATTGCGTATGCCTGGCAATCTGAGGTATTGTGGAAGTATCCAACAGGACAGCTCACTATAAATAGCAAAAAGGGACGATGATGTTTAAAAAGGTTTGACCTATCATCAAACTGTTTGAGTCAGCAATTTCAGAGCTGTTTATAGCATCTGACTGCAAAGTAAGGCAAGTGCATTGCCTTTTCGATACTTATATTACAATCATTCTTCATCCTCATGCGAGGAAACTCATTTTCAGGAGAAATGTTTTGTACGTTGATTCATCTAAAGGAATGACTTTTTGGTGCTTGGTTATGATATGCTTCCTTCGTTGAGTTAATTACATCTTTCTTATTACTTACGATAGGGTCTAAACTTAGCCAAGTACTCCGTAAACATCTAGGGGCTTAAAAGCTATGGGAAGACTTTAGTTCTCCTTAAGTTAGAGTTAGCGCTTTCAATACGTTTTTTCAACTCACATAATTTTTCAAATGCCATCTGCGAAGAAATTCTGCGCCTTTGAAAGATTGTTGATCTAGAGTAGGCAGCCAATCGTATAACACCTATTTTCCTAAATAAACCAATAATAAAGCGGAAGTGAAATTGCTTTTATGGCCACTTTGGAAAACTCGGGCATTTTAGAAAATTTCATAGTTATAGGGAAGTACTTAGCAAACGTGAAATAAAAAATTATCTGGCTATTCTTTCATTTGCATCATGCATCTCACTGCTCCTGTTTGTCTAAAGCGATCAAATTATTTTTTAGAATACTTGCTTATGGAAAAGTGCCAGCGTAACCAACTATCTTGGACAAAATAAGAATCTTTTAAGCAAAGTAAGTTAACCAGTCACTTTGTGTTTTGAGATTCGTAAGGATTTTTTTGATAACAAACTCTGCTTACCACATTTGGAGCCTCTTAGAACCTGTCCTCTATCACATAAAAGGCGCACGAAGCGGACTTGAGGTGGTTTTGAAGCATCGAAAACTAAGGAAATCCCACTGATATTAAGATTCACATCTGTTTTGTTAAGCTTTAATAATAGGTTACTGGAAATTTCTTCAGTTGTCTGATTAAGATCAGCTGCAGTCGTGTTCTCGGGCAGTGGAACTTTCAAATCAAAACTAATGGAAAGTGAAATTCTTGATGAGAGCTGATTACTTCAAGTCTCTTTTTCGAAGTGTTCCTGTCTGGTCTCCGCATAGGAATCTCTCGACTCAGACTCCAGATGCAGACTATGGGGCCTCCACACCTCCAATTCTTTCTGCAAATGTTCCATATTTAATTATCGCCAGAAATCAAGGACATTTCGAGCCCGCTAGCAATTATCAGCGGTATATCGTATTACAATCTGGAACAATAGAATATCAAGAGAATTCAATATCGATCGATCGATCTGCAAAGAAGAGTGTTTCGTACCATGACTTATACAATTTGAGCACCGCAGATCTTCTATTTGATGAAAAGGAAAAGAAAAGAAGACCTGCAAGTAAATCTTTGGGATTTTTCGAGGCAGAGCGATGACATGATGTCAGAATTTTGATTTGCTTTAATTTAATTTTCGCGCTAAGACTACTGAATTTGCATTCAATGCCTGGCATATCTTTATTCCGAAAAGGACCGAGAACTAATTTATTTCCCTGCAAGAACATAAACAAATATGGCCGACGATTCGAAGATCAGCGTTGCTCGTGTTTAACTATTTCAGTCATAGTTTTCAACATGGCGTCTCGTCACTTACTCAACATGGAAAATAAGGGATATTCTGGCGCGTTGGGAACTTTTTTGATGAGAGGAAATGGCAATTTTACAGGATGTTTGGACGCTTCGAACTCTGTAGCAGTCAATTCGATCGAGAGCAGTTGACTTTATCGATGCACTTTCCTGTAATAGGCGAGTGTTTGGGATGGAGAACGACGGATTTTGAAGAACTGTATGGCGACCTAGGTCAATGATCAATGACAAAAGAACTGGCTCGGGAAGTAAGTGGTTTTTATTTATCGAGTCCCTGTGAGGTTTGATGAATAGCAGAATCAGTACTGAATATGTCTCGATCGAGAGCAGACGGGACCATGAGCTCTTGATTGTTATATTTTAGAAATTTTACAAATTTCCATACAGTTTCTTATATCATTTGGACGCCATTATGGACGAAATGCGCAAGCGTTGCCGCCATCTTGTCCAATATTTCTGCCGATGTTCAAAACATCTTTTCATAAGCTACCCAAGCCCCTTATGTTAGCAACGCCTTATTTATCAGGCCTAACAAGGCCAAAAAAAGCTGTACAGGGCTGCTAACTTGATGACTAACTTTGCTTTTTTTGATAGTAACAATCTAGAGTCAGTAGCATCGTTGCCCTAAGGCATTTTCCATGGATACAGCCGGTACTCTGTCATTTGGAAACCATCCTCTTGACACACGACACAAATGGAACTCTGCTGATGATTTGTTAGCGAAGTGAGACAGGGTGGTTACCAAGCGCCGCACATCGAGCTGAGCTACACATCATGAAGGACTCGTAAGACAGAAATTCAGGGACGATGTGGATTTGGGTTACAGAGGAATGTTCAGAGAAATGGAAGAAAGGAGAAAAACAGGTATATTTTAATGCTGAAACAAAGTTTATGGTGGAGTAAAGAAATTGAGAATAACCAATGGAAAGGAGTAATGAAGGAATAGGAAAAGGGGACAGTTGAGTAATTCTATGGATTTACAGCAGATTAAAAAGCAGATTTAAAAGTGAAAAAGGGTCTTAGGACAAGTCTATATCATGAGCTGTGGATGATCTCAGGCATCATAGTCACAAGGTACAAAATGTTCCAGGATTTTTTTATGTTTTTTTGTTTTGTTTTTTTTTTTTATCTAAGAAGTCTTTGTTTAGTAAAATTGTGATATCACTGGATTATTGCTTAATTACATACAGTGTATGTCTCATTCAGGGCTGTTAAATATGAATAATTGTAGTTTGAATTGTGGTATACAGGGAGACTGTTTTAACTCTGCACACCCTAACATCAGTATGTATATTCTCCCCACTGTTCTCTAAACATTTTCTAGGATGCTGACATTTCTAACAATCAAGAGCTTCTGTAGTCAGTGATCAGCTCTTTTATTCTCCTGACCTTAATGTTTGATTCAGGGGGAATTTGGTAAGGAGAAAATAGATGTCAGTCACTCTTAGGGGTTAAACTGCTGAATACTTGGTCCTTCTTTATCAGTGTTAACCCTTTAACTCCCAAGATCTGATTGTAAATTCTCCCCTCTAGCTGCTAGTACATATTTCCTTATAAGTTAGTTTTGAGAACTTGATACTAGATCAAGATAGCAGCTTCTACCTGACAGGTTTGAATATTCTCATTACCTGCTTGCTGAATAATGTATGGATATTATAGGGAGAAGTTTCATGTTAATCACTTGTGAGAGTTAAAGGGTTAAACCCTTTACAGGCCTCTCACCAGCTCATGTTGCTCCAGGTCTCATTCTCTCCTGCAGGTGAAGAAGCACTTTGGCCAAAGTGCAATAAATCCTTAAACTCTTAAGATCTTATTTTTAATTCTTCCCTCTAACTGCTACACTTGTCCCTGTAGATAAGCAACGAGAATTTTGTGTTCAATCAGCGTAACATATTGTACCTGATGAGTTTGAGTATTCTGATTACCTGTTTGCTGAATAATGTATGGATATTAAAGGGAGAAGTTACATGTTTATCAGTTCTGGGTGTTAAAGGGTTATAGAGGCCCTGCTCACAGATGACCTTCTTCTTTTTTTTAAATTTAACCATTATGCGAATAACTTAGCCTTCCTAGAAATACAAATAACCAGAAGTTGTTCCTCTTGGTTAGGATCTTGATGAAGAATTTCAGAAGAAAAGAGATTTTGTGGAGGAGTACACACCACTTACCAAGCAGACATATGGGGTCAGTCGTTGTTATATTTTTCCAAATAGAATCTTACTCCAGGGGTGCATTATGGTTCAGTCATACAATAGGCCATTTTACAGTTGTGTACTTAGTTGCCAAGCCTTTGATTTGGAGTGAGGCTGAAGGTGACCTTGTTGTGTTAGAGACCAGAATCTAGTTAGCATGATAACAAATTAATTTGCATTTCAAAAGCAGCAAGGTTTGTATCATAACAAGGTCACCCTCAGCCTCACTCCTGTTCAAAGGCTTGGCAACCAAGCACACAACTGTAAAATGGACTATTCATATGCCATACAATTCATATGATGTTTGTTCAGAGAATTTGGTTTTGGATCATACATACAGTGTATGTCTCATTCAGGGCAGTGAAATATGAATTACCGGTATTGTAGTTTGAATTATGGCATACAGAGAGACTGTTTTAACCCTTCACACTCTAACATCAGTATGCATATTCTCCAGACTGTTCTCTAGACATTTCCTAAGATGCTGACATGGAGAATTTGTCTAACAATCAAAGAGCTTTTTAGTCTGTGATCAGTTCCTATATTCTCCTGACCTTAATGTTTGGTTCAGTGGGGATATGGTAAGGAGAAATTTGATGTCAGTCACTCTCAGGGATTAAACTGCTGATTACTTGGTCCCTCCTTATCACTGTTAACCCCTTGCAGGCCTCTCAGCAGCTTGTGTTGCTCTACTAGGCCTCATTCTCTTCTGCAGGTGAAGAAACACTCTTGCCAAAGTGCAATTAACCCTTGAACTCCCAAGATCTGATTATTAATTCTCCCCTGTAGCTGCTACACATTTCCTTGTAAATTACTTACAAGAATTTGGTGTTCAATCAGGGTAATATCTTGTACCTGATGAGTTTGAGTCTTCTCATTACCTGTTTGCTGAATAATGTATGGATATTAAAGGGAGAAGTTACATGTTCATCACTTCTGGGAGTTAAAGGGTTTAAATGAGGCCCTGCTCACAGATGACCTAACTTTCTTTTGAATTTAACCATTACAAGAATAACTTGGCCTTCCTAGAAATACAAATAATTAGAAGTTATTCCTTTTGGTTAGGATCTTGTTGAAGAATTTCAGAAGAAAAGAGATTTTGTGGAAGAGTACACACCACTTACCAAGGAGACATATGGGATCAGTAGTTGTAATATTTTTCTAGGGGTGCATTATGATTCAGTAATTCCCTTAACTTTCTGCCACACAATTCATATGATGTAAGCTTGGAGAATTTGGTTTTGGATCAACTAACAATCAGAGCATCACTTGCCAGCTTGGTGTTGTATTGATGTGGTGAGGAGAAATAATGTTTTGGTCATGCATGGGTTTAGCTTCTAAGTAAGATTTGACAATTTTGAGATTATTTCCTTCAATAAATAAATGTTTTTCTACTTATGTTTTTTTGTTGAACTTCACCAGAATGGTACACAGTCAGCAACGTATGTAGCAATGTTTTATTTGCTGGAATGTGTAATCTGCATTAAGGTTGTGTAGGCTGAAATAGTGAATTAAAACTTCAGATCTCATGATTTTAGTGAATGGTCCAGTCCAGTGAATTTTAACAGAAAATATGGCCAAAACATTGATATCTAAAGAACATTCATGTGAAAACAACATAAGGGTGGCAAAGACATACTTGAAGTATTATTCAACCATAGAGTATTTTAATGTACCAGGATGTTGCAAAATATATGATTGTTTTTGATAATAAATGATACTGTATGATTATGACAATCTAACCATGATGGCATATAATAATACATATGTAAGTTTGGTAATTTTGAATTTCTTTGTGAATTTCAGGTGTTGCATTAGCAGTGAATGATTTTAGTTCTGGCATCATGACAGCATCTGCTGGTGATGATAATAGTACCAAGGAATTGAAAGGGTTTGTTGTTCTTTGTCTGAAATTGCTAAATGATATGATTTTGTAATAATTACTTAATATTTATTTCATATCTTTCCATTATTAACCTGTGGTGGCAAACTTCCAATGCAAGCAATGATGGACCAGACATATAGTTTGGCTGATTTTTTTTTCCCATGTGAATAACCACTGTTTTACCACATCTCACATGCTAGCTCTACTTGCTGTAACCATCATGAGAACTGGCAATAAGAGGCAATCAAGACCTATCAAGACCTTAGCATGATAGTCCTCTCTTGTTGAAGTGATCAGCATCTAAATTCTCCTCACCATATCACTGCTGCATAGTACATTAAGGTCATGAGAAAAAAGGAAATGATAGAAAAAAACAAAGAAGCTCTTGATTGTTGAACAACTTCTCCTTGTCAGTATAATAGAATATGTACCAAGAACAGTATTGAGAATATACATTCTGATGTCAGGGTGTAACGAAAAGCTAATTTTAAAAGCTTTTTTTACTTTTACAGGAGTTTTGTGACTTTTTCAAGCGCACTAAATGGTGTCAAGGTATGATAGCATTTTTAGACAGGAACTAGTGTTGCTAGCAGTATTTTCAATTCCAAGAGTTTAATTTGTTTTGTCTTACTTGTGTGTGTGTCGTCTTCTTTCTTCAGGAATCGCTGGATGTTATGTCCACTAATGATGACAACACATTAGGTTTTACTTTAGAACTTTATTCCAGATACATGGATGCTGCCAATTAAGGTATGTGAAATATGTATTGGAAAACTTGGATCTTCTTTAACTCTTCAAAGGATACCAACTTTCCTTTTCTGGGCAGGGTTAGGGAAGGGGAAAGGAGGTGACTATTTTCTTTTGGGGTGGGGTGGGATGAGAGCATTATCACAGCCTGAGAAAAGCTCAGGATCACTGCACATCTAAAAATGACAGAAAAGAAAAGCCAAAAATAACCAAACAACAACAAAAAGTCATCAGCCAGACTGTTGACCAATCTATTCCTCATATCCCAAATGATTTGTGGGTTGTGTCTTGAGTGGGAACACTGGGTTCTACCTGCTCTATCTCTATTGCATTCAATTTTTTTCAATTCATTGGTGAGTATTAGAGCATTTACATGAATGTAGCACAAGAGAGAGGTTATCTGTAGAGAAAGCACCCTTTGGAGTAATTTACATTTCATTTTCATACTGCTAAGCAAGAGGGATGGAAAACTTGCAAACAAAGACTGGAATGGTGGAACGGAAACATGAACTGACTTGGGGAGTTTTTTTTCATTTACAATGCTTCATGGTATAATTGAATTTGGAACCATCAAGTACAGATGAGATGGAATGTGGGACTTCTGGATTACAATTCCAGTGCCCTAACTTTGAAAACCCCTTTTTTTAATTGGTTATTTCTTCTTGCTGTCTCAAGATGATTATTTTAACTGTTTACTGCACTTGTTTTGTCCATCTGTTACCCTGCAGGAGATGCTTTTCCGTCGTACATGTAAACTAGTTGAGTATGAGAACGCAACAAAAGCACTGGAAAAAGCCAAACCCAAGAACCAAGAAATGGTAAGGTTCTAACAAACATGTGCTTTGCACCTCTCTCTGATTTTTTACATGTGATTGAGTGTTGTTTTTTTTTTTTTTTTGTTTTTCTCGTGATTCACATGAGGCTGCACTTAGCAATATACTCGAAGTTCAAGTTGAGCTTCTGAATAATTATGGTGAACACCAGAATTGAAGAATCCTAAATTGTTTTACACATTTTTTTATTTTCAGCTTCAAAAAGCCAAAGACGATGCAGAGGAAGCATACAATTCAATTTCAGAAGCTGCAAAGAAAGAGGTGAATAAAATGATATAAAAAAGGCCTTTTGTTTTACTTAGACTTTTGGCTTACTGTTTTGCCAGAAAATTTTGCATGCCACCCTTGCCTGGTTGCATTTCTTGGTTTTTTTTACAGGCAGACCACCCTGTTGTTGGTTTACTTGTTAGACACGTGTCAAACAATAATATGAATATTTGTGCCATTTTCATGTTAAAACCTGAATATCAAAAAATTAGTTTACACCACACAAGTGAATAGTGTTTTTTGTACACACTGATTGGCTAACTTGAAAGTGGTGAGCAAGTACCTTTAACCTCTGAGAATCCAAAGTGACAAAATCGCTCATCAACAATCTGATTTTCAACCATTTTCCTTGGTTTACAATGAATCCTTTGTGCCGGCGTAATAAACAGAGGAGAAATGGCAGATAATTTAAATATTTGTTAAGGGCACTTCAAAAGAAATTGTCATTTCGCTCTAACTGCAGTAGACAATCTGCTTACTCGATTGATTTTAATTTTTGTTTTTTTTTAATTTAAATATAGATGACCCGTTACAATAGGCAAAGAGTGTTGAGCCTGCAAGCCAGTCTTATCCAGTACGCTGAATCGCGGTTAAAGAATGGAAGAGATACCTACGCCATTTTGGCCAAACTATTGAATGACATGAAAAAATCTGCTTAATCAATGAGCACGGAGAAAATAGACGGCACCGTAAATTTGGGAGGCCAAAATTTATTTCTAATTTTCTTTATGAAATTAGATTATGTTGATTTGACACGGATAATACAAAAATAATTTTTAAAACGATGCAAGGTCGTTTCAGGCATTGGCTCACTCCAGGTGTTCAGTTAGTAAAACGGAGCAGAGACTGGAGCGGAAAAGTGAAACAGCAAGAGAGGCTTGGGTTAGGTGGGATTCATTGAGTGACTCAACCCAAGCCTCCCTCGCTTTTTCACTTCTCTGCTACTATAGTGCTGTTTACTATCACACTTTGTTTTGCCGACTGAATGCCTGGAACAGGCTATTCAGGCACTAATCATAACCATTGCAATCTCTTCAAATGTGATTGGTGCATTAGCTGCTTCATTTTTTCACGTCTCATTCTGTACAGCTTTAATTGGACAGCATAATTGGACAGTTGGCTTTAATTGGATACCTGTAATTGGACAGTTGAAGCAACGAATCATACTAAGTTCAGTCAGCCAAATCCACCAATCACAGAGTTAATCACAATAACCATAGCAACAACCACTTGTCTAAAAAAAAAATTAAGAATTTCCAAAATGGAGACATATTTTTTTACTGTAGACATTGTCTATACCAGAGATATTTGACCTAAATGTATTTCTTGTTTTCAGAAATAATAACAATTAAGATTAAATGGTAACAGGACTTTTTGTCGTCCACTTCTTTCTGTAATCATACTCGTGATTGACAAATTGGTCTCTTGCTTTGCAGTCGTCCAATTTTGTTAATCACGTGTATGATAACAACAGACCGAATAAGACTCCACTCAGTCCTATTACCATTGTAGATTGGCTGGAAATGGTGGCAAAAATCCAGCAATTACTTGAAATTTAATCAGCAAATATTTCATGACAGAAAGAAATTTTCCAATTTTGTGAAGGCTACTAGCCTTGAATCAAGGCTCTAGAACATTCAATAAACACTTAACATGGTGAATTTTCAACTTTATGTTGTTTTCATACAGATCACCATTATACTAAAGAGTGAATGAATTTCTTTACGTCTTATAAAATAATATTTTTATTAAATCTGAATGAATGGGTTTCAAATATGCAAAGTTTTATACATACTTTCAAGGTAACAGACATTATGGAAAAAAATTTGCTCTCCAATCCTCTGAAAAGTACCAACCAAAAAATTGATTTCCTTTGTATTGAAAAGCTTTTGAAATTTATATTACATATAGCGATGATAAGTTTTTGTTTGAATTGCTTCATAACTACCTGTAAAGGGCAGAACTTGACGTTTTCAGTTGACTTAAATGTGAGTATACTTGTATTGCTTAATATGTTATCTACTGCGCTAGCTAATTAAGGCCACAATTTTCAATTCATTAATACTAATCGCATAACGTGATGACGTCATAAACGGAATTCACTGCATTACCACTTGCTAGTCAGAAGAACTGTGAGACACCACTGGATTTTGAACGCAACTACTCCAAGCATTATTCAATAAAGGAGCTGTTTAAAACCGTGGACTGAGTTAATCTTCGACTGGCAAAATATTCAAAATCCACGGTGGTCTGCTACAAAGCGACAACTGGATAAGCGAAGATGGAAAACGCAGCCGAAATCGAGAAGGCTAAAGGCAAGCGTACAACAGCTAAAGGAAGATTCACAAGAAAGAAGAACTTCCTCACCAAGTCGATAAACAATAACCAAGGCGTAGAAATAGTTGAAACAAACTATGCGAAACTCGCGGAAGCGTACGATGAACTCGAAGGAAAACATGAAGCCTACATCGAGCTATTGCCAGACGATCAGTCTGAAGAAGCAGAAGTGTGGATGACAGAAGTCCAAGAGAAGTTTAATGAGGCGACCAATCGCAAAATCAAATATGTGGAACAAATCACTGTGAAAGAAAGATCAACACGTGCGTACGCGGAGCGTCAAGAATACATTGATAAAGCACGCACAAGACAGAAAACAGTGCGCGCAGTTTTCGAAGCTTCATACAAAAGTATCTCGCACGCGCTGCAATCTAAAGAAATTCCCAACTTTGCATTGAGAGATTTACAAATGCAAATTGAAGAAGAATTTTGGAATGCAAACGATCAAACGCAGAACTACTACAATTATTAACTCAAGACTCAGCAGAAGCTGAAATAAATTGGATCGCTACAATCCAAACCTGTTATCATGAAATAAAGGAGAAAATAGCGCTAAGCTACACTAATGTGGAAGAAGCTAAAGAAACAAAGCGGGAGTCTACCGCCTCAGCTTCCTTTCTACAACTAGAAAAAGTACGAATGCCTCACTTTGACGGAGAACTACGCAAGTATCCGCAATTTAAAAGAGATTTCCAGAAACAAGTTATGACTCAAATCCGAAAAGGTGACGCAGCGTACGTCCTACGCACCTGTCTTAAGGGGGAGCCAGCGAGATTGGTGAACTGCGTAGACGACGACATAGACGAGATGTGGCATCGTTTAGACGACAAATATGGAGACCCAGCCAAAGTTGCCGATGTCATCATTGACGAAATAAAGCGATTTAGAATGCTCAGAGAAGGAGAAGATAAACGCTTTATAGAATTTGTAACCCTCATAGAGGATGGTTATCGTAACCTAAAAAAGGACTCGGCTTGGAAACAGAGATCACAACCACAAGTTCAGTCAGCGTAATTGAGAAAGCACTCCCGTCAGATATCAAACGGAAATGGTCCGAACGGGTAAGCTCTCGTGACAGTCTTGTTGATAAAAGCAACAAATTTCCAAGTCTTCTCGACTTTCTACAGAGTCAAAGGGATGCCATTGAATACGAAAGTGCTACAAGCCGTGCAGGAAGCAGCAACCAATATCACAAGGGCGCAGCACATTACTCGGAGGGTATCACAGTTGGAAAAGACGAAAGTACCAAAGAACCTAGGCCTAAGTGTCTGATTCACGAGAATGGTAAGCACTGGACGTCAAATTGCCGACTTTATCAAGCTAAGACAGTTCACGAAAAAGGGATTTTCTCAAAGAAAAGCAAGCATACTGGGCTTGTCTTAAGCCTGGTCACAGGCAGCGGACTTGTAGGATAAAAGAGATTGCGGCGTGAATGGCTGCACGAGGAAACACCACCCATCAATTCACGAAAACGATGAAAGTACACCCCAGCAAGCTTCTGCCTCCGCCAATGTATGCAGCGACTCCAACGTCGATACATGTCTTCTCCAAGTACAGAGAGTAAAACCAGGAAGGGGACAGCTAATGTAATGTGGGACAACGCAGCCTCACTTTGCTTCATAACCAACGCTAAAGCGAAACAAGAGAAACTCAGTGGAGTCAAAGTGAATCTTTCAATAGTGAAGATAGGAGGGCAGAACGAGGAAATCGAAACAATGAAATACAAGCTGCCACTTTTGGACAAGCGAGGTCAAGCCGTGGAATTCGAAGTATATGGGATTAACAAAATCACCTCTGATATCGAGCATGTAAACGTAGAGAGCATCGCCCACCTATTTAGAAACGTTTCAAAGGATGAAATAGCGCGACCCGCTGGTCCAGTTGATGTGTTGATCGGTTATAAATACGCCGCCTTTCACCCGGAAAAGGAACAGAATAATGGGCATCTTGTACTACTGAAAAATCGTTTTGGAAGATGCGTTGGAGGAACTCACCCACTGCTTAAAGAAACGTGCATGACCCATAATCTTGGAAACGCGAGAGTACACTTTGTAGGCAAAGTCAATGTCGAAGATTTTTACACTATCGAGGCACTTGGTGTACAGTGCAAACCGAAGTGCGGGGGATGCAAGTGCGGAAAATGCTCCTTGGGCGCCAAAGATTATACCATACAGGAAGAAAGGGAACTGGAGTTAATTGAGCGGAATTTACGTTTCAACAGTGAAGACAACTCATGGACCGCTGAATACCCCTGGATAAAAGACCCCCATAAGCTTCCTAACAACCGCAAAGTAGCGATGGCGAAATTAGCTGCTACCGAACGACGACTCAGAAAGAACGCAGATCACGCGAAAGTGTATGACGAACAGATAAAGGACATGGTGGCAAGAAATGTGGCAAGAAAGCTATCCGAGGAAGAATTAACAAACTACACAGGCCCTACGCATTACATTGCCCATCACGAAGTACTCAAACCAGAATCGAAATCTACTCAAGTCCGTATAGTTTTCAACAGCAGTGCGAACTATATGGGGCACGTATTAAACGAGTATTGGGCAAAGGGTCCTGACTTGCTCAACAACTTGTTAGGCGTCTTGATACGCTTTAGAGAGAACAGAGTTGCTTTCATGGGAGACATTAGGAAAATGTACCACACAGTGAAAACGTCGGAGTTAGACCAACATACTCACCGATTTCTTTGGCGCGACATGGATAGTACGAGAGAACCAGACACCTATATAATACAGCGAGTGTCATTTGGAGATAAACCGTCCGGCACGATCGCCACTGTAGCATTGAGAAAAACGGCAGAGATGATGCGCAAGAATTATCCGGAAGCAGCAGACATAATTCAAACCAACACTTACATGGACGATATCATCGAAAGCAAAGATAACATTGCACTGGCCCGTGACCTTAGCCAAGACATAGAGAAAGCTATTATTAAAGGAGGATTTCAAGTTAAAGAGTGGATATTCTCAGGAGATATTAACAAGCAAGAAGAAACGATCATGGTACAGACACCGCATACGTCGACCGAAAAGATACTTGGGATCAAATGGAATCCATGTGAAGATCAGCTATGTTTTGAAGTCAAGATCAAGTTCTCACCAAAAAGAAAGAGATATGCTTTACAAACAAATAACGTAACCACAGATTTTCCCCCTCAACAACTCACGAAGAGGATGATTCTCTCACAGATCAATAGTGTATATGATCCTCTCGGACTAGCTGGACCGTTCACTGTAAGAGCGAAGATTCTAATGCGGCACTTATGGGGAAGTGAACAGAAGCTTGACTGGGATGATCCCATTCCTGAAGAGAATAGAGAGAACTGGATAACCTTCTTCAAAGATTTAAAAGACATGGATCAAGTACGATTCATGAGATGCGTGAAGCCGTCGGATGCAGTTGGAGAACCTATTCTCATTATATTTAGTGATGCATCTCAAGACGCCTACGCTGCATGCGCGTATGTACGCTGGGAACGGAAAAATGGTCAATTTGAAAGTAACTTGATCATCTCTAAGAATCGCCTAGCTCCAATCAAAAAAATATCTATCGATCGTATCGAACTATGTGGAGCAGTATTGAACAAACGTCTCAAGATCTTCATAGAGAAAGAATGTAGATACCAATTTCAAAAAATCTATCACATTGTTGACTCACAAATAGTACATGCTATGATACAGAAAAATTCCTACGGTTTTAACACCTTCGCTGCCACAAGAATTGGAGAAATACAAGAAGGAACAAGCCAAACAGATTGGTACTGGATAGAGAGCGAACACAACATCGCTGATTGTCTCACGAGAGGGAAGAAGCCTAGCGATATCGGGCTCGAAAGCGCATGGCAGAAAGGACCCGAATTCCTACGACAACCAGAAGATGATTGGCCAATAACTCGCAATTATTTAGAATCACAACTGCCAGACCGAGTCAAGACGGCAATGGCTATAAAAATCGAAGGATTTCAGGATACCCTTGCAGGAAGGATTCATATCACCAAGTACTCAAATTATAACAAGCTCTTAAGGGTGACGGCAAGAGTTCTGAAACTCTATGACAGAAACCCCAAAACATCTCTGAAAAACACAACACGTGATCTCACACCACATGATTTGGAAAGGGCTGAATTATTTTGGATACGAGAAGCTCAAAAAGACATGGGGAAGGATATCGAGAACGGGAATTACAAAAGATTATGTCCTAAGATGCGAGAAGATGGTATATATGTGATTAGAGGACGAAGCGAGTTATGGATGGAGATGAGCTACAACAAGAGAGAAGTAATACTCCTTCCATACGATCACCCATTCTCACGTTTATTTACAGAGCAAATACACAGAAAAGGGCATCATGGGATATTAACTACAGCCAGCAAAGTGCGTACCAGGTACTGGATCCCGAAACTGTTGAAACTTGTGCAATCAATCAAGTCCAAATGCGTCGTTTGTAGAAAACTTGATAAAAAAGTCAGTGAACAAGTAATGGGCAACCTTCCAACTGAAAGGCTGAAACCAGCCCCTCCATGGAGCAGTACAGGCATCGATTTATTTGGACCTTACAAGATTCGCGATGAAGTAAAGAAAAGAACAACATCTAAGGCGTATGGAGTGATATTCAACTGTCTAGGGACAAGAGCAGTTTACTTGGATATAGCAGCAGACTATAGTACAGACAAATTCCTAATGGTCTTCAGACGATTCGTGTCACTACATGGTTACCCATCTAAGCTATTCTCAGATAACGGTACCCAACTCGTCGCAGCAAATAAAGAGCTTTCTAATATGACCAAGACTTGGGATTGGAATAAACTAAAAGGTTTTGGCATAACTGAGGGATTTGAGTGGATCTTTACATCCGCAGACGCACCCTGGCAGAACGGAGTCACAGAAGCTCTCATAAGATCTGTAAAACGAGCTATTAACGCTTCTATTGGCGATAGTACCTTAACATTCTCAGAGTTACAAACAGTACTTTACGAGGTCGCCAACTTGCTGAATGAAAGACCAATAGGAAGGCACCCTGCGTCACCTGATGACGGTGCATATCTTTGCCCAAACGATCTTTTGCTTGGTAGAGCAACGGCACGAATACCAAGTGGCATGAACTTTGACGAGCGAGCGAGTAATAGAAAACGGTTTTCGTTCGTACAAACGATAATATCTTCTTTCTGGAAGAAGTGGACGCAAAATTACTTTCCCAGTTTGCTGATACGTCAAAAATGGCATACATCCCACCGTAACTTAAAAACTGGAGATATCGTTCTTATACAGGACTCGAGCTTGTTAAGAGGAAAATGGAAGATCGGGAGAGTTTCTAATACATATCCAGGAACGGATGGGAGAGTCCGGAAAGTAGACGTCGAATACAAGAACATAACAAATGAGCCTGTAACTAAATATAAAGGAAAAGGCTATATAAGTGTACAGCGACCAGTACAGCGCCTAATATTAATACTGCCTATTGATGAACAGTGACTGAACTCTTAAATTTACTTGTAAATCGTATACTTACTATACCTCATTTCAGATGGGGGAGTGTATTGCTTAATATGTTATCTACTGCGCTAGCTAATTAAGGCCACAATTTTCAATTCATTAATACTAATCGCATAACGTGATGACGTCATAAACGGAATTCACTGCATTACCACTTGCTAGTCAGAAGAACTGTGAGACACCACTGGATTTTGAACGCAACTACTCCAAGCATTATTCAATAAAGGAGCTGTTTAAAACCGTGGACTGAGTTAATCTTCGACTGGCAAAATAATACTTCTTATCCTGATGAAAACTATGTTTTTCCAGTGTAATTATTTTTTTCAATATAGAATGGACCATATACAATGCTAGTTGTCGTTTCAGCTCTACCAAAGTCCTTAACTCTGTTTGAGACGACTGACTCCCCCTCCTTTCCTCCTGAAAACTATGTGATCCCATCCTCTCCCTTAAAAAAAACATTTCCTCCAGCCCCCCAGGCTATAAAAATAACTCTTTCTTTAGTGTCGCCGCTAACCCAGAAATTAAGCCCGAAACGACAAAACTTCCTTAATGATCCCCTCCTCCTAACCCTACCCCTACCTACAATTTAATCATCAGCTGTTTGAATGACCTGGATTCTTTTCTAATGAGATCAGGCGCAAATCTGTCTGCTGTTGACGTTTAGTTGTGAAAGTCAACACGTGAAATGTCATCAGGTATGCTGCGCTCTGCAAGTTGGTTTCACTTTTGAGCGTGGTTGCTTCCGAGCAGTATTTTGTCATTTTGTTGGCTGAAACGTCGAATTGTTCCCGCGATAGTTCCTAAAATCCTCAACGAAGTAAGTATAGATCATTTGTAATCAAGATTCGAGAAGAAAATTCCGAAAAGCGTTTGTTTACAACGAGACCAAAGCTCGGTGTAAGACCATTAAGGGTGTTGTTAAAAATTCTTGCTCGTAGACTCAAACTGCAAAGCTTAACGGCTCTATGAACGAGTTTAACCCTGCTTCATTTTAATCATTTATCAAATGCTAAGTCGATTTCGTTTTCAATGCAACAAATTAGGAATTTGTCCTTCATTCATTTTCAGAACTATGGTTTCTCCTAATTAGACGGAATTAATACGATTCTTGATTTGCTGAATGGTAAATCTTATCCGTATGAAGAAAATGTGGTTATTCATCGTCGTTAAATACAATATTAGCTAAAGTATAATCGTTTATATTGCGCTTTGTTTTCACATCCGATGTACGTAGATCGAGACGTTTTGATAGCAAGCAAACGGCTCGGAGTCTTTTTCGTGCGAGCTCGGCCATCACGATCTACAGCGGCAGTGAAATTATCGAGAGACAAAGGATACCATTTATCGGCCATAGTTGTTCCTCAGGGCAATAAAATTAGCCTCGCTGGTAAGTACATTGTGTTATAGAGTAATTTAGTTGTTTCTGTAGCAGGCCAGGACTTGCTAATTTTGAAAATGAAACTAAACACTTACCTGCCTTTGGACTACAGCAAGAATTGAGTGCTAGTCTTCGATTTCGTGATTGATAATGGATCGTGATCTTTCTGTCGATTTAGTCATTGCGTGTGTTTTGATGTTGGGGAAGTTTTGCGACTGTCGGTTGTCTGAGAGAAACAGACAAAAACAACTCCGCAGTCGATTAGAGATCCAATATTTCGAATTCACCGTTCAATCCACAAACATTTTCCCCTAATTTTGTAACGTTACACGCCCTTAGCTTGCTGTGCATTTTGATGAAGAAAGTGTAAGGTTTGTTTTATTGTTGAAGATTGTGAACTTTAAACGGAATTGTTCGTTCGAAAGTTTTTCCTCCGGTGAAAGACTCCCAATCTAAAATTTTCACCTTGTTTGCTCCAAGAATTGTTCCAATGCGGTTCAAAAAAAACATTCGATCAGAACATTCTGTAAGAAGACATGCGGATATGTTTGACCTCTGTTCAAGAGCTTACTCTAATTACATGAAATATCACACCAGACACGACTGCAGTTAGAAAATCGCCAAATTTAGTATTTTCTTGATGTTGTCTTTTGTCTGCTTTGTAATCAGGGAGGGAAGTAGAATGGTATGCAAGTAAACCCCCCTTCCCTTTTCCCCAGAACCCACTCCTGCCGATCATGTCGAGAATTTCTTAAAATATTGCTTTAAGGACCGGGAGGGAGCTGATGTGCTTTGCTTTTTCACTTTGTAATTTTTTCTTTACCTACCTCGGACTAAACAGCTCTGCTCACATTTAGCGGATCAACGCACAAATGTGACGTTTGCGGTTGTCTACGCCTTCAAAAGAAAGCAATGTCATCGTATTATTATTTGTTAGGGTCACAATACGTAACACACTGGTTTTTCTATCGTGTTCCTGTTTACGAGTTGAAGGCTGGTTGCGCATAAGCCATTTTTGTTTCTTTTCTTGTGGAGTTGAAATTTTGACAAACCCACTGTTATACTTATTGTATAGATTCTTTGGAAAATATATCTTCAGTCTGTTAAAAAGGCTTCTTAAAATCGAATGTTTTATCCTTGTTACTGTTCTGAAAAGGAATTTGATCAAAACATTCTTGAACATAATTTAGTTCGATTGTTGTAGTAATCATATCAGGCACGGGTGTCTGAAGATTGCTTCTTCATCTGCCTTTTTTCTTAAGTTAGGATGCTAGAATGGTGTGTATGTAAATGGCCCCCTTCCCCCTCCACCCCACTTTCGCTGATAGGGGAGTTTTCTAGCGAGAAATACAGTACTTGTCTTCGATTTTGAGATTGATAAAGGATCACGAACTTTCTTGTCGGTTTAGTCATTCCGTATGTCTTGATGTTGGGGAGGTTTTGCGAATGTATGTTGTCTAAGAGAACACCATAGAAACAACTCCGCAGTCGATTGGAGATCTTTTCGAATTCACCGTCGTCCATTAAAATAAACAAGCATACATTCCAGAAAACTGATATTGATACGACACACGCTAAAGGAGAAGGAGCTTAATAAAACAGTTTTAACGATCGTTACCCCAGATTAGTGAAAATGTCAAAAGTGACGTTATTTGATGCACTTAATGATTTGACCATCTGATGTGCTTCGTGCGTCAAATGAACGAAAGAACTGCTTTGTTTTGTTAGACAATAATGCTGAAAAAAGCAAAAAGCAGATTAAACCCAATATCATTTCGTTAAAGCAGCAGAATTTTTTGGGGTGAGAATTATCCATTTTTTATGGACAACGGTACAATATGGAATAAAGTATAATCGTTTATTGCGCTTTGTTTTTACCTTCAATGTGCAGATCGGGGCGTTTTGATTGCAATCCTTCTTCGTGCGAGGCCGGCCATCACGATCCACAGCGGCAGTGAAAAGATCGAAAGACAAACGATAGCATTTATCAGCCTTAGTTGTTCTTCAAGGCGCTGAAATTAGCGTCGCTGGTAAGTACATTTTGTTATAGAGTAATTTAGTTGTTTCTGTAGCCGGCCATGACTTGCTAAGTTTTGAAACTAAAACTAAACATATACTAGTCTTCTATCTCAAGATTGATAAAGGATCAGGAACTTTCTTGTCGATTTAGTCATTGCGTATGTTTTGATGTTGGGGAAGTTTTGCGAATGTATGTTGTCTACGAGAACACCGTAGAAACAAACTGACAAAAACAACCCCCCAGTCGATTGAGATGTTTTTCGAATTCACCGTTGTTTACAAAAAAATTTTTCCCTAATTTAGTAACCTTATACGCTCTTTGCTAGCTGTGTATTTGAATGATGAAATTGTAAGTTATGTTTTATTGCTGAAGATTGTGAACTTTAAACTGAATTGTTCGTTCGAAAGTGTTTCCATCCGTGAAAAACTCTTAATTTAGACCTTTTTCCTAGTTTGCTCCGAGAATTGTTTCAATGTGGTTTAAAAACAAAATTTGAGCAGAACATTCTAGAAGAAGAAATGCGAATATGGTTGACCTCTGTTCAAGAGCTTACTCCAGTTACTTGAAATATCACACCAGACACGACTGCAGTTAGAAAATCGCTGAATTGAGTATTTTCTTGGGGCTGTCTTTTGTCTGCTTGGTATCCAGAGAGGGAATGTAGAATAGTGTGCAAGTAAACCCCCCTTCCCTTCACCCCAGAACCCACTCCTACCGATTCGAGAATTTCTTTAAATATTTTCTTAAAGACTGGGGGGGAGCTGGTGTGCTTTGCTTTCCCACTTTGTAACGTTTTTACTTACATCGAACTAAACAGCTCAGCTTACACTTAACGGATCAGCGCTTAAATGTGACGTTTGCGGTTATCTACGCCACCAAAAAACACGCAATGTCATCGGATTACTATTTGTTAGGGTCACAATACGTAACACACTGGTTTTAATTTCGTGTTCCTGTTTACGAGTTGAAGGCTGGTTGCGCATGAGCCATTTTTGTTTCTTTTCTTGTGTGGTTGAAATTTTGACTCTTACACGGAAATCAAAACCGATTGTTTTACTTATTCAATAGATTCTTTGAAAAAAGATTATTAAAGTCTGTTAAAAAGGCTTTTTAAAATCTCATGTTTTATCCTTGTTGCTGCTGTGAAAAGGAGTTTGATCAAAACATTCTTGACAATATTTTAAATTCGATTGTTGTAGTAATCAAGCCAGGCACCAGCGCCAGAAGGTTGCCTTTTATTTCGGTTTTTTTCTTGAGTTAGGAATGTTAGAATGATTTGTATATTGATGCCCCCCTCCTTCCTCCCTCCCCCCCCTCCTCTTCACCTGATGGGGGAATTTTCTGGAGAAATACCCACAGGACCGGGGAAGGGGTGATATCCCATACCCTAAGGTGAGCAACTCCCTTAGTCTCCACGTTTTAGTCAATCAGTCCTTGGTCATTCTGAAAAAAGGAGTTTGATCTAAACATTCGATAATAGGACAATTAAACATTGTTGGCCTCTGTTTAAGATTTCACATTTTCTTGCTTGATGGATGTCGCGCCAGATTCGTGTACAGTCAGCAAATCACCAAAATTAATTATTTCCCCAATGCTCTTCTATCATCTACTTTCCATTTACGTGGGCAACGTGAATTATGAATCTTTCACCGACTTTTGGAGAGCGAATTAAATTTGAAAAAAAAATTAAGATTAACAGGTTAAAGCACATCCTTGTGTTATTTTGCTGCGGGCAAAAAATGGACCATGATGAAACCAAAGCGAATTTGATAGTTGTCGGTGAAAATTGATATGATACCAGTAGGGTGCAGCTATTTAGGGATGTGAATAATGTGCTTTGCGACAAAGTCAGATTAGCTTTTCGCTTTCGAGTTCCTTGCGTGTTTTGTTGACCACAGAAAGCAGCTTATGTTTTTTTATCGGAAATGAAGATTGCATGCCTGACT